TGCATGTGCCCTGATCGGGGCTGGGGATCGAACCTGCAACCCAGATGCATGCCCTTGGCCTGGAGTCAAACCTGAGACCCTTTGGTATGTGGGCCTATGCTCTAATTGAGCAACACCAGCCAGAATGAGATCTCCCTCTTTTTTTTATCTTTCTCCAGCAGGTTCTAGTGGGGTCTAGTCTCCAAAGTGACAGAACAAGTCTGTTCTCCCAGTACCCCAAGTGTGTGAGTCTCCTCACCTTTGAAGGTGGGCATCATGTCTTCTCTGGTCCAGGCTACATAGTTCCAGTTCTTTGTTTTATTCTTTCAGTAGTAGCATTTCTTAAACTCCTCTGCATCATGAATGCTTTTCTCTCTCCAAAATACTCCACTCTGTCAGTGATACTTTTAAAATTAATTCTTCAAAATTGAAAGGAGTGTTACAAATGTTGAAGAAACAATGACTGGGGATATCATGATATTTGTACTTCTTAAATTAGGCTAGATGAGCAAAGATTTTAAGCTTCCTGTGTGGTCTAGTCAGGTCTGATTTTTCAGGTAGGCTAGCTTTATTTCTCATGTGAAAAGCACACTGGGGGAGGGGTGACAAAGCAGAAATAATGATCATCACACAGATTGTTGTTTGGTTGCTGGTACTGCCAGCTAAGTCCAAAAAGAAGCAACAATATCATTACGTAGTTTGGCCGTATTAGAATAAGCTCTTTGTGATGTATACATCCGTTATAGAGCCTAGTGGAATGGGATCTTGTTAAAACAATGATTCCAAATATTTCTAATTGTGAAGGTTTCAGCAACTTAAATCTTTAAAATCAAAAGAAGTGATGATATTTGGATATAATATTTGATTTGGGTAGTTGACAGCAGTAATTGATTTATAATTCATCATTCTACTGACATTGCTTTCTGTTTTACACATACACGATACTTTCTGGTTTATTTTTGGACCCCATATTAGTTTTATTAGTGTTATTGTCAAGAGTATTAATAAAAATGAACAAAGATCACTTATATAAAATCATCACTAAGTTTCTTCTCCATATGGTGGTGTTCTAAATGTTAGGAATATAATTTGACTTAATTTTCTGATGTAATGTATTATTTAAATGAGAAATGAGCATAAGCCAGGTCAGTAAAAAGAAGGAAGTGAATAGCTTTTTCACAGATAACAGTTCTATCGAAAATATGCAACCAGGTCATTTGTTATTTTCCAAGCTGTCCCCTTCCTGAAAAGCATATCCATCCATATTGGTGGTCCACCTGGACTGTTAACATCTTCAGTAAGCAGACAATCACCATTTGGGAAATAGCATTTGTTGCAGGCAAGGCTCATCAGTGGAAGCTACAATTTGTGGGTGACAGTATGATGAGATATTATATTTATGTAGTCTCGAAGTCTCCCCCACAAGAAAAATGTACAGAGGAAAAGCTAATGTTACAATGGAGAAACCTAGCAGATACAACTGGAACCAAGTGATCTGAGTTACCATCATCAGAAGTGAGACATGGACATCATCATGTGCCTTCTGGTATGATGCACTGAGCAAGGCACAGCGTTACTTCTGTATTGTGCTTGCCAAATTGCATAACCTGAATTTAGTCACGAAGAAGCATTAGGCGGACCCAGATTAAGGGACATTCTACAAAATAATTGGCTAGTACTCCTTAAGAGTCAGGGTCACGAGAGCCAAACTGTTCTAGATTGGAGGAGATATGATAGTTGCATGCAATGGGGTGATCTGGACCAGAAAAGACATCAGTGGGGCAGTTGGCAAAAATATGTATGAGGCTGGTTCTAGATCATTGAATAAATCTTGTTGATGGTTAATTTCCTGGTTTTGATCATTATAGCTGTGATTATATGAGGTGTTAACTTTGGGGAAGCTGGATGAAGGGTACACAGGAATTTTTTTTATACTATTTTTGAAACTTTTGTAAGTCTAAAAGTATTTCAAAATGAAGTTAAGCCACAACCATAATATAAAGTAATTTAACTCAGCAGAGAATAAGACTTTCATGTTTTTACCTTGTGACGTTTCTTTTGATTGGTTTCCTTGCTTCCTAAATCTCCACTGTGATGTGGGTAGCTGAGGTTTCTTATTAAGGAATTTTGGGATAAGTGAGGCATTGCTGGATTGGATTGCAACTACAGTTTGAAAGGTTTTGTTTAATTAATTAATTTACTTACTTATTTTTGTACAGAGCTGTAATTACATCTTTGGGTTTCCAGTGGCTCTGTAGGTTATTTGAGCTTTACTGTTGCAGCCACCAGAATCCCTGCCTGGAAACTTAGCTCTGTAATTAATTCACTGGTTTGTCTCTGTTTTTTATTATTATGTTCTGAATTCAGGTTAGTCCCATGAATTTTTCCACTATGTGTCATATATTATTGAATTTCATGTTTGTTGGTTGTTGCCTAGGAAGAGTTGATTTTTGTATAAAAATGTTTTATTTAAAATGGAAATATCATACCAAATATCTTATTTTTTTCTCTCAGAAAAGACAGTTTGGAGTTTTTGTAAATATAATGAATAAGTAAACTTACACTGGCATAAGCACCAGCTGGTAACCTTTTATTGGGTAATAATTAGAATGGAAGAAATTAATACATGGAAATGTTCTTTTAACAGAAGCAGTTGTTAATGTATGACTCATAGATTCTTAAATCTAGAAGAAACTTGACAAGGCTGTTTTGACCAGTATGGGAGAGGAAAAGAACATGGACTTGGGAGTCAGGAGACATAGTTTTGCATCCCAGATTCATCGCTCCTTATTATTGTATCTTGGACAGTTCATTTAACTTTTCTGAGCCTTAAGTTTCTCATCTGTAAAACTGGAATAATAGTAGCATTTTGCAAAGTTGTTGTGAGAAGTGAAGTAGCCTGGCTGGTGTGGCTCAGAGGATTGAGTGTCGTCCAATGGACTGGGAGGTCCCAGTTCGATTTCTGGTCAGGGCACATGCCTGGGTTGCTGTGCAGGAGGCAGCGGATCAGTTCTCTCTCACATCGATGTTTCTATCTCTCCCATCCTCTCTCTCTAAAAAATCAATAAAAGCATATTTTAAAAAGAAGGAGTAAGTGAGGTAGGATGCAATATGCCTGGTCTAACGTGGGCATTTCATATATGGTGGTTCTATTCTGACCTCCAGCCAGATTTATTTTTAAAAATTGTTTTTTCTTTATTGATTTTAGAGAGAGAGGAAGGGAGAAGGAGAGAGAAACATCAATGAGAGAGAACATTGATTGGCTGCCTCCTGCATGCCCCCCTCTGGGGATTGGGCCCACAATCCGGGCATGTGCCCTGACCAGGAATCAAACTGGCAAACTATTCGTGCATAGGTTGATGCTCAGCCACTGAGTCAAAGCAGCTGGGCTCCAGCCAGGTTTATAACTAAGCTGTCTGCAGTTGAGAGAATCTGCTCTGCTTATAAAGATCTATAGAAAGATGATAGCATATGTCAGTAACTTCTATCAGTATTAAAAAAAATTTTTTTTCCTTTATTGATTTTAGAGAGAGAGGAAATGAGAGGAGAGAGAGAGAGAGAGACACATCGATGAGAGGGAACATCGATTTGTGGCCTCCTGCATGCCCCTCACTAGGGATCAGGCCCACAACCTGGGCATGTGTCCTGACCGGGAATCGAATCGGCGACCTTGGTGCATGGGTCGCTGCTCAACCACTGAGCTACATTGGCCGAACTTCTACCAGTATTTCACAAGTCATTTCCTAGGGAAGTTTTTCCGTATCTCTTATTTCAGAGAAATTATTTTCTTTTATATGTTAGCCACATTACTCCAAAATCTATTAGATAAGTGTCAGTCATTTGTGAGACGTTCCTTTGTGTTTTAGTGTTCTTACTGAAATCATTTGATACAGATAGCATATTAAATTTGTTTTAGGAGAAAATCTTTTGAGACATAGGGGACAAGAAGATGTACAGACAGTTGGAAGGAAACATTTCTATGTATAGTTTTCTTGCAAGTTTTAGATTTGCGTTGGCACTTTGAACCTCTGAGAGAGATCAGCAATTCCTTAAGTTCCAGTCATTGTTCCTGTTTTACTATAGTTTCAAAAGTACTCAAATTTATTCCTCAGTTTTCTGATTTTGATATTGTACTGTTGGTTTGTAAGCGAACATCATTATTTTGACTAATTACACACTGAAGTGTTTAGAGTTGAATGGACATACCTGCAACTTACTCTCAGGTGGTTAAGAGCATAATATACATGTGTATGTGAATATATTATCTATAGAGGGAGGGAGGCAGAGAAGGCTGTGGTAGCCCTGGCAGTGTTAACAGTTGGTGAATTTGGGTGAAGGCAGTTCTTTGTGCTTTCCTTATAACTTTTCTCTAAGTTTGAAACTCTCTCAGAATTATATTGGGTTGAGTTATATTCCTGTACCCTGAGGAGATGTAAGTGAATGGCAGTTTCAGAGGGAGGGAGGTTAGAAGCAACTGGGGAAGCATAGAAAATGAGTAATTCAGTAAATTCACTGGCAAAAAAGTTAGTTGTTCCTTTAATTTAACTTTTTTTCCTAGCCAGAACAGAATTCATTTTGTGTAGAAAGGCCTGTACAGAAAGAGAGAAAGCTAGCTGCTACTGTGTCAAAGCAGGGAAAACTAATTGGAAGTGAAATCAGATGATAAAAGTAAAGAATTACTTTACTTCGTATATGTACATACAAGGATAAAAAGAACGTATAAGGCAGAAATATTAGTACTTTAAAAATTATCCAGTGCTCAGGTAATCTGTCTTCTACCAGAGAGGTACAAGTTAGTTTTCTATAATTACCACTCTATTCTACTAGTTAGTAGATATTAATTGGTACTATATTTTAAATTGCTATTGATTTCAAAGTTAATATTTTATACTCTTAATAAAAAATTACATGATGTTTATGATTATTTTCCCTTTCAAAAGTCTTCTAAACAACAAAAAAAATTTTTTGAACCTTCTCTCTTTTCTTTCACATCAACGATGACATCTCTTTGGGGAATGCAGAAGCCAGCCAAAGGTAAGAGATTTGGTGTATTATGCAATGCTTGTCAAGATCTTAGGTGCATATTTTTGAAGTACTGGTAATTTTCTTCTCAAAAGTATTTTCTCTCTGTCACTTTTGTAAAGGTAATGCAAGCTGTGTTAGCCTCTTTATAAATCTGAAGCCATTTATTGGCATAGGAGGGACTGGAGGCTTATGGAAAAACTGTATTTGTACTTTGACCAATTATGACCGGTCTCCTGGCAACTACAACACAGATTCCTTTTGTGCTTTGCTGTTCACCATGGATTGGCTCAAAACTGGTCGTTCCAATCTGTGGTCAGAACTGCCCTAGGCAGACTCATCCACGTTGCTCCCAAGACAGCTGGGGACACATTCTCAGGCCAACAGAGACCTGCCCTGGCCCACAGCTTCCTCAAGGGAACATGCTTTCATCTTAGATTTGAGGCCAGATGCGAAAGAAACTTCAGTGGGTTTCGTCAGTTCCTGTATCTCAGGGAATTTATAGTTGTGCCACAGTGGACACCAGGACACCAGGACTATATTTTTGAATTGATCATTCTCTGAAGTTACTTGGAACTGTCCAGGAAATTCAGATTTTTGTCTGCAATCTTGGAGTTTTATTTTAGAGTCTATGTTGAATTGTAATTCCATTCTCTATTATTATTGCTAAAATATTATAGGCATGGCTGTCTGGGACTCTGAATGATGTAAAAATAGTTTAATATGGCACTCATTTCTTTATATTTGTAAAACTAATCCTATTAGTTTTATCTCATCTTTGTTATGTAAAGGTGCTGGATTTTTTTTTTTTTCAATTTTCAGTTTTAGTTTATTTTAGAGAGAGAAGAAAGGAGGGGGAGAGAGAAAGAAACATCAATGTAAGAATGAAACTGATCGGTTGCCTCTCTATGTGCCCCGACCAGGGATTGAACCCACAACCTGGGTATGTGCTCTGACTGGGAATCGAACCCGAGACCCTTTGGTGTATGGGACGACACTCCAACCAACCCAGTCACACCAGCCAGGGCAGTGCTGGATTTTTTTCCCCTTAGAACAGGGGTGGAGATTGTAGCAGAGATGTGAGGAAACATCACATGGCTGTTTAAAAATTATCCATGCTGTATTTAATTCAACTGTATATTTGTATATTAACCATTTAGAGAAACTTTGTTGACATAAAAACTATGAAAGGACACACACCACATTATTAACATAGGTGTTACCTTTGGGAGTGGTATGTTTGGCGAATGGGAGGCCTTTATTTTGTACTTTACGCTTCTGTGTTATGTGACTTTGTTATAATGACTGTGTGTTTCTTCTCTGTTACTTGAAAAAAAGATTTTATTAAAAGTTTTAAGGAAAAATGTTTATTTAGAAAGAAAAGGGTTTATTTGCTTTAGGAAATCCATGGCTGGAAGAGTCCTGTAATAATTTATAAAATTGCTGAAACTTAAAGAAGACTATTCAGTATTGTTAGTAAATAAGAACTAAGTGTTCATTAGTTTTTAACTTTGTGCCAGGCAGTGGGGGTTTCAAAAAATTGGAGGAGCCCAGCCGGTGGGGCTCAGTGGTTGAGCGTTGACCCATGTACCAAGAGGTCATGGCACATGCCCAAGTTGTGGGCCCGATCCCCAGTGGGGGGCATGCAGGAAGCAGCTAGTCGATGTTCTCTCTCATCGATGTTTCTGTCTCTCTCTTCCTTCCTCTCTCTAAAATCAGTAAAGAAAAAAATTGTTTTTTTAAATTGAGGGAATAAAGCTAATTTAGCCTAGTAGTGGAGAGCCTAGTGGTGAGCAGACTGCTGGCTCACAGGCTGGGTTCAACTCCCAGCTCCCCTCCTGCCAGCCACCAGGTTCTTAACTTCTTTGTACCTCATGGAGTTATCAGCTATTGATCTAGTTAATTTAGTGATAGCTTCTCTACTGGAATTGAGACTAAGACATTCAGTTGTTTAAGGAATCCCTAAATTACAAAGAGAAAGAAAAGAAACCACCTCATGCTAATGGAGAGAGGAGTGCCTTTTAGAGCCCGATCCTTGATAAGTACACAGCATGAGTGGTGAAGGGATTGTTGAAGTGAGGAGTTCAGGTTCCAGAAGAATCAGGATGGTTTCTGCTTAACCTTATTAAGTACAGAATTAAATAAAATGATCGGAGATGAGAGTTGAAAACTAGAGCAGAAGACACTTAATTTAAGCTTCACATTTTGTTTACTCTCACCATGCTGAAATGCTTCTCACCCTGACTGATGAATGTAGTTTGAAAAACAGCCCCTACCTGAAATTTTGATACACTGTCCTTTGGGACCACCGTCCATCTTCTTTTCCTCCTCTTCTTGTTGAAGAACTGCTAACATAGTGAACCACCACCATGATACATAGATACCTGTTTCACTTTGGAAAAATGTTGAGGATTAGTTGCAGCTGGGTGGTAGCTTCTGGGCTCCAGGGCTCCGACCTCTTGGGTGTTGTCAACCATTGGGCTTCTGCTTGCCTTTCTGGCCTGTCTTCTCCATTCCTTCCCAGGGAACACATGCTTCCTCTTTTGCACAAAGCATGGGTGTCCTGACCCTTCCCTGCTTTGAAGGGTTTTTATTTTTTTATTTTTAAAAAATTTAGTTATTTCTAGATATCAGGAATTTAAATTATTTTTTCAATTACAGTTGACATTCCATATTAGTTTCAGGTGTACAGCATACTGATTAGATATTTATATAATTTATGAAGTGATTCCCCCCTTCCTGATAAAGTCTAGAACCCACCTGACACCCTACATAATTACTACAATATTATTGACTATATTCCCATGCTGTACTTGACATCCCCTTCACTGTTTTATAACTACCAATTTGTAGGTCTTAATCCCTTTTGAAAGTGTTTTTAAGTAGTCATCCTGTTGGTTGCCCCAGGGTCCCCCTACTTATTTAGCTGTTCTCCTGGTGCACTTCCTCCCAGAACTGCTCTTTTTTTGTTGTTGTTCAGATAGAGTGGGAGGGAGAGAGAGGAAGAGAGAGAGAGAGAGAGAAACATCGATGTGAAGGGACACGTCGAGTGGCTGCCACCCACACGACCAACCAGGGCCGGGGACAAACTGCAACCGAGTACATGCCCTTAGCGGGAACCGAACCCGGGACTCTCTGGACTGCAGGCCGGCACTCCAACTGCTGAGCCAAACTGGCCAGCGCTCAGAACTGCTCTTTGCAGCCATCTCCGACTGCAGTGTTTTGTCCTGTGGTCTTGCTGTGGCTCCTACTCCACTTCACTCCCCATCAGTCTCATGTTTCAGGGATTCTCAATTTCTGATCCAGGTACTTTCAAAAATGTGCTCTCCTTTCCCCTTTTGGCCCTTCCTTTCCCTCTCGCCATCATTTTGAGTTAATTTCAGATGGGGCATATATGGTATATTTATTATTTTCTTCATTGAATTTAGAGAGACAGGAAGGGAGAGGGAGAGAGATAGAAACAGCGATGAAAGAGAACATCATTTGGCCACCTCCTGCATGTCCCCCATTGGGGATTTTGGCCCACAACCTGGGCATGGGCCCTGACCAGGAATTGAACCAGCGACCTCTTGATGTATGGGTCAACACTCAGCCACTGAGCCACACTAGCCAGGCCATATATGATATATTTAATTTATTATCCTAATGCAATTTCCTTTGTTAAAAATGTTAACTTTTAGACAGACCTCTGGTTCAGATAACCTTGTGCATTCACACAGAAACATTTTTCTGCCAACTCCAAATTCATAGTAGGGACAGATAAAATATTTTTTTTAAATATGTTTTTATTGATTTTTTTTTTTTAAAGAGAGAGAGGAAGGGAGGGAGAGAAATATTGATGTGAAGGAGAAACATCCATCAGCTGCCTCCTGTACAACCCCCTACTGGTGATCGAGCCTGCAACCTGGGCATATGCCCTAACCGGGAATTGAACCGGAACCTCTCAGTTCATGGGATGACATTCAGTCTACTGAACCACACCAGCCAGGCAGATAAAAAATTTTTAGCTCTGGCCGGTTTGGCTCACCGGTTAGAGCATCAGCCTGCAGTCCAGAGAGTCCTGGGTTTGGTTCCCGCTAGGGGCATGTACCAAAAAAAAAAGATTTTTAAAATATTAAAATTACATGATATTTGCCCAAATTGCCAGCTTGATCCCCATTAGGGGGCATGTAAGAGGCAACCGATTGATGTTTCTTTCTCACGTCCATGTTTCTCTCTCTCTCTCTCTCTCCCCCTTCCTCTCTCTCAAAAACAAAACAAAACAAAAAAAAAAATCAATAAAAACACATTTAGCCCTGGCTGGTTTGGCTCAGCAATTAGAGCGTCGGCCTGCGGTCCAGAGAGACCCGGGTTCAGTTCCCGCTAAGGGCATGTACTTCGGTTGCAATTTGTCCCCAGCCCTGGTTGGTCGTGTGGGTGGCAGCCACTCGATATGTCCCTTTCACATCAATGTTTCTCTCTCTCTCTCTTCCTCTCTCTCCCTCCCACTCTGTCTGAACAAAAAGAAAATGGAAAAATGTCCTCTGGTAAGGATTAAAAAACAAAACAAAACAAAAAAAACACATGTTTAAGATCACATCATATTTAAAAACAACATATGTAACTTTGGAGACCATCAGCAAGCTGGGGCTGAAGCAGCATATTCACTGGGCCTTGGGATCACACACAGGTTTTCAGGGGTGATTGAAGTTTCATTCTTGAAGATTAAAAAGGGTTCTGATGTGTGGTTGAGGACTGGAGAAACTCACCATGTGAAAACTGATCTGGGTGCAGCTCCACTGTGAATGAAGGCCTAAAAAATGTGTTTTTGGCCACCAACATCGAGCTAAAGTCTGTGCAAATAGAAGGGAGTAGAGAGGTCACTGGGCTTTGGGAAGACCAAAATCTGGGCTTCAGTTGTTGAGATTGGCAATGTAACTAGTCACATATAGGTAGCCAGAGAGAGAGGAAAAAAACAAGCACTCACATAAGTCATAAAATACAAACTGCCAGTGCACTTACAAACTGACATATACAGGTGCAAAACTGTCACTAGGAGGCAAGGCAACAAACATCCCAAGTGGGAAGTTTAGAAATGCAAGCTGAAATAAATTAAAACGCAATTCCATTTAAAATCCTTAAAGAGCCTAAATTATAAAACATGAAATCCAAAAAATGAAAGAAAAAAAAAAATTTTAAAAGATCACAAAAAAGTGTGCACATTGTAGAAAGTAGTACATGTAAAATATATAAACAAATCATCTGTGATGTCCCACCAACTAGCATTAACCACTACCAGTATTTCCAGTATATATCCTTCCTACTTTTTGTCTGTATAGATTTTTGTACAAATATGGGATCATGGTCCAGACTTTGATAACTTTTACGTTAATATGGGAACATTTTCTTACAAGTCTTTTATAGTCTTTCAAGCTATACAACATTGCACATGGATGTGTTATAGTTTATTTAAAGAATCTGCTATTTTATAGCTATTTGCAGCTTGCTGTAGTAATCATCTTTACATTTTATTATTTATTTATTTATTTTTAATCCTCACCCGACACTTTTCCATATTTTGTTCAGATAGAGTGGGAGGGAGAGAGAGAGAGAGAGAAACATCGACGTGAAAAGGACACATGGAGTGGTTGCCACCCGCACGACCCAACCCAGGGCCAGGGACAAACTGCAACCGAGATACATGCCCTTAGCGGGAACCGAACCCGGGTCTCTCTGGACTGCAGGCCTATGCTCTAACCGCTGAGCAAAACCGGCCAGGGCACGTTTTATTTTTTAAAAATACCTTTGTTTTCTCTGAGAAAAGTAAAAATATAAAGACTACATAAAAACACTAAGAAGAAAACAAAGAACACGAGTCTTATGATGCAGAAATACACTTTATGTGTATGTAACTCTGTATGTGTATAATAGCCATCATATTATACATATTGTTTTGTAACCTCTTTTTTTCATTTAACATTGTGACGTTTTCAATGGGAAATTAAGATTTATATCATCTATAGGGTGCTTAGTTCATTATAAGGTTGTACTATAATAATTGTCATTGTCATTGTAAGACACTAACGTGTTTTTATTTCACTATTTTGAACAAGGCTATCAGTGTTATGACATTGTTATAATATTATAAATATGTTAAGGTTTTGTTCTTTTTTTTAAAGGTTTTGTACTTAATACACTATTTTTGTTTTTCAACAGGTGTTTGCATATGATCATTGTTTCTGGTCTATGGATGAATCTGTCAAAGAAAAGTATGCAGGTAAGAGTACAGCATTCTGTTAACTATTGATAACATAGAAAAGGTGATTTGATATTTTTTCTATAAATTATTCTATTATTTTATTTAACTTTAGAAATTATATAGAGAATTTCCTCTAATCTTTGCTATTAGAGTTTTTACATTGGTTGGGAAATGGGAACTTCACCTTACACTGCTCTTGGTTTAAGATGATAAAGTCAGCCCTGGCCAGTTTGGCTCAGTGGTTAGAGTGTTGGCCCACAGACCAGAGAGACTCGGGTTCTGTTCCTGCTAAGGGCACGTACCTTGGTTGTAGTTTTTCCTCGGCCCCAGTTGAGGTCGTGTGGGTGGCGACCAGTTGATGTGTCTTTCTCACATCGATGTTTCTCTCTCTCTCTCTCTTCCCCCCTTTCTCCATCCTGCTCTATCTGAAGATAAATGCAAAAAATGTCCTCAGGTGAGGATTAAAAAAAAGATGATAAAGTCAGATTGATAGGGCACATGGTTGAGGTTATCTTAATTACATGCATCCCAGCCCTTACATGGCACCAGTCACATGCAGTAGCCACTCAGATTCCCTTAGATGTCTATGATGTGGTTTAGAGAGGCAGCTTGGTGAAACAGATGAAGAGCCGTGGTGAAAATGAAACCTTGAGTTTAACCCAGGTTCTACTCCTGTCTGCTCCTGTGACTCTGAGTAAATCACTTAAGCTTTCAGTGTTCTGTTTTCTGTCTTTAATGAAGAGGAATATATCACAGTCTTTCTAAATTTGCTCTGGAATTCTGTTATTCTTTTACTTTCTTCAGTGATGACTGTCTCAAGCCCTTTTTTACCACAAGTTTAGGACTACAGTGAAAGCCAAGTCTTTTATTCCTAACTGCTTACAACACCTGTTTCTAAGCATCTTAAATATTGAGTGTCATATTGTATTGGCTTTTATCATGAGACAACAGTAGTACTACAGCTGTTTCAGAAAGTTAAGGTTAATTTGGTCTAGCTGGCCCATTGATGACTTTAAAGAATGCTTCAGTATCGGAAGTATGTTGATGATGTACTAATCTGGTAACTAGGAAGTGAGGCATAATGAAATGCTATTTATAGCATTTAAAACATAACAAACATAACAGCATCCAGGTCTCTCATATTTAAAGTGTGTCCAGATTCCAGTTCCAGTTTGTGGGGACACAGGTGTTTCCCCACCACCACCAACAAGCAATGCTGCAGACACCAGGTGGGTGTCTACTCAATTCTGACACTACCTACCTGGAGATAGCATCAGATCCCACAGGTTAATGGTTCAGTCCTACAACATTGCCCCCCACCCTCACTTCCACCCCCACACCCCACTTCAGACACCAATTGCAAGTCTAGGTTTTTACCTGTGCTTCTGACCAACCAGCTATAGATGGGAGGTTCCAGTGACCCTCTCCTTGGACTAAAGGCACCAGTTGCAAGTTCAGGTGGTTACCTGTACTTCAGACCAGCTGGCTGTAAATCAGAGGTTCCTACCACCTCCTCCTTGGGTTCAGTTAATTTTCTCGAGTGGCTCACAGAACTCCGAGAAACATTTTACTACTAGATTACCACCAGTTTATTATACAAAGGTGTGTAATCTAGGAATAGCCAGATGGAAGAGATGTATAGGGCAAGGTATGAGGAAAGGGCATGTAGCTCCCATTTCCCTCTCCAGATGCACCGCCTTCCCTAAATCTCCGGAGACATGTTCACCAACCTGGAGCTCTCCAAACCCTGTCCTTTTCAGTTTTTATGCAAGCTTCATTACATGGATATGATTGATTAAATTACTGGCCATTGATAATTGATTCTATCTCCAGCCCCCTGCTTCTCCCCAGAGAGGAGGTGGACTGAAAATTTCAACTCTCTAATCACATGCTTGGTTCTCCTGCCAACCTGCCCCCATCCATGGGTGTACCCCAAAAGTCACCTTATTAACATAACAAAAGACATATTTCTAACTTTTAACACTTAGGAAATTCTGAGGAATTTGAAAGACCAAATATATATTTCTTAAAAATTACATTATTATCAGCCTGGCCGCTTTGGCTCAGTGGTAGAGCATCGGCCCACGGACCAAAAAGTTGCGGGTTCGATTCTGGTCAAGGGCATGTACCTTGGTTTCAGTTCGTTCCTGGCCCTGGTCGGGGTTGTGCGGGGGGCAACCAGTTGACGTGTCTCTCTCACGTCGATGTTTCTCTCTCTCTCCCTTTCTCTCCCTTTTTCTCCCTCCGACTCTACATTATCATCAATGTATGCACCCCTGTGTTCATAGCAGCACTATTTACAATAGCTAAGATCTGGAAACAGCCCAAGTGTCCATCAGTAGATGAGTGGATAAAAAAGCTGTGGTACATATACATACACACAATGAAGTACTATGCAGCTGTAAGAAAGAAAGATCTCTTACCCTTTGAGACGACATGGAGGGACCTGGAGAGTATTATGCTAAGTGAAGTAAGCCAGTCAGAGAAAGACAAATATCACATGATCTTACTTATTTGTGGAATATAAAGAACAAAATAAGCTGATGAGCAAAATAGATCTAGAAACATGGAAGTAGGGAACAGACTGACAAACCTCAGAGCGAAGTGGGGTGAGGGGAGTGAGAAGAGATAAACCAAAGAACTTATATGCATATATGTATACCCAATAGCCACAGACAACAGTGCGGTGAAGGCCAGGGGCCAGGGGAGGGCGGGGCTGGGGTGGGGGAGAATCAGGGAGGAGGGTGTCAATGGGGGGAAAAGGAGGACAGCTGTAATACTTTCACAATAAAGATAGATGGAAAGGAAGGAAGTGACCATTAGAAACATGTGGGAGCATCTCAGAACTGAGGGAAAAACATCACATTATTACCACAATATTCAAGACTCAGGGTTGAATGGCTTATCTGATTTAGCCTGTAGAGAAGCATTTGACCCTATTATTTATGTCCGTGGTAGAAAGCTAGAAGACATTTTCAGTACCTTCCACTCTGTCCTAGTTGGAATATATTATAGACCCTGTAATTTAAAATTGCCACCGAGAAAAGAAAAAACAAAAAAAGAGTCCCTGGAGAATTGCTGCTTGTCACCAGAGACCACTGGTTCCAAACATTTATAGGAGTAAAACAAGCTACCCATGAATTATAAAGAGACTTGAAATTTTGTTCCAGAGTAGTATTTTCTGCCTGGTAAGGCCATTTCTGCCTTACCAGCTTGTTTAAAAAATAAAAAATAAATGTTTCCAAATGAAAAAATATTAAGTCTGGCCCGTGTGGCTCAGTGGTTGAACATTGACTCGTGCACCAAGAGGTCACCAGTTCAATTCCCGGTCAGGGCACATACCCAGATTGTGGGCCAAATCCCCATTGGGGGGCATGCAGGAGGTGGCCAATTGATGTTCTCTGTCATTGATGTTTCTGTCTCTCCCTCTCCCTTCCTTTCTCTCTAAAATTAAGAAAGAAAAAATAAAATTTTTAATTATTGAGGAAAAAGAGAGGGGATTTATATATATGATTGTTTTGAACTATAGTACCTACTGAATAAAGCATTAGCTGAGTGTTATATAGTTAATTTCAGGTCCACCTAAGTCCCAAGTTTAAATTTCAGATATTTATCATCACAGTTTATAAAATTAGCAGTTCATTAGCTTTTTGCATTGCAGAAGATTTTTGGTTAGTGTTTATTAATCCAAATTCATATTATCAGGAACTTTTTACTCATTTTATCTTATGTGCTAACTAGAAATATTCTGAAGAACACTTTTGGAAGCATTCATCAAGTTTAAAAGTGTTTTGGAGATAGCTGAAAAAAAGAAGTGCATTTTTTAGTTTTTGTTTGTTTGTTTGTTCTTTCAATTGTTCATGTATAGTTTTAGCCTAAAACATCTTTTCTTTTTCTTTTTCTTTTAGGTCAAGATGCTGTTTTTAAGTGCCTTGGGGAGAATATTCTTCAAAATGCTTTTGATGGCTACAATGCATGTATCTTTGCCTATGGACAGACTGGTAATATTAAACAATATATATATTTTTTAAGCTTTAAGGATCATGACAGAGAGGGACACAAACAAGATACATACTGTTAGCATCTTATCAGTTATGATTAATAAGGAGCATTTTGACTTCTATCTGCGGTCAACAGGAAAGAAAATCTACTTAAAGGGAAGGAGTCACTGTTTAAGGGTATATTGTATAGTGTGTCCAATTAAAAACTATTCTTCATGGAAAAATGCTTATGATATTTTTATTTTTTAAAATATATTTTTATTGATTTTTTTTTCTTTATTGACTTGAGAGAGAGAGAGAGAGAGGGAGAGGAAGAGAGAGAGAAACATCGATGAAAGAGAACATTAATTGGCCGCCTCCTGCATGCCCCACACTGGGGATTTGGCCCAAATCTGGGCATATGCCCTGACTGGGAATCAAACTGGTGACCTCTTGGTGCATGGGATGAGCTACACTGGCTGGGTGCTTATGATATTTTTAAGAGGCAGTGTGTACAATGGTTATAAAGGCAATGACTCTGATCCAGGTTATCCCAGCCCCAAACCTATTCGTGCCAATGACCAGCTGTGAAACTTGCAATTTGGTTTTCTTGTCTGTAAAATGTTAATAATTATAAGCCTGTCTTATAGGGTTGTCACAATGAGTTAACATGTGAAAACTTTTAGAAAAGGCCTAGTACAGAAGAAGTGATGTATTAGTTTTAGCTATTATGATGATGATAAAGTGTCAAGTGACAAAAATAGCAACTTGAATTTAAAAGTATGTTTATAAGCCCTGGCTGGGTAAGTTGTTTAGAGCATCATCCTGATATACCTAGGTTTTGGGTTCGATCCCTGGTCAGGGCACATACAAGAATCAACCAATGACTACATAAATAAGTGAACCAACAAATTTATCTCTCTCTTTCCCCCTTTCTCTCACTCTCTCTATAATCAATCAAAAAATTTTTAAAAAAATGTTTACAAAATCACTGTTACTAAAAAAGGGAAAAAAAATTATACTAAGGAGTATCACTGCTTGAATTTTTTTCTTTCTATTTTCTGGTATTTTCTAAATTGTCTTTAATGAATATGTATTCTTGATACAATTGAGAAAATAATTTTATAGTGGGAAAAGATTATTCTGGTTTCTACACTATTGCCAACAGTTCATCAGTTATTTTGCTCTGGGACGGGTAGGGATAATATAATTTTTATGGTACAGTTAGTGGTTGAGAGAAGTTAGAGTGTTGGCCTACAGACAGAAGAGTAGCGGGTTTGATTCCTGGTCAAGGGCATGTACCTCAGTTGCAGGTTTGGTCCCTGGCCCTGGTCGGGGTCATGTGGGACAATCCATGTGTCTTTCTCACGTCAGTGTTTCTTTCTGTCTCTCTCCCTCCCTCCCTCCATCACTCTTTCCCACCCACTCTATCTAAAAATCAGTGGAAATCCTCAGGTGAGGATTAAAAATAAATAATTAAATAAATAAAACTCTGAAGATGCTTAAAGAAGGTTTTTGTTTTCTTCTTAAAGGATGTTTACTTTTGACTTACATGTCCAGTAGGAAAGCTTCTGTACTTAATCGTCTTATCATTATATTTGGGTATATTTCTTATTTTATTATGGAAATCTTCCTAAGTGCTAGTACTTTATTATGAGTACTAGAAAGAGGTTTATATATTTCAGCTTCTCAAAAACACAGTAATAACTATGATTTTAATTTTTAGGATCTGGAAAATCTTACACCATGATGGGTACAGCTGATCAACCTGGATTAATCCCAAGACTTTGCAGTGGACTCTTTGAACGAACTCAGAAAGAGGAAAATGAAGAGCAGAGTTTTAAAGTAGAAGTGTCCTATATGGAAATTTATAATGAAAAAGTCAGAGACCTTCTTGATCCCAAAGGGTAAATGACTTTGAGACTTTACTATTATAGTATTATGGACTAAAACAGATTTAATAAATTGGCTTAAGTGAAATTTTTTATATTGAACTCTAGCAGAGAGTTATTTATCTAATTATTGTCTTTGTGATTTTATCTAGTTATTGTTTTTGTGATTTGCTTTTAGTTACATTGAGTGGTTTCCTGCAACCAATTCGGGCTTTTGAAGTTTGGGCTGAGATGGGGCAGGGAAGTGTGGTTGAGCAGCACGCAATTGAGTCATACTGTCTTCCTCCTATACAACCAAAGCTATAAACAAAAAATGTGTAATGAAAATTAAGTTACTTATTAGTATTAGGATAACTGGTATCTTAATCAAGTAGGTTATTATTATTATTATTTTCTTTTATTATTATTTTTTATCCTCACCCGAGGATATTTTTTTTTTATATTTTGTTCTGATAGAGTGGAAGGGGGAGAGAGAGAGAGAGAGAAACATCGATGTGAAAGGGACATATCAAGTGGCTGCCACCCACACAACCCAACCAAGGCCGGGGACAAACTACAACCGAGGTACGTGCCCTTAGCGGGAACCAAACCCGGGTCTCTCCAGACTGCAGGCTGACGCTCTAACCGCTGACCCAAACCTGCGAGGGCTTCTTTATTGATTTTAGAGAGAGAGGAAAGGAGAGGAAGAGAGAGATAGAAACATTGATGAGAGAAAACATTGGTTGGTTGGCCATCTCCTGCATGCCCCCCACTGGGGATTGGGCCCACAACCTGGACATGTGCCCTGACCGGAAATCGAACTGGCGACCTCTTGGTACATGTGTTGACACTCAACCAATGAGCCACACTGGCTGAGCAATTATTATTTTTTTAACCAAGAAATTTCAGGGGGGATGTGAAAGAGGCATAGAGATGTGAAACCTGGACTTTTAAGATAATTGATTTTAAAGATTCCTAGATTAAAAAAAAAAGTTCTATTTTATGGCATAGACTTTGAAATAAAAGTGGCTCAGAAGTATTAGAATGCCTTAAAAAATCCTGTTCTCACTCTGCAGTCATATCTGAACCTAATGAGGAAGATAAGAGGTATCAGAGGAAATGTGTTTATTGCACAGTGTGTTCTGAGTTCAGATTTTAAGGAAGTGTAACAATGGAGAGAAAGAAACATAATAACCACAGTTTGTGGCTTATTGCTGTAGAAACAGTGTCCAGGAGGTTAAAGAGACAAATGAGCTGAGGCTTACAGAAAGTGCACAGGATAACAAGGGGACAGTTAGTTATGTTTGGATGAAGAAAATGATCAAGGAAAGATGGTCTTAGAGGCAGTGAATCATAGTGAATCATTGCTCAGTCAAAATGATTATCCTTGCCCAGAGAAGGGAAGATTCAGTAGAGGGTGCTTGATCAATTTTGTGTTGAGTAGAAGTTTGTTCACAGAGAAGTTAGGTAAGAACCATTTAAGCACAGGGATAGCCCTTGCCAAGCATTTTTGGAGAAATTCCTTGTTGGGAGAGTGACCCAGCTGTCCAGTGTAGCTGGGGGGCATTATGCTTGGAAGTCAGAACAGAACACAAAAGGAGGTGAGAGGTAGAAAGGTTATGGCCTGAGCACCCACATCTTGCTGAGTATTATGCCCTTGTACTTTTTCTGGCTCTATCCCAATTACTTTTTCTTACACCTTCACCTCTGTGAAGAACATCATTTTCTTAGAGATCCAGCCCAGACCTACTGAGAAATTATTAGCTGCCTTTGTTCTTGTATTTTGTATTCCACAGTACTTGTGTGGCATAGCTTAAACTTTATCTACATTTTTTTTCATAGTCTGTAATAATTTCTTATGTTTGTCTTGTGTATAGTTTAGTCATTAACAGCTTGAGCTTTGGATTTACCTAGCTCTGGATCTAGGTCCATTAATTGTTACCTATTGAGCAAGGTCTTTATGCTTTCTAGGCCTCCTTTGTACGGAGAGTATGTAATGTTGCATAATTCCTCAGAGGGCTGTTGTGAAGATAGACTGGGGTGCTACATAGAGGCCTTACAACCTTTAGGGTGCATAGTAAGTGCTCAATAAGTGTTAGCTGCTGTTGTTGTCTCCTCCATGGAAGTTCTTGAGGCTTTTTGTAGTGTTTCTGAACAGTTGAAGTAGATAGATTAAAAACTATAAAAGTCCTGGCTGGTTTGGCTCAGCGGTTAGAGCGTTGGTCTGCGGTCCAGAGAGACCCGGGTTCAGTTCCCACTAAGGGCATGTACCTCAGTTGCAGTTTGTCCCCGGCCCTGGTTGGGTTGTGTGGGTGGCAGCCACTTGATGTGTACCTTTCACATTGATGTTTCTCTTTCTCTCTCTCTCTCTCTTCCTCTCTCTCCCTCCCGCTCTATCTGAACAAAAAATGAAAAAATGTCCTTGGGTGAGGATAAAAAAAAACACACACAAAACTATAAAAGTGATATCTTTTCAGTGAAAGACTATTTGAGGGAACTTTGTTTTGTTATTCAAGAACTCATTAATTCAGCATGCACTATGTGTAATAATGTAAATTATGTTTTACTCAGGAGATAACACAGTACACATTATCTTTAAGATAAGGGGAAAAAGGGAAAGGAAAAAGTTAGAATATATCCTGAAGAGTCAAAAACTAAGTCAAATAATTGTTCTGTGACTACTTGATGCACATTAAGCAAAGTTTTTAGTTGTTGATCCTAGGGTGCTAGAGTCCAAATCACTAGAGACTATTAAGTTACATAAAATATGAATCACTTATAATTTCACCACCAACAAATATTTTTACATTGTAATGATTTATTTTTTAAGAGTTTTTGAGATATAATTTATGTCACATACAGTCAATCATCAGCAAATATTCTTTTATTTTTTGTTGATATTATTAACTGTACTATATGCTCTAGGTTTCTGGCAGATGTCCTTTACAGAGTTTATGAGTTGCTAAGAGGCTTATTTATTTTTAAATCATGAACGAGTATTTCATTTCATTGAAAACTTTTTCCTACATTTATTGAAATGACCATGTGTGATTCCCCCAGCCCATTAATCTATCAATGTGGTAAAGGCCATGAATCTTTTCCAGTGTTAAAAAAAACCTGATAACCCTAAGATAAGCCCAATTTTAAGGTTTTAAATCATCACATGCATTATTTGTCATCTTTTGTTTGTCTTTGTTCATAATTGAGGTGGGTCTGCAATTTTCTTTTCTTGCACAGTTGACATTTATGGAGTTTCTGCTTTCTGTACCACATTCTGTGATATGACAAGTAAACTATTTGTATTTATTTGCCTCAGCATTCTTTGTGGCCACAAATAGACATCCCACAGTGCACCCTTTTGAGTGATGTGATATTTTACCACATTATGAAGTTTTTGTTACCAGTCAAGATTTTAAATTTTGGTTAAAATTCTTCTGGGATCAAGTTGGTTGGTTTTATTTATTTGGGATCTTTGTTGAATTCAGTATGTATTTTATGGAGCACAGTTAAATCCTTTAAAAACCAGGTTATTGTTTAAAAATCGTCTCTTTGTTTTTAATGAACAGAAGCCGTCAAACGTTAAAAGTCAGAGAGCACAGTGTGTTGGGACCCTATGTCGATGGACTTTCTAAACTGGCTGTCACCGGCTATAAGGTAACAACATCCTTTAAATAAACTAACTAAATTCAGTGTAGCAGTTTTTTTGTTTAATTTGTGATGATTATTATTTTTGAAATTTAAAAAATTATAGCCATATCACTTAATAAATTACTTTTAAACAAAAATGATTACTTAAAAAGCTGTATATGGCTCTCAGGACAGTTTAATTTTCAGAGAAGATATACATTTGCAAGGCATACATATGCATCTGTTGTGAGACACATTTTTTTGCATATTTTGTGAGCTCTAAAATTGTGATGTCCTCTACAATGATAACTGTCAGCCTTTTGTCTTCCCTGGCAGTACGTAAAATAGTGAAATTGCTTATGATTTTGTGGATTTAGTGAAATGAAATGTATGACTTGAGTAGATGGAGTTCAAAGCCTGTTTCTAATCTGAGAGAACCACTTACTGGCCTTTAGTTAGTTCTCTTCATTTTTAGACTTCACAGTTCTACTTTGAATCCTCGCCCGAGGACATTTTTTTAATTTTTTTTTTTCTTCAGATAGAGTGGGAGGGAGAGAGAGGAAGAGAGAGAGAGAGAAACAACGATGTGAAAGGGACACATCGAGTGGCTGCCACCCGCACGACCAACCAGGGACGGGGACAAACTGCAACCGAGGTATGTGCCCTTAGCGGGAACCGAACCTGGGTCTCTCTGGACCGCAGGCTGACTCTCTAACCGCTGAGCCAAACCGGCCAGGGCGACAGTTCTACTTTGTGTGAATCCATCAGGCTTTGTGTACTGGGGAAATGGGGGTGGGCTGACACCCCGTGATGTAATGTACATGGAATTGAGAGTCAGAGAATGTTGATCTTGTGACACTTAATCCTTTCGTTTGACTCCTGTATGACTCTTGAGTCACTTACTCCACCTCACCTACCCTCTTTGCCCTAGTTTTTTTTTAAATTTTTTTTTTTCTCACCTGAGGACATTTTTCCATTTTTTGTTCAGATAGAGTGGGAGGGAGAGAGAGAGAGAGAGAAACATTGACGTGAAAGGGACACATCGAGTGGTTGCCACCTGCATGACCCATTCAGGGCCGGGGCAAACTGCAACCGAGGTACATGCCCTTAGCGGGAACCGAACCTGGGTCTCTCTGGACCGCAGGCCGACGCTCTAACCGCTGAGCCAAACTGGCCAGGGCTGCCCTAGTTTTTAAAATGGAAATGAATTTTATTGTCTTGATTATCTTATGAGGTAGGATCATTTGTTTCTTTGTCCACTAATCAGTTCTATCATTTGATCAATGATACTTCAGTTAGTAAACATTAGTTAATACCTGTCATGTGTCAGACATTGTGCTAGGTGCTGAGGATATAAAAAAGAGAACAAGATTGTCCGTTGCCTCAAACTGCTTAATAGATGTTATAAAGGTATCATAAAACAATATGGTTTTAAGTGCTGGGGTAGATGCATGTTCAGGGTTCAATGGAGTGTCCAGGAGGGGCACCCAACTTTAAATGGGTATGTAGGTGTCTGGCTAGGGTGGTGTCTGGCAAGGCTTCCTGGAGGAGATCAGATGGGATAATGCATGTGAAAAGTCTTTGAAAACTCTAGAATATTTATATAAATGTTAGGTATTGTTGGTATATTAATAATGATCATTTGAGACCACATTTATGCAACATTGGAGAGAGATCAGGATTGTTTTGGAAGCTCAGAGGAGATTGGAGAGTATAAAAAGAACTTTTGCTTGTTTAAAAAATTATAAGGCTTACTACAGAGTTCATGCATAAAACAACAGATTAGAGACCAATGAGTAAATGTAGGCTAAATAGGATAAGCTTTTACTTAAGCTTCAGGATTGTCAGATTTAATGGGTCTAAAGTAGATTTAGAATGGATCTAGAACATTGTGATTTTTTTCCACTGTGGTGCCTATTTTTTGTAGTTAATGTTTTTATTTTGAGGCATTTTATTTATAATGTTGACTTCTCCCTTTAACATTATTCTTTTTCATTTATACAGCAACATAGAACCTTATGATATTCGAAGGTTTTAATATGTGTGTGTCAGTTTGGATTATGTTTGGCTACATATAACAGAAAAAATATAACAGGATTTAAGTTCTTTGGAATATGAATTATGTTTTGATCATTTTGTGTCCTCAGTATCTTAAAGTGTATCTTGCATGTACTAGGTGCTTTCAATATATATCTGAGTGGGCGAATTAATGAATGAAAGAATGAATGGTGAAGGGCTAGTATGGTACTGATATGGCCCCAAAGATGCTGTTAGGAACCTAGATTCCTGCCAGCTCTATGGTAATGCCCTTATTCTCATAGTTTAAGGTGACTCTTAAAACCAACATGCGATAGCATGCCTACTCCCTTCAAGGAGAATTCCCAGTGACCTGTATTGTACTTTACTCTCTCTCATTGAAATTTAGTCATATGGCCAGACTGAGATGCAAGGGTGACAGGGAAATGTCCCTTATCTCTGCCGCAGTATGCTCAGTTGAAGATTGAGTTCCTTTACTGGAAAGAGGAGGAGACGGGATAGAAGGCGGCAACTAGTAGACTCACACATACCATCTTTCTTGTTCCTCAGTTAAATCCTTGTAAGGTAGATGATGTTATAGCTCTGTGTGGTTACCTATGACACTAACATTCGGATTGGTTAAGTAGCTGTTTTAGAGCTTATAACATTTTTTAAAATGAAGATCCCATAATCTTTCTATATTGCATCATGCTATCTCTGTTTTAGCAGCAAAGGCAACAAAGTAGAGCAGAAATTAGTCTCTGGAAGTTTTTATTTTTAAAAATAGTTCTGGTAAGATATACTCCAAGGTGATGAGGTAATGCTCTGCCTGCTTGAAGGGGCTACAAATTATTTTTGCTTATTGTTAATTTGTGTAATCTAATCTAATTTAAGTTAACTTCTATTACTTCTGTAATTAAAGAAACTTAATTTTTTCAAATTTTTAGATTAGATGAAGATTGGCATGGCATATTTTTCCATTTTGTGAGACTCAACATGTAGCATCTAAACTTTCCTAATTCTCAGAGCTGCCACTTTATCTGCATGTACAGAAAGTAGTGCATTTTATTTGTTTTCATGGGGAGTATTGGTTACTGTACTCTGCGGGGGTTAATGTTCATTGAAAAACAAAGTGTAAATGCAAAATGTGGCTAAGTAATGAAACTTGTATTTTTATAGTATAGCAGAGTTTTAATACATATTGGACAGATAATGACATGTGTGTCTGTGATTTTTTTTCACTTAGGATATTGAGTCTTTGATGTCTGAGGGTAACAAATCTCGTACAGTTGCTGCAACCAACATGAATGAGGAGAGTAGTCGATCCCATGCAGTCTTCAAAATCACCCTCACTCATACTTTGTATGATGTGAAGTCTGGGGTAGGTGTTCAGATGTTTGACTTTTAAAAAATCATTTGGAAGTGGATCATGGTTTAAGTTATTCCCTTCAGGTGTTAGATGACTTGAAGTTTTAACCAAATATGTGTATCAATTAGGACACAGGATGAGAAACAAAAGCCATCTCGGTAAACAGAAAGAGATTTAAAAGAGGGATTTAAGTGATTGCAAAGTTGTTGGAACACCTGAGGAGGAGTGGGGTTCTAGACTGAATCTCCAGGAATAACTCCCAGAACAACACAGGTCTTATTGACCAGATGCTAGGCCCCACTGTGTTGTGGCTCTGAGTTCCAGGCGTGCCCCATAGCTCTGGTCTAGGACAACATACTTGCGTGATCCTGCATGCCAGCAGAAAAACCCCCAAAGGGGCAGAGGGTGGCCTCTGCTTTACTTCTGTTTTCCAAATCTTAAGCAAGGTATCTAATTGGCAGAACCTAAGTCACATACTGAAGCCTGGTCTGCAAGGGAGTAGGTTGTAGCTCTCCACCCTCTCCAACTAAAGAACGCGCAGCAGATGTTAAACAACCAGATGGCCCAAAGTCTTTGCTGCAGCATTTTTTTGAGCTTTAAACTATGATGGCTAATGGCATAAGCTAATGTTAGTACTTTAGCTGATTCAGTGGAGATACTTTTTACAATATGACCTGCTAAGCAGCTAAGTATTAGAAGGAATAAACTGCACTGGGGAAATTGTACTGGAAGATTGATAGATTTATAGAAAAACTTTTTTAAATTGAGTTATTTTTTCTTTTTTTAATTTCTTTTTTTCCTTTATTGATTTTAGAGAGGAAAGGAGAGGGAGAGAGAGATAGAAACATCAATTACAAAAAACATTGATTGGCCACCTCCTGCACGCCCCCCACTGGGGATTTGGCCCACAACCTGGGCATGTGTCCTGACCAGGAATCAAATGATGACCTCTTGGTACATGTGTTGACGCTCAACCACTGAACCACACTGGCCAGACTATATTTCTCTTTTTAAAATATGTTTCTATTGATTTTTTTAGGGAGAGAGAGAGAGAAACATCGATATGAGAGAGAGATATCCATTGGCTGCGTGCTGTACGCCCCCAACCGGGGATTGAGCCAAAAACCCTGGCATGTGCCCTAACCAGGAATCAAAGAACCGGGACCTCTCAGTCCATGGGGTGATGCTCAATCCACTGAGCCACACAGTCGGGCTAGAATAATTTTTTGAGTATTTGATTTTGAAACTTATAAGAGTAAACAGCCAGAGATGCATATGCTTCAACACATTGAAACCTTCTCTGTTGAATTACACACATTTGTGTTTTTCTCTTTTAATATGAACTTTTGCATATTTTATTATGATGCCTACCCCCCAGCAAATCAATTTCAAATACCAGAAGCTAAAATAATCACTCTGGCAAAACTCTATATTTTGGCAGGATTTTTATTTGCTGAAAGCATACTTTTTTTCTTTTACCATTGCAGCAAGATTAGTGTAACAACAAAAAGTTCTTTGTTTCCTATTTCCTTTTCAGCATAAAACAAAAAACATACTGAAGACTTTTTTAACCAAAAGTACTTTTGATTTGGAAAGCTGAATATCCTTTTGTAGCAGCATGTTTATTTATGGAAATAAATATAAATGTATATTTTAAACAACTAAAAAAAAAGATCCAGCCTATAGAATTTGGCATTGATTTCCCACATTTTTTTATTGCTGCTGAAATTAAAATGTGACATATGTGATTTAATATAAAAATTTTTTTAAGTTTTATTTTTCAGTTACATTGTATGTTCACTGTGTCTAGATTAGTAGAGTTTTGTATAATTTTGTACTTACTGGATTGTACAGTTTTCTCACATTGGTTTATAGCATTGCAAACTAATTTTGAAATAACGTAAGTGACTCTTTAATAAAGGGTTTTGATAATTAACTAGTTTTGTAGAGATTGTATCTCCCTTTGTATTGTCTAATTGTGCATTAGCATTTATAAATTATTTTCTAGACGTCTGGAGAGAAAGTGGGCAAACTGAGCTTGGTTGACCTAGCTGGCAGTGAGCGGGCAACCAAAACAGGAGCTGCCGGTGACAGGCTGAAGGAGGGGAGCAACATTAATAAGTACGTTTTCAGAGCTTCCTTTTTATTGCTTTGTTGATTTAATAGCCAAATAGGTGAGCTACTGTGGTTATTAAAAGAATAAGATTCTGAGCCAGTTAAGGCTATAATGAATACATGGTTTCGAATTTTTTTCAGATGAATATTTTTTATGGGCTCAAACCTATTTTGTGTTTTGGTCAGATGTCTGATGGGGCTGAGGAGTACAGCCTCAGTCAGGTCAGAGGTTTCTCAAGAACGGCTTATTGAGATTTGGGGCCTAAGGATTCTTTGTCCCTGGGAGTGGTCCTGTGTATTCCAGGATGTTTAGTGATACCCCTGGCCTCTACCCACTAGGTGGCGGTAGTATCTGCCACCTCTTTACCCCACCCTTAGTAGTGATGACCCAAATTATCCCCAGACATTGCCAGCTGCTCCCTGTGGGGGCACAGTCACCTCCAGTTGAGAACTGTTGGTCTGAGCTATAGAACAGAACAAAGGTGATTGGTCATCAGAGTCTAGCTGCTGATCTTGACCTAGGTGTCACTGTCTGAACAAAGAGCAGGTATAGTAGCCACATTCGCTTTCCCTGTTATGACTGCTGTTGTGCTTATTTATCCCATGAGGTTAGGACTTTATGAAGTAATGCTTTGTTCACCAATTCTTTCATATGATTGTATTTTCTACCTCAGGCTCATTTGTTAATTCCTATGGGCAGGAATCTTTTCTATCTCTATGGCTCCCAGAAAGGCACAAAGTGAGATAACGAGTCATCAATAACCAACTGAGATTATAGAACACCATCATGCAGATTCTGTTATTATTGAACAGTGATTGATACACACACACACACATAATTTTTGCCTTGTATTATGTTTTAATTAATTATATTGTGTTTGTGGCTTTTTTTCTTAAAGATAATGTAGTGTTTATGTCATTATCTTGACCCAGAGGTTTACAGCTCACATTTTAATTTATAAAAATGAAAAAAAACAAAAAACAAAACAAAACCCGAGATAAGCAGTTTTATTGCTTACAATCTTATTAGAGGGATATTAGCTGTTAGAATTTGTGTATTTTTAAACGGAGCAGCAAAATGCTGACAGCAGTGCTGTTTTCATGCAGGTTCAAAGGCATCTTGACGTTCAATCTTTGTGCTGAAACATGATACTTGAGATACTCCGTTTTTTATGATTACTATGATTTGTTGCACCATGCAGGTCCCTCACAACCCTCGGTCTGGTTATCTCAGCCCTGGCAGATCAGAGTGCTGGCAAAAACAAGAATAAGTTTGTTCCATATCGTGACTCAGTTCTCACTTGGCTGCTCAAAGTAAGTTATTGCTTTTCTTCCTGGTCTACTCTTGATGGTTGGTAACAGGAAGAATAAAGAGTAGAATATTAGTCCTTTCCAGTGATCATTTACTCCATCAGTGTTCACATTTGTAATCATTAGGCTCTTAGATGATAATCATAATTTTAATTGGTGAAGCACTGGATCCCACAATTGCCCCTGAGATTTGGGGGAATAGAAGAAGAACCTCGGGCTAATCTGATAGGCAAGTGAGTCATAGGAAAGGAGTTTCCACTGTCTCCCAGACTCAGCTGGACTGCTGTCTTTCTCAGAGACTCCTTTGGTTTGACTGACATTTGTATTTCTGTTTAATTTCAAGACTACTCATGATCATTTTAATTTGCTTTCAGCTTTTTAAAGGTATTGTTTAAGAATACAGAGTAGGTCACATAGCCATTCATTGGCTGATTCAATGTCCACGAGAGAGAAGGAAATGAGAAAGAAAAAAACTGTGTGAAGTGCCATGGAGAACATAAAGGAGTGGAAGGCACGCCTGGCCCTCTAACTGCTCAGAGTCTAGTACGGGAGGTGCAATGTACATACAAAATTATAACACGAGTTAGTGATTCCATGGAAGAGATGGCAGGGACGTGTAAGAGGAGTTTGGGGGACAGAGAGACTATTTCCAGGTTTCCTCTAGTCTTCGAGGTTCCCTTTAGTCTTGGTGAACCTGGATATTGGCCTGGGAGTTAGAGGATAGAAAATCTGGTGACAGTTTAACTCTTTATAGAGTGGCCAACCTGCAGCAAAATATTGTCCTACTATTTTTTTTAATAATGGAGAAAAAATTTTATGAACCCTGTTTTGTCTTGTGATAGCTTATTTTCTCATTGATCAAGATTTATATTGAACACCTGTTATCACTGTCCAGGGTTTGAGAATATAAAGATGAGGTAAATATAGGTCACCAAGTAATTTAGTAGAGGACACAATTTTGACTTAGTCCATGACATGTTTATAGAACTATGTTTGTAAAGGGAGTAGGATTTTCTTCTAGTTTCTACACCCTCTTAAAGGGTTACTTAGTATTCAGGTTTACTTCCTAGAACTCTGCACACCATTTGAACATGCTTTATTAAGTGTAATTTGCCACAGTAGAAAATCAGGTACTTTACTTTCTTTGGACAAAATGTAGTACAATTGAATTTAAAACAAAAGAATAAACAGATTTTTAAAAAGGACTTTAAATTTCATTTTTCAATTACAATTTACAGTCTTTATTATTAGTTTCAGGTGTACAGCATAGTGATTAGACAAATCATATACCTCACAAAGTATTCCCCCAATATTTCCAGTATTCACCTGGAACCATACATATTTATCACAATATTATTGACTATATTCCCTATGCTGTACTTTACACCCCCATGACTATTTCTAACTGCCAATTTGTACTTCTTTTTTTTATTCTTTTTTTAAATTTAATTAATTTATTTTTGTTACAGATGTTTCTCCTTTTCCCCCCACTGATTCCCCCCTCCCCCCTCTCCTCACCCTGTCCCCAGCTTTGTTGTCCATGTCCATTGTTCATGCACACATGCATATAAGTTCTGTGGTTCATCTCTCCCCTACCACCCCCTTTCTGGGGATTGTCAGTCTTTACCCCACTTCCGCGTCTCTGGGACTACCCCATTCCTCAGACTGTTATGTTCATTATATTCCACAAATAAGTGAGATCATATGATGCTTGTCTTTCTCTGTTTGGCTTGTTTTGCTTAGGATGATACTTTCCAGGTCCCTCCATGTCATCTCAAAGGATAAGAGATCTTTCTTTCTTACAGCTGCATAGTACTCCATTGTGTATATGTATATGTACCACAGCTTTGTTATCCATTTGTCTACTGATAGACATTTGGGCTGTTTCCACCAATTTGTACTTCTTAATGCCTTCATCTCTTTCACCTTGTTCCCTAACCGCCCCCCCTCCCCCCGCAGTCACCAGTCCGTTCTCTCTCTCTCTTTTTTTATATCATTTTAAAAAAGTAATTAATTAAATTTTGTTGCAGATGTTTCTCCTTTTCCCCCCAAGACACTTTCCTTCCTGTCCTACCCCACCCCCCAGCATCGTTGTCTATGTCCACTGGTTATGCATACATGCATTTAAGTTCTTTGGTTTATCTTATCCACTCCCCCAACTCCCTCCTCTGAAGTTTGTCAGTCTGAACTGTACTCCTTTCTATGTTTCTGGGTCTATTTTGTTTATCAGCTTTTTACCAGTTCGTTCTCTGTGTCTATTAGTCTGTTTCAATTTTGAATAAACAAAATTTTATAATTAAAAACCACTTCCAAGAAACTCTTGAATTCAAGGGATATTACAAAACATTTCACTACCAAGGAAATAACTGTGCTGGTTTTATGAGTTAATAATTAACCTTGAAATCTCATTTAATTTCCAGAAGAAATCTCAATAAGATACTTATTTCTTCCTCAAATTTTCCACAGAAACATTTCCTAATTATTCATGATTATTTCCTAGATGTGACTGATTGAAAAGACAGAATATTCATTGTCCTGTTTCAGTGTTGCTACTTCAGTCCATGTAAATAAACAATAGAAAATATCTTTTGTTAGTTGGTATAGTTGAAATGGCCCAGCTCATTATTCAGTGGCTAGTCCATAGATTGGAGGCCGGGAGAACTTGTTTTAGGAGAATCAGGTACCATGCTAAGTGCTTCGTGTACATTCTCAGGTACTCTTGGAAGGTAGATGGTGGTGTTCCTATTTTTTAGATGAGGCAATAGAGACAGAAACAAGATTGGAATTCAGAGCTTCACTGCTTATCTTCTTTTGCCTAAACAAGAGGTCATTAAAGGTTTTGATTAAAAGGTGAAGTACTTGAAGATTACCAAGCATTGATAGCAACTATTGGAAATACTTGAACTTAAAGAACAAAACAAAACACTTTCTTAAAAAAGCTCACTTTAGCCCGGCTGGTGTGGCTCAATGGCTGAGCAGCGACCCATGCACCCAGAGGTCACCGGTTCGATTCCCGGTCAGGGCACATGCCCAGGTTGTGGGCCCAGTCCCCAGTGAGGGCATGCAGGAGGCCAGCAGTTGATGTTCTGTCTCACTGATGTTTCTATCTCTCTCTCCCTCTCTCTTCTTCTCTCTTTCAAATCAATAAAGAAAAGAAAAAGCTCACTTTATATTCTGTTTAGTAAAATTAGGTTAAAATTGTAACTTCTATGTGTTAATTTTCAGGCTGAAAAAAAATGAATACTTTTCTTGACTTTCATCAGTTTTTTTCCTCAAAAACTATGTGACCTTCTTTATTTTGTTTGACTTTTGCAGCAGGATCTTAAGTAGGAATATTCTTGCAAAACATATTTTGGGGTTTAAACAGTTTTCCCAAAGGTCTCTGGGCTATTGATACTCAAATTGCTCTCCTTTGAAGTGGTTTTTATGTCCCTATTAATTTTTCCTTCTTTTTTTTTTTTCCTTTTCATTGATTTGAGAGAGAGAGAGAAAGAGACATCAATATATTGTTCCACTTTTTTCATGCATTAATTGGTTGATTCTTATATATGCCCTGACTGGGGATTGAACCCACAGTGCTCATCATTTATAAAATTTGCAATTTCTTTGTAGAGTTGGGTTTTTTGTTTTTTTTTTTGTATTGTATTTGCATTATAATTATGCTGTGCTCTTGATGTGTATAACATCTGAACATTGGAGACACTTTGACACCCCTGGTCAGGCGTAGATGTGAGCGCTCTTCTTTAGGGATGCTAGAGTGCAACTCATTTGATAAGTGGTCAGTGAAGAACCATTTTGTATTAAGATGATTTTGGCTTCTCTGTGTAACCTTTTAAATGTGGGTCTTTTATTTTTCATTATTATTTTTTCTTTATTGATTTTAGAGAGAGAGGAAGGGAGAGGGAGAGACAGATAGAAACATCGATAAGACAGAACATTGATTGGCTGCCTCCTGTATGCCCCCCACCAGGGATTTGGCCCACAACCTGGGCATGTGCCCTGACTGGGAATTGAACCGGTGACCTCTTGGTGCATGGGTTGACACTCAACCATTGAGCTACATTGGCCGGGCTAAATATGGGTCTTTTAACATCAAGTAACTTCTGGTAACAAATGCTCCAATAAAAATCATCTTTGGAATTCTTCCACTTTCCTCCATTCTTATTGCCACTTACATAATGAAGGTGACTTTTTATCTCTCGCTTGGATGATTGAAACCTCTCCCACAAGCTTTCTTAGTCCATTTTGTTTTTTAGAGTTAGGTTGTAGTTTCTTTCTAGATTAATACTCTTCTTAAACTTAAGTCTCTTTAATAACTTTCTAGAAGCCCTTACATTAAAGTCCAAATTCTTTAATGACTTGAGACTTACTAGGCCCTTCATAATCTGACCACTCCCTACTTCTCATTGTTCATCTTTTGCTCTTGATTTTATCAGTTCCAGCTAAGTGACTTCTAGGACTTTGCTCTTACCCTGGAACATTCTTCCTCCTCTCTTCAATCTCCTACACTGCTCTTCCTCCCCTTTACCTGGGTGATGCTTATTCATCTTAAGGTCTCATATGTCACTTTCTCTGGGAGTCTTCCCTAACCTTTCAAGATTGGGTTTTCTGCTCTTTTTCTGTTTTCCCAGACCATACTGTATTTATCCTTACTTCAGTTCTTATAGTATTTGCTCACCAGCATTGCCCTCCATGAAGAGTTGAATGAAGGAATAATTTCAGCTCTTCTCTGAACTGGCATTTATGACCTTTGGTAAATTGTCATTCTTCCTGGGTCTCAATTTCTCTTATGTAAAATGAAATAATTTGATTAAATGCCTTCAAAGAGTTCTTTCAGCTTTAAACAAGTCTGACTTCCAATATTAAATTTCTTTCTTAGGTCCATTTAATTTTCAGTTGCTACATTGGAAACAAAGCTCAGATGATTTGCCTAATTAAACAATTAAAGAGTAAACAAGAAGCTTTATACTTTCTCCTTGAATGAGTGCCAGGTCTTTTGTCGCTATTTCCTTTTTGCTAATGGCCTGGGGCCACTTTTTAATAAAAGCGTATTATTGTTGCTCATGCACAAGGGCTTTTAAAATATCAAGGATTTGTTGTTTGCCAGGTTTCCTTTTCTCAGCACAAATTGAAGCACAATGTGCATGCTTTTCTCCTTTGCTACTTATTGTTACACATCCCCTTGTACCCAGTAGCATTTGCTGTTCATGTGGGCTAACAATGCCGTAGTTCTTGAAGGGCAGTGCTCCACCACGAATTGCCATCTGAGATGTACTTCCTGTGCTCTTGGTATATGGCTTTGGAATTTCATTAATGTGCATGGGATTCTTCTTGACATTTTTCTGGATGTGGCCAAAGCTGGGTGCCAGCAATGTGAGATCAGTGTCTAGAAGTGAAGAGTGAAGCACACACTCACACAGGCCTCATGGAAGTCACTTTTGCTTCCTAAAGCCAAGATTACTTATTTTCCTTTTTTTTCATGTGTATTTCTTTCCAAGAGATAATGATCTTAGCTGTGTTTTCTGTGGAAAACCAAATTTTCAATATTGGATGAATAAGTGGACACACTATATGTGATTATGTTGGACTGTTAGGAACTCCTAGGGAATGATTTTGTTTCTGGCACTAGGACAGAATAATTTGGGAAGGTGTCAGGTCACCTTACTTATTCCTCAGGTCTAAACACTGTCAGTTGCCAAGTGTTGTTTGGTTACTATGTTATTGTAGGTAGCTGTGGGGGAGTGGAAATCATACTGAACTAGAAGGTGGGATACAATTGGACTAGAATATTGTTCAGTTTACTAGCACTGGATCTTCAGGCAGAGTATTAACCTTCTTTGTCAGAACAAACCTCTGATTTTTCATTGGTAAAGTGGGGAGACTAATAATCCAATTCACCAAAGGCTGAGGACTAAGTAAAGTCTATACAGGAAAATTATATAGATCACAGATTGCTTGAACACATTTTCAGTATAGTGATATCGGAAAAACTTTGTATCTTCCAAAGTAAGAATTTCATATCAGTTAAGCTGCTCAAAATTAATATTGGCTTTCTTGTGATCTAATGAATTCCTTATTACTGGCCTGTTTGAGTGTTCTCTCTAATCTTGAGACTATATTCAGCAATACTCTGTTACTGAAAGAGGGTGTTGAATTTATTGACTTGGGTAATTCTTCTCATCCTGGGATGGTATACAGTATAAATAAAGAATCCTACTTCACAGAAATTCATTTATCATGGTGGAGTCTGGAACTGATTAACCGTGATAAACGAGGGCCGACTGTATTAATGTGTGAGTAGTTATCTATTGCTATATGACATATTGCCCCTAAATCTTAACAGGTGGAAACAACAAGCATTTTTTATCTCACAGTTTCTGTGGGTCAGGATTCCAGGTGTGACCTAACTAAATTGTTCTGGCTAGCATCTGTCATGCAGCTGCAATCAGAGTGTCATCTGGGGCTGCAGTTACTGCAAGGCTTGACTGGGGTTGGATCTGCTCACCTAAGTAGTTGTTGGCAGGCTTCAGAAGATCTGTTTCCTACTCATTCCTGTGGTGCCTTCAAGGGACCACCTTACCTCATGGCAGTGGTAAGAGAAAACACCTGTGACAGAAGCCATGATCTTATAGTAAGTGACATCACTGCTGTAATCTGTTTCTTAGATGCAAATAAACAGTCCTGCACACACTCAAGGGAAGGGGATGATACAGGGGTAGTACTGCCTAGAGGTGGAAATCATCCTAGAGGCTGCCTGCCACGGCCACTGTCTGGTGGACTTGATTTCCCAAAGCTAGTTCTGTAATTCGGAGTTATATTTAGTTATTTTTAATATTCTCAAGTGAAAGTAGTATTTGAATTTGTTGGAGCCATTCTAAAGCCCCTTTCAGTATACTTTTCAGTTCAGGATGATGAGGATGAGTACCTTTCGTTCAGCACCCTTGTCTGGACTGTGGAAGTGGTTATGTAGAACATGAAGCCTATTTTAGTAGTTTCTGAAGTGACATCAGAGGGAGTAAAATGAAATACCTTCAATGTATCTTTTGTTTTGTAAGACTGTAATTGTACCGTTTTATGGTTTTAAAAAATTTACAAGGTGCTTGTAAACTTACAACACTTTCTGGACCATTATTTAGGCTTCTCAGAGATTTCGAGTACATAGTGTTATAAAGTAGATTGTAGATAATCACTCTTTGATTAGATAACAAATATCACCTTTGTTTGGTTCCTCTAAGGAAGATTTTGTAGGCATTTAAGAAATTATTCTTTTTTATTCTGAGTAGTCTGCTGACTTACGGCATCATGTTATCTGTTCAAAGAGAACAAATTGTCTTAACTAAAGTAAATATAAACTTTATTGTATTTCTCTGTCCTTTTTCAAAAATCAGAATTCCCTTTTGCAGAAAAGTATCTTGGAGAGAAGAAAGAACATGGGACAGGGAGTTGATGTACCTGTATTTTAGACCTGACTTTGTCCTTAAATATGTGTTTGACCTTGGAATGTTATCTCACCATTTCTGACTTTGACTTTCTCATATAATGTTTTCTTCCAACTTTAAAATGCTGCTTAATTTCTCCTTCTCTAGGACAGTCTTGGAGGTAACAGCAAGACAGCCATGGTAGCTACTGTGAGTCCAGCAGCTGATAACTATGACGAAACCCTTTCAACTCTGCGGTATGCAGATCGCGCCAAGCACATTGTGAACCACGCTGTGGTGAATGAGGATCCGAATGCGCGAATTATTCGGGACCTGAGGGAAGAAGTAGAAAAACTCCGAGAGCAGCTAACCAAAGCAGAGGTATAAGCTCAGCCAAGCGATGCCTTATGGATCTAGGAAAATCTAGTAAAGCTGGAACTTGAATTTTCTTCCTCTTTAACTATAAGTAATAAGTAATTCACTTATACTTTTTAAATTTCCTGTAGGAAGAGAGATGTAAGATGGGTAATAAATGAAGGAAGACAGATTGTCATAATTAAAATTTAGAGAGTTTTTACAGGTGTTAAAGGATTGAATAGGAGTAAAGAATGAAAGGAATTGAGAGAATGTTTTATTCTACAGTATAGGCAATGGACAAGAGAGAAGTATAATAGATAAGGGAGAATAAGAGACGCTTGAAAAAATGTATATAACTTAATTTTAGTGTAGAAAACGGTGCAGAGTGGACATAGACTAATTGGAAGAGGAATCAAACAGATTTGGGTTATGTCATTTATTCACTGGTTGAAGTCAGAGTGGAAATCTTAAGGAGATTTTTCACACCTTAATAATCTACTCTTTCCATGTTGTGGGGTAATTTTGTTTGTAGAAAACATATTTTATACTAGTAGTATCCATCTATTTACTGGTATTCTATTTCCACTATTCTTTGAACATTCCATAATGCATGGTATTTATGTTTCATTGCTGACTTTGAAACCTACACAATTCTCACCTACAACTGAATGCTCAGCCTTTTGTCAAAAGAGGAATAAAATATCTGAATCATGATTCCTACTCTAATTAGCCTTCTATTCCCACAATTTCCCAGCACTGTGGGACTCATTCCTGGGTCTGAGACTGTAACTCTCTTCTTTGTCATAGCCTGTTTTCTGACAGTAAATTGGTAAAATATATGGTCAAAGCAATTATCTTGATCATATTATTGCCTATTGAATTTTATCCTGTTTTTATAGGAACAATTTTAAAGTTCATCAAGATTCTTTGAGATTTTGTTTCTGTGTGTGTGCTTTTTTTTTTTTTATCCTTACCTGAGGACATTTTTTGTTCAGATAGAGTGGGAGGGAGAGAGAGGAAGAGAGAGAGAGAAACATCGACGTGAAAGGGACACATCGAGTGGCTGCCTCCCACACGACCCAACCAGGGCCGGCGACTAACTGCAACCAAGGTACATGCCCTTAGCGGGAACTGAACCCAGGTGTCTCTGGACTGCAGGCCAACGTGCTAACCGCTGAGCCAAACTGGCTAGGCTGTGTTCTTAATATTAATAACACCATCTTGTTTGTAACACATACAAATTTAGTCTGTATGTACTTGGATGAATACCTGAAGTCATCAGTAAAGACAAGAATGAATCATGTATGACTTTAGATATATGACTGATTGGGATTTTAAAAATATGCCCTTGAGCCCTGGCCGGTTTGTCTCAGCGGTTAGAGTGTCTGCCCGAGGACCAGAGAGTCCCAGGTTCAGTTCCCGCTAAGGACACGTACCTTGGTTGCAGTTTGTCCCAGGCCCCAGTTGGGGTTGTGTGGGTGGCAACCACTCAATGTGTCTCTCTCACGTCAATGTCGTCTCCCCCCCCCCTCCAGCTCTATCTGCAGATAAATGCAAAAATGTCCTCAGGTGAGGATTAAACACACACACACACACACACACACACACACACACACACACCCTTGATAGTTTGAACTATCTCCTTAAATGTAATTAGATCTTCACAATAACAGTAGGTTGGAGGAAAAGGAAAAAGTTGTCTTCCTTTCAAACCCAGCCAGGATAACTAGATTTGTCTGTGGAACCCACACAGTCAGGTTGCTGTGTGTCAGTGGCAGGCAGTTAAGTCTCAGGTCGATCAGAGACCTCAGTGAGCCATAGAGCTGCAAGGAGGCAGATTGTCACTTCTCTTTTTCTGGATTTATCTAATCCTTTTTCAGCACATCCTACAGACATCTCATGAAATAAACATTTTGCTTATAGGCAATGAAATCTCCAGAGCTCAAGGAACGGCTGGAAGAATCAGAGAAGCTAATCCAGGAAATGACTGTGACCTGGGAGGAGAAATTAAGGACAACCGAGGAAATTGCCCAGGTTTGTGTTCCCAGATTTAGAGAGCAAAACCTCATGGCAGTTTGTGCCAGTCATCTCAGGTGGCGTTTCTGGTTCTTTATGATGTTTGCTTTGAGAATAGCAAATCTAGCACCATTAATAAGAATCTAGAGTCAAGACTTTATACTTTACAAAGCTCATTTGAAAGAGTAAAAATAAGACATAATCACAACTAATGGTTCATTATGTAAGAAATAAATTTTTAGGGTCATAAAAAGTTTTTAATAAATCACTACTTTGTAACCTCTGGCCCTGAATACCCAATTCTGTTTAGTGCTTTGTAGACCTAAGGAAATTCACCCAAACCACAGAGTTATTAGTAGTAGATATTAGGCTGTGAGATTCTTGCTTCCATATGGCAACTCAGTAAAAATGATATGAAATTCCTAAATCTGAGGTTACTTGCATTTTTAAGACACTTAATACAGATAGAGTTGTGAAATCTTAGGGTGGGAACATTAGCATTTAGAGAAAATCCTAAAACGTCCAACTAAGTCATAAAAGACTTATGCTGTGGCTTTCCTGTTAGATGGTTCATTCAGCCTCTGTTTTAAACATACCCCTCTGAGCAGTCTTTTCATGATTGGACAACTCTGATAGTAGCTATTTCATAGAAATCTTTCATTCTTTTGTTTCTGCTCACTGACCTGAGTTTGTTCTTCCAAAGCTAAGAGAAAAAGTGTCCCTTAATAGTGTGGGGAAGGCAGGAGGGGGATGGTAGTGGGGAGGAGGAGGTCAGTGGGGGAAGAAAGGAGGGACATCTAGTCCTTTCAATAATAAAGATAATAAGCCCTGGCTGGTTTGGCTTAGCAGTTAGAGCACTGGCCTGTGGACCAAATTGTCGCGGGTTTGATTCCAGCTAAGGGCATGTACCTCGGTTGCAGTTCGCGGCCCTGGTCCAGGTTGTGCAGGAGGCAACCAATCGATGTCTCTCTATCGCATCCGTCTCTCTCTCCCTCTCTCCCTCCCTCCCACTCTATCTGAAGATAAATTGGAAAACTATCTAAATATCCTTGGATGAGAATTTAAAAAAGATAAATAAGTAAAAATTTTAAAAAGAAAAAGTGTCCCAATTGTATATAGTAACTAAGGATAATAATAATAGCCAATATTTATTGGATACACATATGTATTGGGCCTATGCTAAGCACTTTTAAAGTACAGTATTTTGTTTAATCCTCCCAACAGCCCTGCGAGACTAGTATTATAGAAATACTTAAAGTCACCTTTGCCTCTTTCCCTCCTTTTCTCTTTTTTTTTTTTTTTATCCTCACCCGAGGACATTTTTCCATTTTTTGTACAGACAGAGTGGGAGGGAGAGAGAGAGGAAGAGAGAGAGAGGGAAACATCGATGTGAAAGGGACACATCGAGTGGCTGCCACCCGCACGACCAACCAGGGCCGGGGACAAACTGCAACCAAGGCACATGCCCTTAGCGGGAACCGAACCCGGGTCTCTCCGGACCGCAGGCGGGCGCTCTAACTGCTGAGCCAAACCGGCCAGGGTCCCTCTTTTTCTTTAAAAAACTTTTTTCCTTTATTGATTTTAGAGAGAGAGGAAGTGAGAGGGAGAGAGAGAGATAGAAACATCCATGAGAGAGAACATTGATTGGCTGCCTCCTGCATGCCCCCCACTGGGGATCGGGCCCACAACCTGGGCATGTGTCCTGACCAGGAACCGAACCGGTGATCTCTTGGTGCATGGGTTGATGTTCAACTACTGAGCCACACTGGCCAGACACTTGCCCTCCTTTTCTAAAATTAAAAATCTCTAGTGTTTGCACCTGTTCCTTATATTGGCAAATTGATAGAACTGGCCACTCCGTTTGCCACCCAGTGGATTATATCTTTAAATGTGCTGTCCAGAACCAGTGTATCCATCAGAAGTTGTAGGACACTATTAGTGTTATATTTACAGTAGTGCAGACTAGGACTTAAGTCAATTTTTAAACAATTTTTATAATGGCCAATTAAAACATTTATAAGAGAAGAATATAATAAATCCACATGTATCCATCGCCCAGTATCATTAAAGATCAATATATGACCAATCTTATTTTATCTATATTGCCACTTCGGGTTATTTTTAAGCCTATCCCTTAGATGACAGAGAAGAGAATAATACACCAGTGTCTAAACTTTATTTCTCATTACATGTTTCACTTTTTGTTTTTTCATAAATATGTCATTCTAATCATTTTTCCACTGGAAACTAAGCTGTGTGAGTCTTTTTGAGCTCTTCAAAATGAAACATTGACTTTGAAGTGCTCTTGTACTTGGATAGCTTTGCTGATACAGAGCAAGGTAGGTCTAAGTGAGATTGCTGTGCTAGCGAATCTTATCTGCATCATCTTTCCTTACCTAGCTGTCCTCTCCCTCTCTCAGATGTCCCTTTTGGGAACTAAGCCTAATTTTATCCAACACCTTGTCTTTCCAGGCCCCTAGGCTTCCGTGCTACTGAGCTTTCTTTTCCTCTCTCACTGAATCAGTTGATCATGGACCTCTTTCCAAAACTGATTGACATTCCCCATAATGTATTTCTTTTTTTTTTTTTTCCACAATCTTTTTTAAATTTTTTTGTTACAGATGTTTCTCCTTTTTTACCCCATTGGCACCCCCTCCCCACCCCACCCCCTCCCCATCCCCGGCTTTGTTGTCCATATCCATTGGTCATGCATACATGCATATAAGTTCTGAGGTTTAGCTCCTCCCACCCCCCCACCCCCTCTTCTGAGGGATGTCAGTCTGTGCCCTACTTCCATGTTTCTGGGTCTACCGTATTCCTCAGACTGTTATGTTCATTATATTCCGTATATAAGTGAGATCATGTGGTATTTATCTTTTTCTGCTTGGCTTATTTCACTTAGGATAATACTTTCAAGGTCCCTCCATGTCGTCTCAAAGGATAAGAGATCTTTCTTTCTTACTGCTGCATAGTACTTCATTGTGTATATGGACCACAGCTTTCTTATCCATTCGTCTGCTGATGGACACTTGGTCTGTTTCCACATCTTAGCTATTGTAAATAGTGCTGCTATGAACATGGGGGTACACATATTATTCCTGATTGGTGTTTCAGGCTTCTTAGGGTATATTCCTAGAAGCGGGATCACTGGGTCAAATGGAAGTTCAATTTTTAATTTTTTGAGGTAACACCATATTGTTTTCCATAGCGGCTGCACCAGTCTGCATTCCCACCAGCAGTGTATTAGAGTCCCCTTTTCTCCACACCCTCGCCAACACTTGTTGTTGGATGATTTGTTGATGGCGGCCATTCTGACAGGTGTGAGGTGATACCTCATTGTTGTTTTAATTTGCATCTCTCTGATGATTAGTGATGTTGAGCATTTCTTCATATGTCTCTTGGCCATTTGTATGTCCTGTTTGGAGAGGTGTCTATTCAGCTCCTCTGCCCATTTTTTAATTGGGTTTTTTGTCTTCCTTTTGTTGAGTTGTATGAGCATTCTATATATATTGGAAATTAACCCCTTATCTGATATATCATTGGCAATGATGTTCTCCCATACAGTGGGTTGCCTTTCCATTTTGATGATTGTTTCTTTTGCTGTGCAGAAGCTTTTCAGTTTGATGTAGTCCCATGTGTTCATTTTCTCTTTTGTTTCTGTTGCCTTAGGTGATGTATCAGTGAAAATTCTGCTCCGAATGATGTCCGAAATTTTATTGCCCACATTTTCTTCTAGAATTTTTATGGATTCACGGGTCACATTTAAGTCTTTTATCCATTTTGAGTTTATTTTTGTGTATGATGTAAGTTGATGGTCTAGTTTCATTTTTTTGCATGTAGCTGTCCAATTTTCCCAACACCATTTATTAAAGAGGCTGTCTTTACTCCACTGTATGCTCTTGCCACCTTTGTCAAATATTAGTTGAGCATATTGCCTTGGGTCCATTTCTGGGTTTTCAGTTCTGTTCCACTCGTCTATACGCCTGTTCTTGTGCCAGTACCAGGCTGTTTTGATTACATTCGCTTTGTAGTATAACCTGATATCTGGTATTGTGATCCCACCTACTTTGTCCTTCTTTTTCAAAATTGCTGTGGCTATTCGGGGACTTTTTTGGTTCCATATGAACTTTTGAAGTATTTGTTCTAGTTCTATGAAATATGTCGTTGGTATTTTGATGGGGATTGCATTGAATCTATAGATTGCTTTGGGTAGTGTGGACATTTTAATGATGTTAATTCTTCCAATCCATGATCAAGGCATGTGCTTCCACTTTTTTATATCTTCTCTATTTCCTTTTTCAATGACCTGTAGTTTTCTGCAAATAGGTCTGTTACTTCTTTGGTTTATTCCTAGGTATCTTAATTTTTTTGGTGCGATGGTAAATGGGATTGTTTTCTCAGTTTCTCTTTCTGTGAGTTCATCATTGGCGTACAAGAATGCCATCGATTTCTTGACGTTAATTTTGTATCCTGCCACTTTGCCAAATTCATTTATTAAGTCTAGTAGATTTTTGATGGAGTCTTTAGGGTTTTCTATATATAATATCATGTCATTTGCAAATAATGACAGTTTCACTTCCTCCTTTCCAATTTGGATCCCTTTTATTTTTTCTTCCTATCTGATTGCTGTGGCTAAGACTTCCAGTACAATGTTAAATAAGAGTGGCGAAAGTGGACATCCCTGTCTTGTTCCTGTTCTTAATGGAAATGTTTTTAGTTTCTGCCCATTGAGTGTGATGTTGGCTGTAGGTCTTTTATATATGGCCCTTATTATGTCGAGATATGATCCCTCTATTCCCACATTGCTGAGCATTTTTATCAGAAATGGATGCTAGATTTTTTTTTAATGCTTTCTCAGCATCTATTGATATGATCATGTGGTTTTTATTCTTCATTTTGTTTATGTGGTGTATCACATTTATTGATTTGCGAATATTGTACCCGCCTTGCATCCCTGGAATGACTCCCACTTGGTCATGGTGAATAATTTTTTTGATGTATTGCTGGATCCGATTTGCTAGTATTTTGTTCAGGATTTTGGCATCTATGTTCATCAGGGATATTGGCCTGTAGTTTTCTTTCTTTGTAGTGTCTTTGTCTGGTTTTGGAATTAGAATTATGCTGGCCTCATAGAACGTATTTGGAAGTCTTCCTTCTTCTTGAATTTTTTGAAACAGTTTGTGGAGAATGGGTGTTAGTTCATTTTTGAATGTTCGGTAAAAGTCCCCCATGAAGCCATCTGGGCCTGGGCTTTTGTTTGCTGGCAGAATCTTGATTTCCTCTTCAATTTCCTTAGTTGTTATTGGTCTGTTCAAGTTTTCTATCTCTTCCCGGTCCAGTTTTGGGAGACTGTGTGTTTCTAGAAATTTGTCCATTTTGCTTAGATTGTCGAATTTGTTGCCATATAATTGTTCATAGTAGCTGTTAACGATCTTTTGTATTTTTGTGGTGTCGGTTGTTACTTCTCCTCTTTCATTTCTGATTTTGTGTATTTGGGTTCTCTCTCTTTGTTTCTTGGTGAGTCTAGCTAAGGGTCCATCAATCTTGTTTATCTTTTCGAAAAAGCAGCTCTGTGTTTCATCGATTCTTTAATTGTTTTTTGGTCTCAATGTCATTTATTTCTGCTCTGATCTTTACTGTTTCCTTCCTTCTACTTGCTCTGGCGTTTTCTTTTTGTTTGCTTTCTAATTCTTTAAGTTGTGAGGTTAGACAGTCAATTAGACATTTTTCTTTTTTCTTGAGGTAGGCCTATAGTGCTATGAACTTCCCTCTCAGAACTGCTTTTGCTGCATCCCATAGATTTTGTGTTGTTGTGTGTTCATTTTCATTGGTTTCCAGGAAGTTTTTAATTTCTTCCTTGATCTCCTCGGTGACCTATTCATTGTTTAATAACATGCTATTTAGCCTCTATGTTTTGAAATGTCTTTGCATGTTCTTGTTGCAATTGATTTCTAGTTTCATGCCATTGTGATCGGAGAAGATGCTTGATATAATTTCAATCTTCTTGAACTTGTAGAGATTTAGTTTGTGTCCTATCATGTGGTCTGTCTTTGAGAATGTCCCATGTGCACTTGAGAAGAATGTGTATTCTGTAGTTTTGGGGTGTAATTCTCTGTAGATATCTATTAAATCCATTTGGTCTAGTGCTTCATTTAGAGTCTCTGTTTCCTTGCTAATTTTTTGTCTAGAGGATCTATCCAGTGGTGTCAACAGGGTGTTGAAGTCCCCTGCTATGATTGTATTGCTGTCGATTTCTCCTTGGAAGTTTCCCAGAAGATTTTTAATATATTTTGGTGCTCCTATATTGGGTGCATATATGTTTATCAAGGTTATATCTTCCTGTTGGATAGAACCTTTCAATATTATGTAGTGGCCTTCTTTGTCTCCCATAATGTATTTCTGAAAGTATAGCCAGAAATTGTTAATAAAGTCTTCTGGGGTAAAAGTGGTCTACAGATAACTTTGAGAGTATCTGGGTAAGCTAAGTCAAATGGATTTCTCTTTTGAAGGACTTTTCACATGTCTGTCCCAAGTCCGGCTCTCTAGAAATTTGTGCTCTGTGACATCTCCTTTACTATCCCAGCCCCACAGGTCATCCCTGCCATTGAAGCCCTGTGGCAACTGTCTATACCCTTCTGACCCTTAAGTCATGCAGTACTTTGTTCAATTTTTTTTAAGGATTTAAAAAAATATATATGTTTTTATTGATTTTTTGAGAGAGAGAGGAAGGGAGAGATAGAAACTTCAGTGTGAGAGAAACATAGATTGGCTGCCTCCTGCACGCCCCCTACTAGGGATCAAGCCCAAAACCTGGGCATGTGCCCTGACTGGGAATCAAATCAGGACCTTGCAGTCTATGGGATGATGCTCAGTCCACTATGCCACACTGGCTGGGTGTGTACAGTTTTATTACCTCATGAGTAAGAGTCTCAAGACAAAAGGACATCTTTTTGTTTTTCTGGTGTGTGCTCAATCATTTTTTATTTATTTTATTTTTTGCAGTTTTTATTTATTTATTTTTGTTACGAATGCCCCCCCCCCCCAGGCATCCTCTCCCCTATCCTGCCCCCTCAGTAACATTTTTGAATAACCAAACAGAAATCAAATTAACTAATTTCTAAACCCAGTGACATATCTGTGATACCAAATGGTCTCCTATTTTTATTTTTTCTGTTCTCATTAAGAAATACACACTTTGCCCTGGCCAGTTTGGCTTAGCGGTTAGAGCGTTGGCCGGCCGGCTAAAGAGTTGAGGGTTCAATTCTGGTCAAAGACACATACCTTGGTTGTGTTTCGGTTCCTGACCCTGGTCAGGGTTGTGTGGGAGTCAGCTGATCGATGTGTCTCTCTTACATCGATGTCTCTTTCTCTCTCTCTTTCTTTCTCACTCTCTCCCTCGCACTCTATCTGACCATAAATGGAAAAAATATCCTCGGGTGAGGATTAAAAAAAGAAAAGAAAAGAAAAGAAAAATGCATACTTACGTGAAATCAAAACCTGGACATGAGCAGGGGTCAGCAAGTACGTTTCTTCTCATTATTGAAATAATTCTTTCGTTGCCTGCTGAAACTCTTAAGTAAACAGCCTTCCCTCAGAAAGGACTACACAAGATGTGTCAGAAGTGCTTTCCTCCTTTTAGGAACATGGTTCTTTCTTTATCAAGGATAATCATTTCTTAGAACTGAGTGCTGAAAAAACTAATGTCTCATGCTAAATGAATGAAAACTTCTTAAAGAACCCCGTAGTGTTTTTGTTAGAAGAGAGACTTGATTCAAAGACTGAGAACCAAAATATCCCTACTTTTGTAATAGTATACTTCTCGGCAAAATGTATTGACCAGGTTGCAGTGGCCATGTAAATTAGGATGGTATCCCTAGAAACAGCAAAATTCTGAAGTTGTGATTTAATTATACTGCAAATGTATTGTGTGGCCCTAGTTAAATGACTTAGCATGTTTTGTCTTTTCTCCAGAATCAAAAGTCCTTGGTGGCTCTGAGTCATTACTACTTGCTGTTTATAATGGTCAAAGACACCCTCCTCTGCCGCAATTTATAATCTTAATTATAGAGCATCGCTTGTAGGATTCATATGTATCCCCTGTGTACATACATTCCTATATTGTGTGGATTCAGAGACAGTAGGCACAATAAAAGGAAGTTCATATTCTTATGAAAATAGTACTTGAACGCATATGCAGGTTTTATTTTGATTAATGTATAAGATCAATGTTTTGAGTGCTCGCTGTGTGTTACGCATTGAGCTAGGAGTACACAGTGGATAGATAGGATCCATGCCTGCATAGAGATATGAGCAAGTAAACAGTTACCAAGTGTGAAAACAAATAAGCTCCAACTAGAAGACACCTCTTAAGCTAAAGAGAGCATTCTTGACACTTCCAGGGACTTGGAAGATGTTCCATGTAACCACAGTAAGGTTTTGAAAGGGGAAGTGACAAGATGCAAAGATGGGAGTAAATTAAATAGACCAGATTGAAGCCTGGTGGACTTTGTTGAGGGAGTTTGGCTTTTATCCCGGTTGGGAAGTTACTGAGGTATCAAGCAGGAGAGTGTATTGATAACTTGGCTTTTTAGAAACATCACACTTAACTAAAACAAATGTACATTTGCTCGTGTGTACAGAATTGAATGAGAAAGACAAATTCAAGACAAATACAATCATAGACATTTTCAAGAATGAAAATTGAGAACTCAGGAATATACTTGGCTGTTTTTTGTAATGACTTTATTTTATAAAATGAAAATGTTTTAAATTCATAGCAGTGCTGTTTACAATAGCTAAGATCTGGTGCCCATCAATAGATAAATGGATAAAAAAGCTATGGTACATTTTTTTTTTTTATCCTCACCCGAGGACATTTTTTCCATTTTTTGTTCAGATAGAGTGGGAGGGAAAGAGACAGAGAGAAACATCGACATGAAAGGGAGATATCGAGTGGTTGCCACCCACATGACCCAACCAGGGCCAGGAACAAACTGCAACCGAGGTACGTGCCCTTAGCAGGAACCGAACCCAGGTCTCTCGGGACCACAGGCCGACGCTCTAACCGCTGAGCCAAACCGGCCAAGGCAAGCTATGGTACAATTACACAATGGAATATTATGAGCTGTAAGAAAGAGATATCTTTTACCCTTTGAGACAACATGGAGGGACCTGGAGAGTATTATGCTAAGCGAAATAAGCCAGCCAGCAAATGACAAATACCACAAAATCTCACTTATTTGTGGAACAAAATAAGCTATCGAGGAAAATAGATCCAGATCATGGAAGTAGGGAACAGACTGACAAACCTCAGAGGGATCAGGGGAAAGATAAACCAAAGAACTTATATGCACACCCAATTGACATGGACACTAGGCTGGGGGAGGCAGGAAGGGGTAGGAGTGGGAAGGGGGGGGTCAATGGGGAAAAACGGGGGGGCATCTGTAATACGGTAGTTTCAACAATAAAATAAAATAAAAGAACATTTTACAGTTCAGAAAGAGAAAAATACATTAATCTTTAATGCCATGTCTTAAGCTAACATACTTGAATTATAAAGTTATTCAACAGTTACTGTAACATAAGACCTTTTATATCTTACTGCGTCAATAGCTGTGGAATTAATATTTCTCTAATACCTTACAGGAGCGACAGAAACAACTTGAAAGTCTTGGAATATCTCTTCAGTCTTCTGGAATTAAAGTTGGGGATGATAAATGTTTCCTTGTTAATCTGAATGCTGATCCTGCTTTGAATGAACTTCTGGTTTACTATTTAAAGGTGAAGTAATCAGCTTTGCTACTATTTCCTGCCATGAAATAGAACAGTGTTTCACAGCATTTAAAAAAAAAACTTGGAGAACCACGCTTATTCAAAATAATGAATTAGCCAGTTGTTTTTATTTGAATAAACTGAAGTATAGAAAAATCTAGGGTTTCTGGAATAGTTTCCCTTTTTAGTTTTTGAGTGATGTCATTCAACCTCATAATATAAAACAATGACATTCTGATATTATTTCCAACAAATTAAGTAGCTTGGCTGCTATTAATTGATTTGATTTATACCAGGGAGGTAAGTAAATAACTTTAAAGCTTAAGGAATGACTTAACACTGACACATTAGTAGACTGAAGATTTTGTGGTTTATATGAAACACACCTTTGTGTCTGTGGTTTGTTAGCTTACAAGAGGAAATGTTTAAAGAAGTTATATTCATAGGACCACTTGATATGAAATTTGTGTCTCCAGTAACTCTTAGGAAAATTTTAAAATTGGGATTATCAACTTATATAAAAAGAAAGAGTAGGTCACTTAAAGACTGGGAGGGTCATTGTGTGGAAGGGTCAGTGTGTGGAACAGGACAAAAACTGATATACATTGAAAGCTATAAATAGTGGGACATATCAGGAAGACGAGACAAATTTATGAATCCTGAGACTACATAAATTCTGAAGAGCTACCCAGAATTGGTTTTTTTTTTTAAGCCCAGAACCTAAGCAAATCATATAATGGACTATATGATTTTAACGGGGTTAATAAATATGGGAGGAATTTTTTTAAAAGTTTTAATTGATTTTAAAGAGGGGCAGGGAGAGGGGACAGAGAGAAACATCAGTTGGCTGCCTCCTGCACTCTCCCTACTGATGATGGAGCCTGAAACCCGGGCATGTACCCTGACTAGAAATCAAACCAGCAACCTCTTGGTGTATGGGATAATGTTCAGCCAACTGAGCCACCCTGGCCAGGGCAAGAGGAAATTTTTTGCCTTCTCATAATATATGTGCGTTTAACCAAGGTGACTAGGAAAGTAAAAATGAGCTGATAAAGTTGGAAACTGCTTTAAAATTTGAGAATTGTGTGGTTTCATTTCAAAACAGACTAAGGAATTCATGACATCTTGGCTAGTTTCCCAGTTTTAATCAGAGATATTCCAGGATAATTGCTTGGTGTAATTTTGAATACCATGTTTTGTGACGCCGTGGGTTAAATCATGTCTTAGGTACGTACAGTCATGTGTATTCTCAGGCATTGTGGGAGCCGCACTGGAGTAGGAGGGGCTGCCCTGGGTTTCTGGTCCATATCACTGTTTAACAGATGTTTAATCTCAAATCCTTTGCCATCCTTTGCAGATGCTTCCTCTATAAGTGGAAGTGTTCTCTGTCTGGTTACCTCACAGAGTTCCTGTGAGGGTTAAATGAGATTGTATATATAGAGGCACTGTATAAACAGAAGCACTATACAAATATAAAATGTCTCACATACCATTTTCACATTTGATATTCTCTCTGGTACCTTATGTATATTATCCTTGTCTTTTGAAAAAATATTATATATTTTTCCTCTATCTCTCTCTCCCTTCCTCTCTCTAAAAATCAATGAAAAAAAAAAGAAAGATGTATTATCACTTCACTTAATGTGCTTCTAGGCAATGTTGGCAGCATTTTTGAATTTCAGCTGTAGATATTCACATGCTATAGGAGAGATTCAATATTAGAATAGGATTTACATCTCTCCTCGTTTTATTTCTCAGAACTCTGAATTCTTTCTCTTTCTGATATGGCGAATTTAAAATTGGAACACACAAACACAGACCCCCAACAAGAAACAACCTGATTCAAATCTGTTCCTTAACTAAAAAGTTAAACAAAGAAACTATTTAAAGACTTTTGGAGAGTAGTCAAAATATTTCTGGTCGTCTTGTGTGGAGGTGTTGGGATTCTGTTTCAGATTGTGTGGTCAGCCCTGTTTTGGCAGGATTGGAGGCAGTATGGATTTCTTCACTGTCCCAGCCAACCCCATGACGAGAGTATATTCATGACCAAGCACATTCAAAAGGATGATCTCAGTCCAAGAACAGTTTTTTGCTTCAGTAAAGCTATACCATGATGTGGGATGGAGGAATGGAGGAATTTGGAGGCTCTTTTGTATATTTTTGCTTTCAAATTCTCAAGTCAATTGAGATACTGGGCAGGTGACTTCACATCTCTGGGTGACTCTTGGTATCCCATTTGTGCATTTGTGAAATGAGGGCACTGGATTAAAATATCTTATGTTCTTTCTAATTCTGAGTTGTATGGGATTCTCTCTCTCTCACTCGAGGATACTTTTCCATTGATTTTTTTTTTGGATAGAGTGAGAGGGAGAGAGGGCGAGGGGTGGAGGGAAGAAGGGGGGGGGAGGGGAGAGAAACAGAGAGAAACAGAGAAACATTGATGTGAGAGAGACGCATTGATCAGTTGCCTTCTGTATGACCGCAACCAGGGCCAGGGATCGAACCTGCAACTGAGGTACGTGCCCTTGACTGGGAATCAAACCCACGACTCTTTGGTCTATGGGCCGATGCTCCAGCCACTGAAATAAACCTGCTAGGGCTGTATGGTTCTCTTCCAGAACAGAACCGTTCATTTATTTGCTCTGTCCAGAACTGGCCGAGGTAAGGTATGGTGGCCAAACCATAGATAGAACATAACTCACAAGATAATTTTGTACCTTATTTGTATGTGCAGGCAGTCCTTGCTTTACATAGCTTTGATACACACATATTCTAGTTACCATGATTTAGTCAATGATGTTGACGCTGCCGCCATTCATGAGATTCTAGATACACAGCCCAAGGAACATAGGGTGAATTTATTGAGGTAAATAATGGAAGTGGCTGTGACAATAAGAATCAAGATGTCTCAAGGGAGTGATGCCAGACAACACTCAGATAAGGAACTCTCTTTCAACATTAAAAGCACAAAGGATTTAATGGTAGAAGCTTAGAAAGGAGTATGACAGTTTTCCAAGGCGTGGAAAATGAGCTCAGTCCGTATTGGAGGTTAAGTGTTGAGAAGAAGGCAAGCAGTGTTCAAACAACTCTGGAGAAGTTTTTACAAAGAAATAAAATGCTTTAAATTAATGTTCTAAATTATAGCATATTAAATAAATGTTTTACTATTGTTTTATTTCCCTATACATTATAACAATAAGAGAATTCTTAATGTTTTTACAGACATTTTTAAAGGTCACAGAATAGTTGCAGCTTTCCATTGATTAGTAAGATCTTACACAATTATTGTTACAGTCCTGCACTCTTGTGCAAAGCGAGGTCTGCCTGGAGTTCTGAGGTCAACTTGGAGATTTATTCCAGCACAAGCCAAGCTGATAGAGGGAAGAGCTGCTCCCCTCATCTTACAAACAGTGTGGTAGTTATACACTTTTTTTTCCCTAACATTAGAAAAAGAAGGGGGGGTGGTTAGTATCCAAATTCAAACACACAGAGATGATCACAGTTAATATTTGGTATTTTTATCTGCATCCTCTGGATCTATCCCTGTATGTGTGTGTATGGATTTGTATCAATACGTTACTTTTTAACTACAGAAATGGGATCATAGTATGATTGAGTACAATCACGCCTCTGAGTCATCTACCAAATCTTTTAGGAAAGCTCTTTTGCTTATGCAGTTCTGGGTCTACGCTTTTCATAAGTCAGCTGTTTTTAAATAAATAATTTTTAGCCCTGGCCAGTTTGTCTCAGCGGTTAGAGCGTTGGCCTGCGGTCTGGTGAGACCCGGGTTCAGTTCCCGCTAAGGGCACATGCCTTGGTTGCAGTTTGTCCCCGGCCCTGGTTGGGTCGTGCTGGTGGCAGCCACTTGATGTGTCCTTTTCATGTCGATGTTTCTCTCTCTCTCTCTCTCTCTCTTTCTCTCTCTCCCTCCCACTCTATCTGAACAAGAAATGGAAAAAGTCCTCGGGTGAGGATAAAAAAAAAATTTAAACTTTAAATTACAGTTGACATACAGTATTATATTAGTTTCAGGTGTACAACAGTGATTAGACATTTACATAACACATTAAGTGATCACCCCCAAAGTCTAGTACCTGACACACACACACACACGTTAATTATTAATGGCTGGGAAAGCAGAGGCGATTCTGAAGGATTGGGGGTATATTATACATGTGCACACTTGATAAGGATTTGTATCAGTGATTCAGTACTAGCTTCAAAGCACATTGACCCCATAGCATAACTCCCATTGAAAGTAAACTGCATGTTATCTTTGCCAGTATTCACAGCCACCAACTGAGGTGATCAGTATGGCAGGGCCAGCCGCCATTCAGTGTTTATGGAGCTGTGTGCCCGGCTGTAAGGAACCCAGGATGAATAAGACAGTGGTGGCATGTTAGAAGTTCTTAAATGGCATCATTTGGCTCATCTATTGTAGTATTTGAATTTGTAAAAGACACATACCTCTCCTTCCTTCTCTACTCCCCCCCCCCCCCCAAGCTGTCTTCAGAGTTTGGGTTCTATTAAGCAAGAATGAGTTCTTTGTTAAAGAATTTTGATTATTTAGATATGTAAAGAGTAACAAGTACTTTCTTGCTTATTGCCCCTGGCATTTGCTTATCTTTTCCTTCAGAAATGGTCTGAGAATACTGATGAGGCTGACGGACCCACAGGCTATACTAATGTGCTACTTTCCCTGATTGCAGGATAGGAAAAGCCACCCTGTGATGTCACCAGTGAATGTCTTGTCTCTCTCCATCTTCATTCCTCCACTCCTCCCCCCACCCCTTTTAGGACTTCGTTGATCAAAGGGAGATTCTCAAAAGAGCCACATAAATAGTTCATTCATAAAGGAAGCAAGGTCCAGTAAATTCATAGAATAGTTAACTAATCATCTCCATTGAAATTAAATTTAAGTGATGAAAGGTTAAAAAGCCATTTCTATCTTTTGATTGTTTCTGAGATTTTTATAAGTTGATTTCTTTTTTAGAGAGAGAGTAAGGGAGAGAGAGAAACATCAATGTGAGAGAGAAAGATCAACTGGCTGCCTCCTGCACGCCCCCTACTGGGGATCAAGCCTGCAACCCAGGCATGTGCCCTGACCAGGAATTGAACCTGGACCTGTCAGCCATGGAACGATGCTTAATCCACTGAGTTACATTGGCCAAGTGTGAGATTTTTAAATATAGTATTTTATGTTTGCTAAAGTTTTCCTTAAAACTAGTATTTTTTTATTTCTGAATTTTTATGAATTTATTTGAGCCAAACTGACAACATATGCCAAGGAGCAAGATCTCAAATACTCCCTAAAACTAGTATTTTTTAAGTTGTTCATTATACCCATGTATCACATAGAGACTGAAAAGCTATCCCTGATTAACTTTTATCGTATTTTGATTACTTTGTACCTTCACAGAATTTAGTTACTGATTAGATAAACTTCTGTACAAACTTAGGATAAGTTAATGTTTTCCTCATTGGTAGTTTTATTGCTGTGTTTACAGCACTATAGGAGGAACTTATCAAAAAGCTTATTGTTTAATTTGTTTAAACATCAAAGAGTAAGGCTTTGGCAGAGTTGAGATTTTAGAACTTAGTATTTGAGATTTCAGCAAATCATCACCCAAATTAGAATAGATTATAACCTCAAATGAGAGTTTAAAACTGTCATTTATAGTGTAAGCTTTATAATTGGGACCTCATCTGTCTGTTGTCTCTAGTGGCTCAGTGCTCAGCTCAAAATAGGTACTCAATATATTTGTTGAAAAATAGAATTTTCCTGCCCAGCTGATGTGTGACTCAGTGGTTGAACATGGACCCATGCACAAAGAGGTCTCCAGTTTGAGTCCCGGTCAGGGCACATGCTCAGGCTGTGGGCCAAAACCCCAGTGCGGAGGGGGGGGCATGCAGGAAGTGGCCATCAATGTTTTCTCTCATTGATGTTTCTATCTCTGCCTCTCCCTTCCCCCGTCTCTCTAAAATCAATAAAGAAAAAAAATTTTTTTTTTATTTTTTATCCTCACCCAAAGACATTTTTGCATTTATCTTCAGATAGAGCGGGAGGAAGAGAGGGAAGAAGAGAGAGAGAGAGAAACATCTATGTGAGAGAGACACATCGAGTGGTTGCCACCCACATGACCCCAACCGGGGCCGGGAACAAACCGCAACTGAGGTACGTGCCCTTAGCGGGAACTGAACCCGGGACTCTCTAGTCCACAGGCCGACGCTCTAACCGCTGAGCCAAACCAGCCAGGGTGAAAAAAAATTTTTAATAGAATTTTCCTTCTAGAATTTGGACTAAACAATTACATGTTTGAATTAATATCTTTTCTCTGATGATTTTTAATTCAGTCTATCAACAGATATTTAGCATACACCATGTATGGTGCTCGTAGTTGGAGTAGATGCAAGAGTCCCATATCGGTTGCTGTCTAAAAACATTCATGCAATAGATAGTGTTGACCTAAGAAATCTCCAGACCTGTAGAGAATTTTTATGAGTTTATTTGAGCGAAACTGATGGCATGCCTGGAAGCAAGATCTCAAATGCTCCCCAGAATGACAGTTTTGCAATTCCTTTCATACATTTGGAATGAAGGAAGATTACATGCAAGTGGAAGAAAGCAAGGTATAGGATAATTAACAAAATGACACGCTCCCTCTGAGGGTCTGGAAAAGAGGATTACTCTGGCATTTCAAAGGTACGTTAACCTGGATGCACAAGAACAAAGAGAAACCTTCTTATAGGCCTGGGGCATGACTACCCATTATGACCTGCCCAGTTAGGAATTTTATGATCAGATCACCCTGTGAGGTTACTTTTGGTCAGATTTATTACAGAGCCCCTTTTTCATCCACAGTAGTAAATTGAGATACAGACTCTAAGGCGGGTATGACTATTCTCTGCTCTCTGGAGTTTCCATGCTAGCTCTGGAGATAACAGAGCTATGTCAGGAATTCAAATATGAGAGTGATGGGGTGGCTATTTTTGATTGTCTGGTTAGGATACACCTTTCTGAGGGTGTGTTCATGAAAGCTGAGATAGAAAGGATAAGAAACTACCAGAGATCAAGGGAAGAACATCTCAGATAGTAGAAACAGCCAGTGTACTCAGAGACCAGATAAAAGGCCAGTGTGGCTGGGTGTTGTTCCAGGAGGAGGAGAGTGGTAGCCCCTCGTATAGGGGTGAGGTGGGGGTGGGGGGTAGATCACAGACTGTATTGTAAGTCTGATAAGAATTTGGACTTCACTAGACCTTCAAAGGGAAGCCACTAGAGGGTTTTAAATAGGGAGAATCACATGATCAGCTGTTGCGGTGAGAGTGATTGGGGGTGGGGGGAGTAGAAGTGGAAAAATAGTAGGAAGCTACTGTGTTCACCCAGGCAAGAAACTAGGATGTGGTAGTAGAGGTGGGGAGAATGAGCTGATTCGTTATGGGGGAGTCTGTAAGGATTTCCTGATTGCCATGGGGTTGGGCTAGACTGGTAAGGGATAGAGAAGACTTGAAGATTACATTAAAGCTTTTTCGTTGACTAACTGGGTAGTGCCAATAGAGTTATTGGATTGGGGGGGAGGGGTTGGGGAATGAGCAAAAGTTCTGCTTTGGCCCTTTGACTCTGAAATGTCTTTAGACATTCAAGTTGTCTCAGGTAGGCAAGAAATAATGGTGAGTGAGATTAAGGTAGTGGTAGCAGAGATGGGAAAATAATGGAACCCAAGTCTGCAATTCTTGGTTGGTGATTTGATTTACATGTAGACAGTATTTAAAGCTCATGGGACTGGATGACATCGTTGTGGTCAGGAGTCAGCAACCTAGGCCAAATCTAGCTCCCTGCCAGTTTCTATACGGCCCAGGAGCTAAGAATGCTTTATACATTGCTTAAATGATTGCAAGAAAAATCAAATGACTCTTAGTATTTTGAGCACATGATCATATGAAGTTCAGATTTAAGTGCTCATAAATACAGTTTTACTAGAAAGTAGCAGCACTTACTAATTTGTGTACTGTCTGGCTACTTTCTTTTTTTTATTTTTTTTACAATTTTTTTTTTTTTTTTAATCATCCTCACTCGAGGACATTTTTCCATTCTTTGTTCAGATAGAGTGGGAGGGAGAGAGAGAGAAACATCGATGTGAAAGGGACACATCGAGTGGTCGCCACCCGCGCAACCAACCAGGGCCGGGGACAAACTGCAACCAAGGTACATGCCCTTAGCGGAACCGAACCCGGGTCTCTCCGGACCGCAGGCCGATGCTCTAACCTCTGAGCCAAACCGGCCAGGGCCTGTCTGGCTACTTTCACGCTGCAAGGGCAGAGCGAGTAACTGCTATGACTCACAGCCTGAAATATTGCATATCTGACCCCCGACCTTGCTGTGTTGAAGGAGAAGGTGGCCTAAGACACATCCAGGTCATGTCAACATTTAATCGTGGATGGGCAGTCAAATGTTAAAACTCTTAAGACGGAGCTTGATTTTTACGTCAGTTTTCTCAGTAACCTGCCAAAAAGAGGCTGGTGATTGTGGTTGAGAGAAGTGAGCAATTGAGGGTGGGGGTGTCGCGTCTACAGTAAAAGGAACACATGTATCATATCTTTTATGAGGTTTGGGGAGACTATGTGAGTCATAAAATAATTTTAGTCTTTTCAAATTCCTCACATTTGAATAATGTTTTATCTTTGTAGTTGACTTATCTTGATTGAGACCAGGTAAGTGATGTGTAACTTAAGTATCTGTAGTTTTCAGACCAATATTTTTGGTACATCATTGACACATGGCTCATGCTCTCAGAATAGCATAAAAATACTCGGAACAAGATTGCAATGGAAAATAATGATTGTAGTGTAGACATTAATATAAAACTACAGTTTTCAGTTTAAAAGGTATAACTCAACTCAATGTATTATTTCTTCAAGGAAATAAAGCTTGTAGAATGATTTTCAGAGAAAGCCAGAAATTCCCCATGATATTCCATTTGCTTGAAAAATCTCTTAGCTAGGGTAATGGCTCAATATAAGAGGGCTTAGAGTAGATGGTTTCACTATGTGTACGTGTAAGAATATGGCATTAATCAGTGAGTTTGATTTTTTTGTAGGAACATACGTTGATAGGTTCAGCAAATTCCCAAGATATCCAACTGTGTGGAATGGGAATTCTTCCTGAACACTGTATTATAGACATCACACCAGAAGGCCAGGTTATGCTGACTCCTCAAAAGAACACCAGGTAATGTACTTTAATTAGTGTAATGTCACAATAGTTCTTAAGAGGAAGAAAGTACACTAGTTGCAGATGGAATACAGGACTTTTGGCTTTGGTTTGCTTTTAAGTTCACTTAATGAAGATATCCAGTTAGTTACCAAGTCCTTTATATTAACTTTTTAATATCTCTTAAACCCATTCCTTCCTTTCTATACCTACTACTGCAGCTTTGTTTAAATAAGGCCCTCATCAGATCTTGACCGGAACCCCTGATAGCACCCTAATCTTTTTTCTAGTCTACACACCATACAACCAGGTGGCTTTCTACTATTTTTGATACAAAATTCTTTACATCCCTCCTATTTTTCTCCTGTTCCTCTGCCTGTGCCATTAGGTCAGCTAACTCCTAAAGCTCTGTCGTTATCTACTTTGGGGAATTCCCTTTTTGGTCTAAATTACAGGCCCCTCCTATGTATTCCCAGTGTGTCTTATGCTTCCCATTATATTAACAATCTGTATTGTATTCTTTATTATTTTTTAAACTAATTAATTTATTTATTTTTGTTACAGATGTTTCTCCTTTTTTCCCCGACTGATTCCCCCCTCCACCTCCCTACCTGCCCTGTCCCCAGCTTTGTTGTCCATGTCCATTGTTCATGCACACATGTATATAAGTTCTCTGGTTTATCTCTCCCCCACCAACTCCTCTTCCGGGGATTGTCAGTCTGTACCTGACTTCCACGTCTCTGGGACTACCCCATTCCTCAGACTGTTATATTCATTATATTCCACAAATAAATGAGATCATATGATACTCGTCTTTCTCTGTTTGGCTTGTTTTGCTTAGGATAATACTTTCCAGGTCCCTCCATGTCATCTCAAAGGATAAGAGATCTTTCTTTCTTACAGCTGCATAATACTCCATTGTGTACATGTACCACAGCTTTGTTATCTGTTTGTCTACTGATGGACATTTGGGTTGTTTCCAGATCTTAGCTATTGTAAATAGTGCTGCTTCGAACATGGGGTACATATATTCTTTCTGATTGGTGTTTCAGGCTTCTTAGGGTATATTACTAGAAGTGGGATCACCGGGTCAAATGGCAGTTCAATTTTTAATTTTTTGAGGTAACACCATATTGTTTTCCATAGTGGCTGCACCAGTCTGCATTCCCACCAGCAGTGTACTAGAGTCCCCTTTTCTCCACACCCTCGCCAACACTTGTTGTTTGATGATTTGTGGATGGCGACCATTCTGACAGGTGTGAGGTGATACCTCATTGTTGTTTTAATTTGCATCTCTCTGATGATTAGTGATGTTGAGCATTTCTTCATATGTCTCTTAGCCATTTGTATGGCCTGTTTGGAGAGGTGTCTATTTAGTTTCTCTGCCCATTTTTTAATTGGGTTCTTTGTCTTCCTTTTGTTGAGTTGTATGAGCACTCTATATATATTGGAAATTAACCCCTTATCTGATTTATCATTGGCAATTATGCTCTCCCATACAGTTGGTTACCTTTCCATTTTGATGATTGTATCTTTTGCTGTGTAGAAACTTTTGAGTTTGATGTAGTCCCATGTGTTCATTTTTTCCTTTGTTTCTGTTGCCTTAGGTGATGTATCAGTGAAAATTCTGCTGCGTATGATGTCTGAAATTTTGCTGCCTACATTTTCTTCTAGGATTTTTATGGATTAATGAGTCACATTTAAGTCTTTTATCCATTTTGAGTTTATTCTTGTGTATAGTGTAAGTTGATGGTCTAGTTTCATTTTTTTGCATGTAGCTGTCTAATTTTCCCAACACCATTTATTAAAGAGGCTGTCTTTACTCCATTGTATGTTCTTGCCACCTTTGTCAAATATTAATTGAGCATATTACCTTAGGTCCATTTCTGGGTTCTCTGTTCAGTTCCACTGGTCTATATGCCTGTTCTTGTGCCAGTACCGGGCTATTTTGATTACAGTGGCTTTGTAGTTTATAACCTGAAATCTAGTGATGTGATCCCTCCAACTTTGTTCTTCTTTTTCGAGATTGCTGTGGCTATTTGAGGTCTTTTTTGGTTCCATATGAACTTTTGAAGTATTTGTTCTAGTTCTGTGAAGTATGTCATTGGTATTTTGATGGGAATTGCATTGAATCTATAGATTACTTTGGGTAATAAGGACATTTTAATGATGTTAATGCTTCCAATCCATGAGCAAGGTATGTGCTTCTACTTTTTTATATCTTCCTCTATTTCCTTTTTTTAATAACCTGTAGTTTTCTGCGAATAGGTCCTTTATTTCTTTGGTTAAGTTTATTTCTAGGTATCTTAATTTTTTTGCTACGATGGTAAGTGGGATTTTTTTTTTAGTTTCTCTTTCTGTGAGTTCATCATTGGTGTATAAGAATGCCTTTGATTTCTTGACTTTAATTTTGTATCCTGCTACTTTGCCAAATTCATTTATTAAGTCTAGTAAATTTTTATTTTTTTTATTCTCACCAGAAGACACTTTTCCATTTCTTGTTCAGATAGAATGGGAAGGAGAGAGAGAAAGAGAGAGAAACATCAACGTGAAAGGGACACATTGAGTGGCTGCCACCGCACTACCAACCAGGGCCGGGACCAAACTGCAACCAAGGTGTGCGCCCTTAGCAGGAACCGAACCTGGGTCTCTCTGGACCGTAGGCTGATGCTCTAACTGCTGAGCCAAACTGGCCAGGGCAAGTCTAGCAAATTTTTGATGGAGTCTTTGGGCTTTTCTACATATAGTATCATGTCATTTGCTAATAATGACAGTTTCAATCCCTCCTTTCCAAATTGGATCTCTTCAATTTTTTTTTCCTGTCTGATTGCTGTAGCTAAGACTTCCAGTACTATGTTAAATAAGAGTGGCGAAAATGGGCATCCTTGTCTTGTTCCTGTTCTTAAGGGAAATACTTTTAATTTTTGCCCATTGAGTATGATGTTGGCTGTAGGTCATTCATATATGGCCTTTATTATGTCAAGATATGATCCCTCTATTTCCAGATTGCTGAGCGTTTTTATCAGAAATGGGTGCTGGATTTTTTTTGAATGCTTTTTCAGCATCTATTGATATGATCATGTGGTTTTTATTCTTCATTTTGTTTATGTGGTATATCACATTTATTGATTTGCGAATATTGTACCAGCCTTGCATCCCTGGGATGAATCCCACTTGGTCATGGTGAATAATTTTTTTGATGTATTGCTGGATTCGATTTGCTAGTATTTTGTTCAGGATTTTGGCGTCTTTGTTCATCAGGGATATTGGTCTGTAGTTTTCTTTCTTTGTAGTGTCTTTTTGTGGTTTTGGAATTAGAATTATGCTGGCCTCATAAAACGAATTTGGAAGTCTTTCTTCTTCTTGAATTTTTTGAAATAGTTTGAGGAGAATGGATATTAGTTCTTCTTTAAATGTTCCGTAAAATTCCCCTGTGAAGCCATCCGGGCCTGGGCTTTTGTTTGCTGGCAGAGTCTTTATTACATCTTCAATTTCTTTTGTTGTTATTGGTCTGTTCAAGTTTTCTTTCTCTTCCCGGTTCAGTTTTGGGAGACGATATGTTTCTAGAAATTTGTCCATTTTGCTTAGATTGTCGAATTTGTTGCCGTATAATTGTTCATAATATCTGTTAACAATCCTTTGTATTTCTGTGGTGCCAGTAATTATTTCTCCTCTTTCATTTCTGATTTTGTGTATTTGGGTTCTGTCTCTTTGTTGGTGAGTCTAGCTAAGGGTCCATAAATCTTGTTTATCTTTTCAAAGAACCAGTTCTTTATTTCATTGATACTTTGAATTGTATTTTTGGTCTTCATGTCATTTATTTCTGCTCTGATCTTTACTATTTCCTTCCTTCTACTTGCTCTTGGGTTTTCTTTCTGTTTGCTTTCTAGTTCTTTAAGTTGTGAGGTTAGATTGTCTATTAGAAATTTTTCTTGCTTCTTGAGGTAGACCTGTAGTGCTATGAACTTCCCTCTCAGAACTGCTTTCTCTGCATCCCATAGATTTTGTGTTGTTGTATGTTCATTTTCATTGGTTTCCAGGAATTTTTTAACTTCTTCCTTGATCTCCATGGTAACCCATTCATTGTTCAATAACATGAAAAATATGGAACGCTTCACGACTTTGCGTGTCATCCTTGCGCAGGGGCCATGCTAATCTCTGTATCGTTCCAGTTTTAGTATATTTGCTACTGAAGCGAGCACTTATTGTATTCTTATAGGCTATTAATCTTTATTACCCCATTGGACTATGAGCTTTCTTTTTTCAATCTCTATTCTTAGCACGTAATAGAAGACTAGTAAGTGCTCAATAAGTAATGAATGAATTAAGATGCGTAACATTATTAAATGAAATGTTTGTTTCCTTAGCTATGAAACTCTTACTGCCCTGTTATATACCTGTTCAACTAACCATAGGTGATGGTTAACTAACTTACATTGATCTTCTGAATGTTGATCCATTTCATCATATGATTAAAAAATCATTAATATCATCACTAATTTCATCTCTAAAGTTTGTATAACTGGCAGCTATCAAGCTCCTGGTAAAGGATGCAAGGGAGAAAGAAGAAGAAAGCAGAAGTTGCCTAGCACTCCCAACTCGGGCCTGCTGTTTTCCTGTTCAGTAATCTACAGAAGTGGCCTCAGGCAAGGCCACTCTGAGGGGTGATGTAAGACAAAGCAGACCGCATAGTAATTTTGTTTCAGCACTGACAAAAACCAAGGTCACTGTGCCAGGCACAAAACACCAAACACCTCCTCTTGGCTGACGTGAGTGACTCCTTTTTCACTCATTACAACTGTATCCTCATTCTAGTCTCCTCTATATGGATACGAGTTTTAAAATACCCCATCACAGAATTACTCCTGCTTTCTGACAGCATCCGATGTACAGAGAACCCCCATTTCCTGAGAGCCTCTCCGAAATCATCCAGCTAAAGCCCAGTCTTACAACAGGTCCTTCTCAGCGCCCTCTCACTGACACCCCAGGCTTCCCAGGGTGTCTTCTCCCTCTGCATCAGTAATAAACCCAGCTTGTTTAGCCGCAGGAATATTCTGTGGTCTTTGGCTGGAGGACATTGACACAAGTTTCCCCAAAGTCTCATTTTTATTATTTATTTTTTATTTTTTTTTATCCTCACCCGAGGACATTTTTCCATTTTTTGTTCAGGTAGAGTGGGGGGGGAGAGAGAGGAATGGAGAGAGAGAGAGAAACATCGATGTGAAGGGACACATCGAGTGGTTGCCACCCGCACAACCGACCAGGGCCGGGGACAAACTGCAACCGAGGTACGCGCCCTTAGCGGGAACCGAACCCGGGTCTCTCAGGACCGCAGGCCGACGCTCTAACCGCTGAGCCAAACCGGCCAGGGCCAAACTCTCATTTTTACTTGAATCACTTGAAAGCTTGAACGTTGCAGTTGGCAACAAGTACTATCAGTTGTTTTCCTTGAAGTGACAGGCTGGCTTCGTTTATATTCAAGAAAATGTCTGCCAAAAGACCACTTTGTATGTATCTTTAAAAAAAAAAAATTATTTTCTCTTTATTGATTTTAGAGAGAGAGGAAGGGAGAGGGAGAGATAGAAACATTGATGAGAGAGAACATCGATTGGCTGCCTCCTGCATGCCCCAACTGGGGATCTGGCCTACAACTTGGGCATGTGCCCTGACCGGGAATTGAACCGGCAACCTCTTGGTGTATGGGTGGATGCTCAACCACTGAGCCACACTGGTCAGGCTGTATGTGTCTTCTACTCAGACAGTAACCATACTTTGGTATAAAATAACGCAGTGCTTTTTGTGGACTTCTCATTTTGTCACATAAAATGTTTAAAAAGTTGTATACTCAAGGCTCAAGATTTAATACAAGTCATAATTTTTACTGCTTTATCAAGGACATTCACAAAACATTTATTATTAGTAGTAGTATTGATTTCTGAATGAGGGGAAGGAAGAGGGAAGCGGGGGTAGAGAGAGAAACATGGATGTAAGAGAGAAACATCGATCGGTTGCCTCCTGCATGTGCCCTGACCGGCAGTAGAACCCGAAACCCTTTGGTGCTTGGGATGATGCTTCAACCAACTGAGCCACCTGGCCAGGGCAACAAAACATTTTTTTAGATTGTGAATGTGTGGCAGTGAATGATCCAGTGACTGCTAGTAATGTTTGGTGCCACTGCCTTGATTTGTGCTAAAACACCAGCAGTTTTACTCATTGCCAATGCAAATGTCAGCACAGTGAAAATGGGCAGGTTAGTGTTATAAAAATAGCTTTGTTCTCTGGAGACCCCACACAGAACGTACTTTGAGAACTGTTATTATATTCATGCTTTTATTTACTAATTGTGGCTTAACTCCTGTAGCTTTCTAAAATAAGCCTACATATGTATTTGGCTTAAATTAAATTTTTCACTGTATTTAAGGAATCTGTCATAAAGGCTAAAATCTGCTGATTTAATAGGTCCTCTCTTGTCATTATTATATTTTTGAGCTTGTGCTTTGAATGATCAGACTATAAGAATATAATGACCAATTACTTTTATTGTTTAAGAACTCACAGGGTAAGTGATGTCTAGAACAAGAGTAAGATTTTGTGTACATGCATATATACATAAATAACTAGCAGTGTAATACCAGGGAAATGCTTTAGGAACTTCAAGAAACTGAGATACTATAGGCTGGAGTGATGAGCAACCTTTTCAGAGGAAGTGTAAACCAGACTGGGCTTTGAGAGCTGAGTAAGATTTGGGGGGATGGAGAGGAATGGGAACATTATTCCAGTTTGTAGGGTGGGTAGAAACCTGGCTTAGAGGAAGAGTCTGTTATGTTTAGTGGACAGAACTAGAGGTTTTTTGGTTTTTTTGGAGTTGAGAGTTCATTAGAAGAGGGAAAGGAGGAGATAAACAGGGCTTCCTTTTGTTGGACCTTTAATGTCAAGTTAAAGAACTTGACCTTTATCCTATATCTAAGCAAATGAGTTAATCAGAAGGAGAGAGGCAGGATGACACTGGTATTCCAGGAGTATCAATTTTATAGTGGTATGCATAATTTTCTGTCCTTTGCAAAATCTTCATTTAATATCCTTCTACCCACCATTTCTTCTGTTGAACTCCATTATCAGGATAAGCAGTCAAGTGGACTTGACAGATCTGTGTATTGATAGAATATGAACATTTTTAATGCTATGGTCAGTCACAGAAGAATTTAACATTGTTCTCATTTCTTTTTACTAATATCTGTAGATATTTCTAGAGTCCACTCACTTGGTTGACTGGCTCTTTTTATCCATGAATTTGGACATGCTTGTTTTAGTTGTAATGTATACTGCTACCATCTTCCTATAAATGGCTGTAATGATTCCATGCTTACTCCTTAATATGTTGTGTAATAAATTTAGAACTTTGAAAAACAAAGGATAATTATTATTCTTAGTACCATAAGCATTTTAGGTAAATTAGCAAAGAAGTAGATATAAATAATAAAATTCACCAAGGGCAGGTTTTTTTGTGTGTGTTTTTTTTTTACCCTCACCCAAGGACATTTTTCCTTTTTTTTTTTTTTGTCAGATAGAGTGGGAAGGAGAGAGAGAGAGAGAGAGAGAGAGAAACATCGACATGAAAGGGATGTTTCCACCCGCATGAAAGGGAGTGGTTGCCACCCGCATGACCCAACCAGGACCGGGGAAAAACTGCAACCAAGGTACATGCCCTTAGCGGGAACCAAACAGGGGACTCTCTGGACTGCAGGCCGACGCTCTTAACTGCTGAGCCAAACCAGCCAGGGCCCAAGGGCAGGTTTAATTTTGGGGAACTGATTACTTTGTTTTTCCTAGTAAAATATCTCTGTGGTCCTGGAAAATGGAAGGACAAAACATGATAATCATTGCTTACATATTCGACCTCTTCTCCCCACAGAACATTTGTAAATGGCTCTTCTGTATCCAGTCCTATACAGCTACACCATGGGGACAGGATATTATGGGGAAACAACCACTTCTTCAGGTATGATATTATTCATGGCCCTTAATGAGATTATTGCAGACCTTACTCTGCAATAAAAGAAGGTATATCAAAAAGTAAACATAACTCCAGAAGCACTATATAATTTTAGTATATGTGTGTATTTATATATAGTATATACAGGGGTGGGGAAAAAGTAGGTTTATGGTTCTTATGGAAAATAATACAATAATTAATAAGTAATAACAAGAATAAACTGTGTTTTGTGTACTCACAACTGTAAGCCTACTTTTGTCACACCCTTTATATATGTTTGTTCACTATGTGGTTTGAGCCCAAGGGACATTGAACAATACACTCAGGAAAAATACTGAGTTTACTTACACATGTTTTCCTTTTTATTTCTCAGGGGAAGATGATTGTTTTGCCATCTGGTATAAAAATTTGCTAATTTTTTTCTGACATGCTTATCTTTTAAATTATTACTTAAAAAAATAGAAATAGTAGTGGTTTTAGTTTCCTTTTTCGTAAAATAAGGTTTGTATTACTTTGGCAAACTTGACTGTAGTGACTTAGATAGTTCATTTCTTTGACAAACCAAGAAATCCAAAGGAAGATGGTTGCTGGCATTGACTAAACCCCTCAAAAATGTCATGCCAGACGTTTTGTCATTGTCTTGACATTTCCCATGGTATAAAGATGGCCACACCACCATAAGTCTTCTCTGAGTCCCCAGCAACTTCCACTTAGGTCTCATTTGCTGGAATTCGCTTCTTAGCTGAGAGAGGAGCTGAGAAAGAAAGTGTCAGATCTGGGACTGCACACATTATTTCTCGTACAAAATTGGTGTTGTGTTGGCAAGAATAGATAGGCTGGATATTGTATAAAATTAAAGTCCTGGTCTGTTTCTCTTCCTGTCACTGATAACTGTGTTTCAGATATCAAATTGACTTTTCTTATAGTTTCATGGAGATCCTTTGCTTGGAGGCCAGATTTGATTATTGAAGAAAGGGTAGAGGGGTATAAATATTTTTTATTTTTTTCTTCTCAAATTAAATCAAGTGTAAATTGCTTGGTTTAGTATTTTTTTTTTTTTTTTTTATCCTCACCCGAGGATATTTTTCCATTTTTGTACAGATAGAGTGGGAGGGAGAGAGAGGAAAGGAGAGAGAGAGAGAAACATCGACGTGAAGGGACACATCGAGTGGCTGCCACCCGCACGACCAACCAGGGCCGGGGACAAACTGCAACCGAGGTACGTGCCCTTAGCGGGAACCGAACCCGGGTCTCTCCAGACCACAGGCCGACGCTCTAACCGCTGAGCCAAACTGGCCAGGGTGCTTGGTTTAGTATTTAAAGTCTTCATAGTTTGGGTTAAGTTGATCTTTTCAACGTTTTCCCTCATAACTTCTGCTATACAGATTTTGTGTATTCCTGTGTTTGCTTCGTAACTTCTAGTTTGTAACAGTCACAGGGCCTTGTATCATACTCTCTGTTGTAATTATTTGTGCATGCATGTGTGTTTTATTTCTACTACTGAAGTATAAATTGAGTACAGTAATTGCCTTATAGTTACATGGTATTCCCTTGGCATCTAGCAAATGCCAGTATTTAATGAATGACATGCATGTATATATCTTTATTTAAAAAATAACCTTTTTTCCCCAAGATTGAATTTGCCTAAAAAGAAAAAGAAAGCACACCGAGAGGACGAGGAACAAGATACTTCCATGAAGAATGATACCAGTTCTGAGCAGTTGGATGTAGATGGAGACTCCTCCAGCGAAGTATCCAGTGAGATCAACTTTAATTATGAATATGCACAGATGGAGGTTACCATGAAGGCTCTGGCTAATAATGGTGAGCAGATTTGTTGTGCATTTTAGAATCTTTTTGTAAATTAAATTTAGTTTTAAATTTAAATATAGTTGTTATACAGTCTTATATTGGTTATATTAGTTTTAGGTATGCAATGTATTGATTCGACATTTTCGTACCTTACAATGTCATCATCCCACTAATTCTAGTAATCATCTATCACCATGTAAACTGATCACAACATGATCGACTATATTCCCCTTCCCCTTTTCACCCATCCCTCCTTTCTTCTGGTAACCATCCCTTTGGTCTCTGTTTCTTTAAAAGTTGGTGGAGCCCTGGGCAGTTTGCTCAGTAGTTAGAGCATCGGCCCATGGTCCAGAGAGACCCGGGTTCGGTTCCCGCTAAGGCACATGCCTCGGTTGTGGTTTGTCTCTGGCCCCAGTTGGGGTCGTATGGGTGGTGGCCACTCGATGTGTCTCTCTCACATCAGTGTTTCTCTCTCTCTCTCTCTCTCTCTCTCTTTCTCTCTCTCTCTCTCTCTCTCTCTCTCTCTTCCTCCCTCTCTCCCTCTTGCTCTATCTGAAGATGAATGCAAAATTATCTTTGGGTGAGGATTAAAAAATAAATAAATAAATAAAGTTGGTGGAGAGTTAAAAATGTTTATGACTGAGACACTTTAATTATTAACAAAAAAATTCTTTAAGTTGTTCTCTGTACTCTATTTTTTTGTATCTTTGGCACTAATTTATTATATTTATAAACACTTGCATTCTTTCTGCCTTGATATACAAATCACTGTAAACTTTGTTGTCATTGATAGAATGTCTCAGGTTTGAAATTTGATTATCACTGGCTCATTATTGTAGCAGATTTCTAGAGCGTTAACCATATCTCAGGTTATATATGGAACATATAACAGACCTGCTTTTTCTGTGTGGAAGATAGTTTGGCATAGATATGACAGAACAGATAAGTAATTGGTAGTAAGGAAAGCTAAATTTATTCCAAATTCTCTTTAAAAATCGTATTATTATTATTTTTTTATCCTCACTGGAGGACATTTTTGCATTCATCTTCAGATAGAGCGGGAGGGAGAAAGGGAGGAAGAGAGAGAGAAACATTGATGTGAGAGAGACACATCGAGTGGCCGCCACCCACACGATCCCAACATGGGCCAGGGACAAACTGCAACTGAAGTACGTGACCTTAGTGGGAACTGAACCCGGGACTCTGGTCTGCGGGCCAATGCTCTAACCGCTGAGCCAAACCAGCCAGGGCTAAAAATCTTATTTTTATCAGGATGACAAACAACAATGTTGAATAACATTTGAAGTGTAGTTTACCTTTCATTCATTATTCATCTTTTTATAAAAAATCATGTTTAGATCCAATGCAGTCAATACTGAACAGCCTAGAACAACAGCACGAAGAAGAAAAACAGTCCGCACTAGAGCGCCAGAGGCTTATGTATGAGCATGAATTGGAACAACTACGAAGAAAGCTGTCTCCTGAGAAACAGAACTTTCGTAGTGTGGACAGGTTTTCTTTCCACTCCCCCAGTGCTCAGCAGCGATTGAGACAGTGGGCTGAAGAGAGGTAGGTGGTGCCTGGGGCCTCTGTTATATGCATAGCATATGCTCATCACCTTTAACCCATCTAGGTAAGATACAGAGTGGAAACATCTAGACATTGCTATATAAAGAATTGCATTAAAAGAGTGGTAAAGCTAAGAACCACTTTTTGAAAAAAATGGAAATTGTGAATTTATATTAACTTATTTAAAGCTGCCCATGTTAGGTGCTGCCTTATTTTTTACTTTGTATGGCTTTTGGATATGAATACACAAGTATTTGTACTTAGAAGTTATACTCTATCATTGTATTATACTTTAGGTTCTGAAGCTTGGGTAATGCTTTTTAAAAAAAGGAAAAAAAAGAAAGGTGGTTATCTGGACTGATTAGCTCAGGTAGGTAAAGCATGGTGCTAATGAGATTCAGATTGCAAGTTTGATCTCTATATTGGCCAATTAGCATTGCACTAAAATGTCTTATCCATGGTTAGACTGTACTTAACTAACCTCTTGCTATTCAAAGTTTGGTCTACAGACAGGCAGTATCTCTGTCACCTAGAGCCTGATAGAAATAGGGCATTTCAGGTCCCACCCCAGATCTACTGAGTCAGAATCTTCAGTTTGTCAAGATCTCCAGATGGTTTGTGTACAGAGCCAAGTTTTTGAAGTACTGCCCTAGGGCCTGTTTGTTACACGAGTGTGTGCCAGTGTTTATAACGTAGCCCAGATACAAGTGCGTGCATGGAGTGAAGTCTGTAATGTATTCCCTGTGTGTAAGACAGTTGTGAAGCTTGGTTGGCCATTTGGCATTAAAGTATCATGTACTGTATAATATTCTGATGTGCTACTTGATGGTTATCTCCCTCCTCCCCCACCTGTTTTTTTTTTTTTTTTAAAGGGAAGCAACACTGAATAACAGCCTGATGAGGCTAAGGGAACAAATTGTTAAAGCCAATCTGTTGGTGAGAGAAGCTAATTACATTGCAGAAGAACTGGATAAAAGAACAGAGTATAAAGTAACTCTACAGATCCTAGCCTCCAGCCTCGATGCCAACAGGAAGGTGAGGTTGCCACTAATGGAAAAAACAGATAATCATTGCATCAAGCTGCTTTATATTTCACCAGTGTCTGTTTCAACACCAGTGGGTTTGGTCTTATCACCATCTAACCCTCCACAATCCAGATCTTTTTATACTTGTCCTCCTCTCTCAAGTAGAATTACTTCCTTTTAATTCTCTGCCTTTGTGGATATATATCCATTATCTACTAGAAATATCCTCTCTACCCCCCCAACCCCCCGCCCCGACCAATTTATTTCACTCAACTCTTTTTCTTCATATCTGTTTAGACTATTTCTGAATGGTTTTTTCTGATGAGTTTTACCAAAGTGTTTTTTTTTTCCCCTTTATTCTGTTACTACTCTACAATCCCCCGCCAAATAAAGTTTCTTTTTTACTTAAACCATGTTATTTTCTACTCGCTAATAGATTGCTCTGAAAAGCTGTTCATTGGTTATTCATGTGTGTATGCAAGATCACAGATCTCTTTTTTTATATGATGTAATAAACTTAATAAAATGTAGGGGAAAGTTCTCATCAAGATCTTCTATCTTTGCGATACAGTAACAGCTCTTTTCTTTCTTATTTAGGTTCTTTTCTAGCTCTTGATCAGGTTCCTACATGAGTTTTGATGAATTAGGTAAAATTTGTATTCAGATAAACTTGAGTGTCTATGTGGTTTGTTTCTCCTATAGTATTTGACACAGCAAAGCCTTAATGAATCCTTCTTGGGTGTTCTGTTCTAATTTGATAGCAAGGACTTCATCTTTCTCTTACGGCATCACAGCATCAAGGTCAATGTTTTGCACAGAGTATATATTTGGCAAGTACAATGCCTAATGTTTTTAGTAATAAAAACATTTAGTAATAAAGGTGTTATGAATGTGATGCGATCGTTACTTATGGAGAATTGTCTTTTAATATATATTCTGTGTGTAGTTGGAAAAATTTTACTCACTTAGAACTTTATTTTGCTTGTTGGTATTTATACAACAAACCATGGGTGCAGTTGAAATTCACAGATGAAACATGTTTAGAGGAAAGCCAATTATGGTCAAAAGGTACAGGGCTCAAGTTCTTCTAGAAGACTGAGAAGAAGAGCAAGGTCTTTTTTCATCCTTTAGTGTTTGAGTTGAAAAAGACAACTGTGGATATTTTTTTTCCCCACACAGCTTGACTGTAGCCCTGTTCTGAGTATACTGGCTTGGGCTTCTTTGGAAGGCAGCCAGGTCAGCCCCAGAAGTGACGCTTTCCTCCCAGACACCTACTAGTGTGTTAAGGGGGCTTCTTTTTTTTTTTTTTTCTTTTTCTTTCTGGTGGAAGATAACACACTTTGCTGGAGTTGAAGTAGCCATTATTAACATTATTAACTAATCCCCTCTATTATTGATTTAATAGAGTAGTATTTTCAGATTTCAGCCAGAGAGAGGAGCTAGACAAGGAAGTATTTCTTAAGGAAATAGTCTCCTTAACTCAGGCTGGGACTTGCACACTTTTATTCAACAACCCTTTTTTTGTGTGTGTATTTGAAAACTCCTATTTCACTTAAGATCCTGTCCATGCTGTGAACGCTGCTTTTTCTGGTCCTTACTCCTGACCTTGTACTCACCTGTGTCTGGGGATCTTTAGTAAGGGGCAGAAATTTCTTCTTTTTCTTTTTCCAATCCCCGTCATAGTTATTTGCAGGAGGACCGTGTCATGATGCTGCAGCATCTTGCTCATTGCCATTTAGCCCCAGTTCTTGTATTTCCCACCCCCCATGAAAAACTTCTACCCACAGCTCACCAGTGAGATTTTTGTATTTATTCCCTAGCTGGCTGAATATGAGGTAAACGGGCCTTTACTGTAGGTGAGAGAAGGGTGATTTCTGACCTTCAGAATTCTAAAATCTTTGTTTCATTGTGTAAATTATGTGAGTTTTTTTAAAAAAATGATGATAGGCATGATGCTAAGCATCATTGGTGTATTTCACAATTCTCCAAAGTTCAGAACAGCTGATAAATTTATCCAGTAAATCTAGGTTGATTAGATAACTGATAGATAACATCTCTCTGGGAGAGATACACAGGGGTATTTTTTGTTGTTGTTAATCCTCTCCCAAGGATATTTTTCCATTGATTTTTAGATAGAGTGGAAAGGAGGGAGGGAGATAGAGAGGGAGAAGCATCAATACATCAATTGGTTACCTCTCTCATGACCCCAACTGGGGCCCAGGATCGAACCTGCAACCCAGGTATGTGCCCTTGATTGGGAACCGAACCTGTGACTCTTCAGTCCACAGGCTGACACTCTAACTGCGGAGCCAAACTGGCCAGGGCCACAGGGCCATTTTTATTTTCTACTCTGTGGATTTAAAAAGTTTGTTTTTCTACGTTAAAAACGTTGTTTTTATAAGCTGGAAAAACTTTAACGAATGCTATTTTTTTGGAGGTGAAATTCACATGGCATAAAATTAACCATTTTAAAGTGAACAGTTGAGTGGCATTTAGTACATTCATAGTGCTGTGCAACCAGCCTACCTGCACAGTTCTGTACTGTTTTACTTTTAAATTCAAACTGTATATTTAGAAATTGCTATCATTTGTTGCCTCCAAATGGGTAAATAGGATACTTTTCAGTTTACTCTCGTAAACATTTTGTGTTTTGTACCACATAAGGATGCTACCCATTCAGAAAAATTTAAACTTTCAGGAGATAAAAGATGGTTTCTTAACCACCCATCCTTGAAAACCTGCTGCCATTCAGTATTATTTTTCCACCCACTGATAATCTCTAGTTGTGCATATGATGGCCCGAACAAAGCATTTTTGACTTCCTGTTAAACATGGTCTTGTCTTTTGTGTTTTAAATTTGAATTTATATCCAGCTGCAACCAAAACTTCAATATAAATTTAAATTTTCATTGCAGTTGGATATAAAGGCATTATATTAAGCTTGTGGGATTTCTGGGAAGCTTTGCAATTAACAGAGGAAAGAGTGAGAGCAGTTTCAGTTTTGGTGGATGGCATTTGACTGGTGGGTAAGGAATGTTCAGGTTGACTTCCATGATGAATGTCTTTGCGTTTCACGTAGCCACTCTCACTGTCTTTGCAGCGAGGCTCTCTTCTTAGTGAGCCTGCCATCCAGGTGAGAAGAAAAGGAAAAGGAAAGCAGATTTGGTCTTTGGAAAAACTGGACAACAGGCTGTTGGATATGAGAGACCTTTATCAGGAGTGGAAGGAGTGTGAAGAAGATACCCCAGTAAGTTATTTGAGAAAAATAACTGGCGCTGATAGAAGGAACCAAGCATTTTGGAATGAGCCTACCCATTTTAGGGGAACATTTTTCCAAAATAGCAATCCTGTTTCTAGTTTATTTATTTTAATCCTCTAAATTGTTTAGCTAATCAAGAATTTTATTTTATTTTGTTAATCCTTACCCGAGGACATTTTTTCCACTAATTCTGAGAGAGAGAGAGAGAGAGAGAGAGAGAGAGAGAGAGAGAGAGAGAGATATGAAAGAGGCATCGACTGGCTGCTTCCCCACTGGGCCCTGACTGGGGCCAGGGATCAAACCTGCAGCCCAGGCATGTGCCCTTGACTGGGAATCAAATATGTGACCCTTTGGTCTATGGGCTGCTGTTTTCTTTCTTTTTTTTTTTTTAATTTTTTGAGCTGCCATTTTAACTGCTGAGCCAAACCATCCAGGGCTAATCAAGAATAACCTATTTTCTGGCATCTTTTTTGGTTCTTTTCCTCATTTTGGATTCTCTGGATATCTAGTAGAATTTTTCTGTATTCCGTTCTCACTTTTGTTGGTGTTACATATTTCTGTCTCCTGTACTATACTCTGATTTTCTTTAGGACAGAGACCATGCTTTATTATCACTCTTCTCATTTCGCAACACAGTTAACTCTGTAGGTAATAAACCTACCATATCTGTTTTGTGAAATGAACATCAGTGATACCTTAGTATTTATACTATTAGGAACATATTTTGAAGTTGTCTTGACTTTAGCTGCCACAGATCTGGACTCTGGTACCCTCCCCTCAAGTTTCCCATTCAGGCCAGCTATGTACTTATACATATTTAAAGTAGAAAGAGAAAGTGTGTATATTTTAACATATTTTCAACACTTCTCTGTCTGCACAGAATTGTTTAATTCTTTAGCCTCTTGTTTTAAAAAAAAATGTTTATTTTTCCAGATTGTCATCAATATAAATGGATTATTACAGATAGATGATTTTTTTCTTTAAAAATCTTTTTTTATTTGCTTCTGTATTCCTTCCCTATTTCAATGTAGAAATAAAACAACATTAATAGCAAATACAAAGAAAGCAAACCGCTCTCCTGTGAGGGTGTCACCGCTCATTAGCAGCAACATATCAGGTGTTCTGCTAGGAACAAGTAGAACAGATATGAATGAAAAATGAAGAACTCTCTTATACACTCTACTTCTTCTGGTCAATGTATGTTTTCATGACAAGATTTCCATGTAAAGGAGAAGAATTGATAGAACTAATGACATATTTATGGAGATATAAAGTACAGCACAGAGAACATAGACAACAATACTGTAATAACTATGTATGGTGTAGATGGGTACTAGACTAATTGGAGTGATCACTTCATAAGGTATATAATCACTATGTTGTACACCTGACACTAATATAGTATTATTGTATGTCAACTGTAATTGAAAATAAATTTTTAAAAATTAAAAAAGGAAAAAAAAAGGTAATGGCATTATTGGGATTGCACTCTCATGGGTGAAAGATTTTGGCCATTTATTCTAAACTAGGAATGGGGAGGGAAGAGAGAGAGAAGGAAACACAGTGCTGTACGTCAGCTAAGTTGAATGACTTCAGTAGAGTGCATCAAAAAGTGGTAGGTTGAATTCATTTATTTTAATTGGCTTGCTGAAGTTGTATGTTCTGAATCTTTTTAAAGGTAATACGGTCTTACTTCAAGCGTGCTGATCCGTTCTATGATGAGCAGGAAAATCACAGTCTCATTGGGGTGGCAAATGTTTTCCTCGAGTCCCTCTTCTATGATGTGAAGTTACAGTACGCTGTTCCAATTGTCAACCAGAAAGGAGAGGTTAGTTTTCTCTTCATGCCTTTATCCCGCAGGGAATGGTTCAAGAAACAGTAGGGTGTTGACAATATATTGTTGTTACTATTTTTCCTCAGTAATAACAAGTGATAGTTGTATGTGTTATTAATACCTGTTTTCATACTGCTTTGTGGTGATTATTCCAAGTACTTTGGGGGAAAGTAACTGTTAGAACCTAGGCTTCTAAATTCTCATATCCCAGTGACCTAACCACTTGACTCTCAAACAGAAAAAAGAACAAACTGCAAAAAGTATCTGCTTTTCCTGTCACTGTTACAGGTGGCAGGTCGGCTGCACGTCGAGGTGATGCGGACCAGTGGTGACGTTGTGGAAAGGATTGCCGGAGGGGATGACACCACAGACACCTCCTTTGATAAGGAGACCCAGGAGAACAAACTCACGTGCATGGTGAGTCCCAGTTTCATTTACAAGTAGTGGAAGTGTGGTGGATTTTGAGGATTGGGGATATTTAGATGATAAATATTGCGTTCTTTTTTAAATTTTGAAAATAGCTCTCTCTAAATAAATCTCTAGTATTTCATCTTATTCTGACAATCTGGTTAGCCAGGTACTTCCGCTACCTTCCTCTGTGAAGCCTTGGATAGGTTACCCCTTTCCTCTGGGCCACTCTGCTCCAAAATTATATGAATCTGTGTTTATTGGAACTTCTTTATAGAGAAGCCCAGTTTTTTTCAGACAGATTTTTTTTTTTTTTATCCTCACCCGAGGATATTTTTCCATTTTTTGTACAGATAGAGTGGGAGGGAGAGAGAGAGAGAAACATCGACGTGAAGGGACACATCGAGTGGCTGCCACCCACACGACCAACCAGGGCCGGGGACAAACTGCAACCGAAGTACGTGCCCTTAGCGGGAACCGAACCCGGGTCTCTCCGGACCGCAGGCCGACGCTGTAACCGCTGAGCCAAACTGGCCAGGGCTCAGACAGATTTTATCTTCCTCTTGGGCCTCATGATTCCTGCTGACACTGGAAATTTATCCCAGCCCTAGTCCTCTTCCTCAGCTTCTGCCAGGAGGCACTCTTCACCCTGTTTTTCCATGTGTTTTTGTTCCTCTTCCCCCACGTACCTTTGCTTATGCTATTTTCAGGCCCTATTCAACCCCTTTTCTTTCTGCTCTTCCCATGCATGCCCTTCATGAACTGTGTGCTGAGTATTACTGGTCAGACATTGTGCCAGGCCCTGGGCCTATAAAGATGAACAAGATGGGATTCCTACTCTCAAGGGGCACCCTATGTAGCTTGTGTATATGTGTAAGGGGGACACACAAGTAAACAGAAGACTCCAACACTGTACAACCCTGTTGCTCTGAGAGGTGGACAAGAGAAGTTCTGGGGCACAGAGCAGAAGTAGTGAATTAATTCTGATCGTACAGTCCGAGGAAAATTTCTGGAAGAATGAGATTCAGCATGAACTTGAAGGAGAGTGTGTTATGTACAACTCTTGCTCCATAGGGTGCTGTGGCATTTCCACAGGAAATTGCTAGGTTGGTTTTAGGTAGGTCGTCCTATTCCTGACTCCTGCTCGAAATCAGCAAAGGTAGTACCACCTCTGTCACTCATGCCAATGACAAAAATCCCCTCATACATTTCCAAACACACTGTGGTGGGCCAGTCCACCACTGGTTGAGAGTCACAGAGAAACCAGTTAAAAAAGGTTTTTTAGGAAGAAAAATCAGCAAGGGGTATAGGAACAGTGTACGAGTGAGAAGGAGACCATGATGTGAAGTAGAGGAAACCTAAACTGAACTCTTCATAGTCTATTCCAGGTTCAGTCCTGTGTCTCAGCAGATGTTCCTAGGATGGACGTTATATTGGAAGAACTAAGTAGGCATTGGCTGCGAGGCATGGGGAAGCTAAAGCTGTAAAAAGTTGGGCTACTTTCTGTAGGTCTTTGCCTAGATTAAGAAGGCCTCAGATGTTTAAGTCGGTTACTTCAATATAAGGGGGAAAAACTCTTACTTCACTGAAAGGTTAATCTTTATTGTATTGTACTTGATTTTTGAACATATCCTTTAAGGTTATAGGATTATCAAAGATGGAAACAGACTTGATAATTCCATGTGGCCCACTTTAAAGGTGACGTTTACTAGTCCTAGAAAACACAACTGTGTAAACTACAAGTTTACTATTAGTAAAGGATACTGTCTCACTTGGGAAATTTATCTTTATCACTCAAAAGAACTAATATATCCTGGGTAACAAGCTGTTTTAAAAATAAAGTTAAAAAAATCTGAAGATTTTTTTTAAGTGGAATATATCAAACATAAAAGTAGTGAGAAAAGTGTTATTGATCCCCATTCATCCTCCCTTGACACTTACCAGCTCATGGTCAGTCTTGTTACAGTCATACACACAAGCTGCTTCTGTGCTGAACCCTTCCCTCAGACGTCATATTTCATCTATGATTCGTTTAGTATCTCCAAAGGAAGAGTACTTAAAAAGATCCAGTAAAACCATAGTCATAATAAAAAATTCTTTTTCTTTTTTTTGTTTGTTAATCCTCACCCAAGGATATTTTTTCCATTGATTTTTAGAGAGTGGGAGGGAGGAGGGGAGGAGAGAGAGAAAGAAAGAATCATCAGTGTGAGAGAGACACATCGATTGGTTGCCTCTTGCATGGGGACAAACCTGCAACCCAGATGTGTGCCCTTGACCAGGAATTGATCCCAAGACCCTTCAGTGCTGGGGCTGGTGCTCTGATGGCTGAACCACATCATCCAGGGCCAAAAACTAATATTTTCTTAAGTATCATGAACTACCCAGTCAGTTTCTTTGTCTTAATTGATGTGACTGAAGTCTGTTTTAATCTTTAGGCTCTATCACTTATGCATGTTCTCCCTGTCTGTCTCTGTCTGTCTCTAATTCTGTCTTATCCTACAGTTTATTTATTGTGGAAAATGGGCTATTGTCTGGATTTCCTATAGTCTGGATTTTAATGATTGGTGTTATTTAACATGCTAAGTTATATTTTCCATAAATTGCTAGTTAGATATACAGGCAATGTGCAGGGGAGGGAAGTAGCAAGGATACTTTGTAAGTAGTGTGGTGTATTCTTCCATCAGAAGGTACATTATGTCTGGTTCTCTTTTGGGGTTGTTGGCAATCATTGGTGTTCGTTACCTAGATATTTTATTAAGTGTTAGAAAAGAATTATACTATAATTCTATATTTTCTTCATTAATTAGCTGGAATGTTTCTATAGAGAATCTTTCTATTATCAACTATTTTGCTATTCAGAGAAACGGTTTGTATAGGAAAGGCAGGGTAAATGTTCCATTTTTTCCCGTTATTTACTAATTTTCAAAATAATGAATTTGTTTTTCTATTAATATCCAAAAGCAGACAATAAATATAATGGATCAAGGCATGTCAAATATGTTTAAATCCAAGAGTTCATAATATCAAAACTAAAACTAAATCTTAAAACTAAAACTTACTATTTCTCTTAAAATATTAATTTTTTAAGCTGAAGTTTTTGTGATAAGTTCTACCATTCTAAAAATCTTGAGCAGTGGCAAGCTGAATGAAGTTTGTGCTTCTCTGACACCTTGTGGTGATGTTGGGTTTCTGCAGGCAAAAACCCAAACCTGTGTTCTAGATGTCAAGATACTCGCATTCCTGTTTTTCTTCATTCCTGGCAGTCTCATTCCTGAGAAGTTGCCTGTAGGGAAAAGTTCAGTATATGAACTCTTGTTTTCTTACTTATTTACCCTGAAATCTGAGAAAGGAAAAAAAAAGGCTTTCAGATGGAATTCAATCACAAGGATGTATCGAACACCTATGCACTCAAAGCCTGGTAGTGTTTTCATTCGTTTTAGTTCATTGGTAATGGTAAGTCCGCACACCAGTATCATTAGGTACAGCTATCCTGTTTCACCTAGGAGAAAAAATAAACCTAAGAAAACTAAGATGTTAAGTAATTTGCTCAAAAACAGAAACTAATAAGTAGCAGAGATTTTTATTTAGATCTATGTACTGTAAAATCTTATAATCTTCTCAAATGCTACATTGCCTCACCTAAAGAATATAATAAGTACTTTTAACACTTAATAGAAAAATGATAGTTTTTAAAATTTAAGAAAAAAATAATTGCTGAATGCAGATTGCTGTATTTGGTTTGGATTAATAAAATGTGTTAGTTCGTCTTTCATAGCCTTTCAGGGAATTGCTGTCTAGATTTTTCAAACTCTTGTTGCCATCACAGGAAAAACTGGATAATAATAGGACTTTCAATTCATTGCTTACCCATTATGGACCTGATGTAGAAGAAAATAAAGTCATTTGTTTTGTGAGATTTTCTGTGTCATTATTAAGGCTTCCTGAAGTGCTAAGACTATTATATTTATGGTTGCTGAACTACATCAATTTCTCACATACATTCAAAGCTGCTTTGTTAAATGTATTTACTGGGGATAGAGTACATCCTACAACATGCACGGAAGTGACCAGGTGAAGAGAATAAATACTCAGTGCTCAGTCATATGTAAGTTGGCCTTATCAGTTATAAAATCAGGATTTAGTTTGGCTTGATAAATTTTAGAATTTAGTTTCTTTCAAAGTTGGAGGAGTTTTATTTTATATATATATTTTTTATCCTCACCTGAGGACTTTTTGCCCCATTTTTTGTTCAGATAGAGTGGAAGGGAGAGAGAGGAAGAGAGAGGAAGAGAGAGAGAGAGAGAGAGAGAGAGAGAGAGAGAGAGAGAGAAAAACATCAACATGAAAGGGACACATTGAGTGGTTACCACCCGCACGACCAACCAGGGCCGAGGACAAACTGCAACTGAGGTACGTGCCCTTAGTGGGAACCGAACCAGGGTCTCTCTGGACCACAGGCTGACGCTCTAACTGCTGAGCCAAACCGGCCAGGACCAAAGTTGGAGAAGTTTTAGAATGTTATATCTTATCACAAAAACTTCAGCTTAAAAAATTAGTATTTCAAAATAAATACTTAGAATATTTGGCTACTTTAAAATCTGTTGTGAGCATTTCTTTGGGGACATTTGGGTCTGATTAGACCCATATTTCTAATTGCACGTTGTTATCACAAAATACTACACTTCTTGGGCACGTTGTCTTTGTTTTGTCTCTCCTTCCTAAATCTGCAAGGAGAAAGCATTTAGTAAATGTTGGTGCAGAGAGTGGTCATCGTTTACCATCTTTAATCTCTGCCATTCACCCCTCTAAATCTCTAAAGTATACATTCCCGATGCCTTATTTAAGGTTTTCCCTGAAATGCTCTAGTAGCATGTAATAGGCTACTTGAGAACCTTGTTTAAAGGAAACTTGAAAATATCAAATAAATTATTTTTTGGTCTTTTCTGAATATTTACTGCTTATTGGCACATACACTGATTTTGTTCTTCATGATTTTAACAGTCTTGTGTTCTTATGATGTAGCCATTAGCCAAATTTGTATGATTGAATGATGTTGCTTGAGAACTTTATTCTTCTTTGTTGATTATTATTGTTATTATAAGATGATCATGATGATGTTATTAGAAACTAGAATTTAAGTGTTTTTCATCAGCCTACAAATACTTTAAAAATCCACCTTTATATTCAAGTTTGTTGCCCTATGTCATCCTCACTGAATATGACTGTTATCGCCATTTCACAGAGGCAGAAATACAGACCCAGAGTGAATGGGATTTGGTCAACATAAACCAACAGTTAGTGCCCTGGCCGCTTGGGGTCAGCTGTTAGAGTGTCAGCCCTCGGACCAAAGACTTGTGGGTTTTATTCTGGTCAAGGGCATGTACCTTGGTTGTGGTTCATCCCAGCCCTGGCTGGGGTCATGCAGGAGGCAACCAATTGACGTGTCTCTCTCACATCGATGTCCCCCCCCATCCCCTTCCACTCTATCTGAAGATAAATGAAACACTATCCTGGGTGAGGATTTTAAAACAAACAAACAGAAAAAAATAACAGTTAGTGACTGTTAGGACTGGAGTTCATATCTCTGACTCTAAGTATTTCTTGGAATTCTTTGCGTTAAAAACTAACAGAACCTTCTTTTTCTCTTAGGTTAAAATACTCCAAGCCACTGGGTTGCCACAGCATCTGTCCCACTTTGTATTCTGCAAATACAACTTCTGGGATCAACAGGAGCCAATAATTGTTGCACCTGAACTGGATACCTCATCCTCTCCTGTCAGCAAGGAACCTCAGTGCATGGTTGTCTTTGATCAGTGCAATGTAAGTTTGTTTTCCATACTTGGTCAACATTTAATTATTCAGGTAAAAACAAAACAATAAAATAAATCTTATTTTGTTGAATAATTCAGTACTGATATGTGTCTTGGATCAGAATTTCTTAGAATTATGCTGTAGTAAAAATTTGAATGTTAATACATCATATACCTTCAAGTTACAGTGTTATATGTCAGTTATATCTGAGTAAAGCTGGGGGTTGGGGGGTGGAAACAAACAAAGTGTCAATGCATTCAACTCCTCCACAATCAAGAGTTAACTTTTAAAAAAATATATTTTTCTTTATTGTTTTAGAGAAAGAGGAAGGGAGAGGGAGAGAGAGAGATGGAAACATCAATGAGAGAGAATATTGGTTGGCTGCCTCCTGCAGGCCCCCTACTGGTGATGGGGCCCACAACCTAGGCATGTGCCCTGACCAGGAACTGAACCCGCAACCTCTTTGGTGCATGGGGTCGATCCTCAACCACTGAGCCACCTTGGTCGGGCTCAAAAGTTAACTTTTGTGTGAATACATACACACACTCACACTCACACTCACATATGTGTGTGCATGTGTACCTATGTGTGCTCTTGTTCAAAAAGAATCCATGTTTTGTATTAGATTATTGGAGAAATTGTCATTTAAAGGTTAAGAAACTAGTGTTCTAGAGAAAGTAAAAACAGAAAAAGAGACAAGAACTAACTTTTTTGAGCATCCAGTGCTCTGCGAGGCACTTTGTTATGCTCTCGTTTGATCTTTACCACAGTTGTGTTTGATGATGGTGCTCTTTTTCAGAAGCTAGTTCAGTGAGCTCTGTTTGCCCATGGTTAGTAACTGCAGAGCCAGGAAAGCCAGATTTTGATTCTTTTTTTTCCTACTATGACACAGTTGACCTCTCTCATTTTTTTTAAGAGAGAAGTCTCTTTCTAATTTAAAACAGAGAAATACCTTTAGTGTATAAAAGATCAAGAGAGGAAAAGAGATGGAGATTCTATCACTTTTAAAAATAAACTTGTGTTAGAGCTTAATCCTAACTATTGCAAAATGCTGTCCTAACTCTATCTTGTAAGCAGGATGGGAGAATTTTTAAAAATTAGGTGATTTTTTTGTGCTGATGATTGTTATTTCTTTTCTTTCTTTTTTTTTTATCCTCACCCGAGGACATTGTTGTATTTATCTTCAGATAGAGTGGGAGGGGGAGAGGGAGGAAGAGAGAGAGAGAAACATTGATATGAGAGAGACACATTCAGTGGTTGCCACCCACATGACCCCAAACGGGGCCGGGGACAAATTGCAACTGAGGTACGTGCCCTTAGCGAGAACCGAACCCAGGACTCTCTGGTCCACAGGCCGACACTCTAACCACTGAGCAAAACTGGACAGGGCTGTTTTTTATTTTCTTTCTTTCTTTCCTATTATTGGAGATAGCTTCCTAAAAACTGGGGGAAAATGTTTTCCCAACACACTGCTACTTTCTTTTATATCAAGACATCATAGATCATTGTTATAATTCTTAATATACAGTAATTGTTTATACTTTTAAAAATGGCCTCCAAAGTATTGCTAACAAAATGGAATACAATGCTGTTCTTTCACAATAGATTTTCAAGGGAAAAAAAATTTTTTAAGTTAGAGTTACAGTTATTTTTAAAGTCAAGAACCTTAGGCCATGTGAGAATTTATTATGGATGTAAAATAACAGCAGTTCTGTTTTATAATGAAAACATTCTTTTCTGTTTCTCTTCTCCATGATGAAGTAAGTATTGCTATTGGATGTAAGTAATCATCAGTTTACCAGAAAGTGTTTCCTTGTTTGTAATTATTTTCTTATAGGAGTTTTCTGTTAACGTCACTGAAGACTTTATTGAGCACCTTTCAGAGGGGGCATTGGCAATTGAAATATATGGCCATAAGATGACAGATCCTCGCAGAAACCCAGCCCTGTGGGATTTGGGGATTATCCAAGCAAAAACACGTAGTCTTCGGGACAGGTGAATTTCAGCTATCTATCTGATTCCATTTACAGTTTTTACAGTGCTAGAGATGAATAGTGCCATTTATAAAGGCTGTCCTTTCCTGAGCATTATCACCATTCCAGGAATAGATGGTGGTATTTCCAGGGTTTAATAGCACAATTAAACTTCTTTAGAGATGTGAACTTTGAAAAGTGATAGAAGAAAGTCAAATATATGGGTAGTTAAGAATAAAGGGTGAAATAAATTTATGGAGGATAGGTGGCTTGTCATTATGAATTACTTCTAATTGATCAACTTTAGAGAAAAGGGATCAAGATATACTCTAGAATTCTGGTTTAATTATTTTCCTTGAGCTCAAAGTTATTTTCAAGTGGCATCAGCGATGGAAGGAGGCAGGCTTATTTGTTGACCAGGATTTTAAAAAGAATTAAAAGGGCCCAGCTGGTGTGGCTCAGTAGACTGAGTCTCTGTCGTCCCATGGGCTGAGAGGTCCTGGTTTGATTCCCTCTCAGGACACATGCTTGGGTTGTGGGCTTGGTCCCCAGTAGGGGGTGAGCAGGAGGCAGCTGATCGATATTTCTCTCTCACATCGATGTTTCTATCTCTCCCTTCCTCTCTCTCTAAAAAAATCAATAAAACATATTTTATTTATGTATTTATTTATGTATTTATTTATGTATTTATGTATTTATTTATTTATTTATTTATTTTTATCCTCACCCTAGGACATTTTTGTTCAGATAGAGAGGAAGAGAGAGAGAGAAAGAGAGAGAGAAACATCGATGTGAAAGGGACACATCGAGTGGCTGCCACCTGCATGACCAACCAGGGCCGGGGACAAACTGCAACTGAGGTACATGCCCTTAGCGGGAACTGAACCCAGGTCTCTCTGGACCGCAGGCTGACGCTCTAACCGCTGCACCAAACCGGCCAGGGCAATAAAAACATATTTTTTTAAAAATCCTTAAAAACATATTTTTTTATAAAAAAGGTAAAAGGAAATGACTGAAAACACATATACTTTTTATCTATTGTAAATGAGAACCAGATTTTCTTTTTTTTGCATTTAGAGCTTTTAGCAAATACTAAATTTGACATTGAGATTTTTTTCTGATACTCTTTTTGACAGAAGCAAAGATCGTGTCAAGTCACTAAAGCATACGTTTATTTATGAAAAGATAATCACTGTACTTGCTTCTGTTCCACTGATTACAGTGTTTAGATTTTTAAATAATCACTTTGAAATAGATTTGTAGTTACACCTTTTTGAATGAAATAAAGGAGCAATTTCCAGATCTGGTGCTTTACACGTTCAGAGAAACTTCCTAGTTTCTATACTAGGAACTATAGAAATCACCACAGAAAGTATAGTCTTAGTTCCGATACTGTTTAACTTGGCTTTTAATTATATTTGCTAGTATGTACTTGTATATTACTCATTGAACTACAGATTATTTTCTTGAATTACTCTGTTTGGAGGCCATATTATTATTAATTCTCATGTGTAGGAGCCTGTATTGAAATAGAAATGTATGATTTTCCAAGAGCTTCAACTCTTTCCTAGATGGAGTGAAGTCACCAGGAAAATGGAATTCTGGGTTCAAATCTTGGAACAGAATGAGAATGGTGAATACTGCCCTGTAGAAGTAATTTCTGCAAAGGATGTGCCTACAGGAGGAATCTTCCAACTCCGGCAGGTAACAAAATTATGAGTGTTACTCTGAATGTTCACATTAAATTCTTTGGTACCACAAAACTTAATATTGGATTCCTTCTGACAGAAATATCAGTGATAATGAAAGCTAGACTGACCAACTCTATTTCTTGTATTAAAATCATCTCCTACTTCATGGTATTTTCTTTCATTTTCAAACATACTTTCATTTATAATATTTTAAAACCAGCTTCTGTTAGATTTAAGTAAGAGGGTTAAGCTTTGAAGAAAACTTAGAATTGAATTGTACAAAATGAAACAAACATATCAAGCAGCATTAGAATATTTATAAAGACAAGGAGAAGCAGTGTGACGTGACGGAAAGAATGAACCTCGAGAGTCTAACCTGCTAGGGTTCAGCTCTGGGTCTCCTGTGAGCAAGCCCAGTAACCTCGCAGAACCTTTTCTCAGGTGGAAAGTGGAGGTGGTGATAATACCAACTTTGTAGGATGGGTGTGAAGATGAGACATATATGAAGCACAGTGCTTGGCACATGGGAGGTGAGAAGTGTTTTTTCCTCTTGACACCAACCAATTCTCTGCAGACACTAAGTGGGTGCTCTACAAGTCAGTTAGTTCAGTTTGGACTTGAACCGCCAGAGTCAGCTTAAAGTCCACAGGTTTAAGGGCGCAGACAATCACAAGGCTGCCTTCACTTCAGATACCAGTTGCAAGTATTGGGTTCCCAGGTTACCCACACTTCTGTTTGACTTGGCTACAAAGTCAGGGGTTCCCACAACACTCCTCACATTTGATATTTGGTAGAATGACTCACAGAGCTTGGGAAAGCCTGTGACATACTGTTACCAGTCTATTATAAATGATACAAGGCAGGAACAGCCAAATGGAAGATATGCGTGGGCAAGGTGCGGGATGAGGGATAAGGAGCTTCCATGTCTCCTCTGGGTATGCCCCCCTCTCAGCACCTGGATTTGTTCATCAACCAGCAAGCTCTCCGAACTCCATCTTCCGTAAGTTCTATGGATGTTCCATTATATAGACATGGTTGATGACAGCATTGGCCGTTGGCAATACTCAATCTCCAGCCCTTCCCTCATCTCTCCCTGAGCGGTGAGGCTTAAAGTTCCAACTTCTAATCAAGGCTTGGTCTTTCTGATGACCAGACCTCCCGCCCTCCTCGAAGCTATCTGGGGCCTGCCAAGAGTCTCCAGATTAAAAGTCACATCATTAAAAGATGTGCCTATAACCTTTACCACTCAGGATATTCCAAGAGGTTTAGGAGCTGTCTGCCAGGAACTAAGGACAAATACCAAATATATTTTTATGATACCATAGGAGGTATTAAGTAAATGCCGCTAGGTAGATAAGAATACCTTCCAGAAATCAATACAGCAGAGAAATACATGGGAGTCATCACTTACCCCAGGCAGACTGTAATCTGCCAAGTGTCTGTGCTGCCAGCAAAAGATGAGAGAATAGTAATAGAATTTACATAGTAGATTTGGAAATACTCTTGTTTTGCCATGCTTTTACATTAATTCAACGTTTGGTAGAATATTGAATCCTATGCTAGTTTCCATACTTTAGAACAATAGGCAGATATTAGAATAGCTCTAGAAAATGAATGTTCAAATCATTCACAGCAAAATAGGAGAAGAGGTTAAAGAAAAAAGGAAGTTTGCTTAAATATTTAAGTTCCTGAATGTTTTAATAGGAGGAAGATGACAAGCACTTATTCTCTGACCCCAGCAAATGAATTTTAGCAGATTCATTCATGTATGATCAAGGAACTGAAAGCAAAAGGAAATTAGTTTAAATTATAGCATGAGATATATACATAAAATAGGATTCTTAAGGGTGTGAAGCCATCTTTTTCTGAACATCTGTTAAATCTATATATATCTTTTTTAGATGCCTTAGAAATTTATCTCCTGGAAGAGAAGACCAGATAATTTTCTGTGGTTTAGTGTAAATTGAAAACTTAAGTATTTATCATACTTCTGACAACCTATATTATAAGTGTCCAAAGATATGTTGGGTTTATCAGGAAAGACTTTTTTTTTGGAAGGACGTACATCTTGACCTGGATGCTGAAAGAATCATGCAAAGGCTGGAAAGATTTTTCATATGTAAAAGGCAAGAATAAATACAGAGGTTTGAACTAAGTAGACAGTAACCTGAGGGAAGAGCTGGGAAGCAGTGACAGAAGTGGTCACAGAAACTTGGGGCAGCTAGTTCATAGAGGGCCTTGGATGGCAGGCTCCTTGAGTGTAACATATTTCAAAATTGGAACCTGTTGTTCTCAAACAGGAAAATGATAGGGGAAAACTGACTAGGTTAACATATAGCATTGCTGGTTTTATGGTTAAGAAATGGTCAAATGCCCTGGCTGGTTTTCTCGGTGGTTAGAGCATTGGCCTGCGGTCCAGAGAGACCTGGGTTTGGTTCCCACTAAGGGCATGTACCTTGATTGTAGTTTGTCCCCAGCCCTGGTTGGGTCATGCGGGTGGCAGTCACTTGATGTGTCCCTTTCATGTCGATGTTTCTCTCTCTCTCTCTCCCTCCTGCTCTATCTGAACAAAAAATGAAAAATGTCCTCAAGTGAGGATTAAAAAAAAAAGAAATGGTCAAATATCAGTAGCTATAAGAAGTTCAGTCCAACAGTTTAAGTATACTGATCAAAGCTTTTTCTGTGGAACATTTAGCCATTCCTGGATGTTGTTTTTTTAATACTTTTTTTTCTTCACTGATGTTAGAGTAGAGAGGAAGGGAGAGGGAGAGAGAGACAGAAACATCAATGAGAGAGAACATCAATTGGCTGCCTCCGGCATGCCCCCGACTGGGGATCTGGCCCACAACCTGGGCATGTGCCCTGACCGGGAATCAGACCAGACCTCTTGGTGCACAGGTTGATGCTCAACCACTGGGCCACACCAGCTGGGCCATTCCTGGATCTTTTTCCTCCTTTTCTTCCCTCTCCTTATCTTGGATCCTCCCCAAAGTATATGTACTTCACCTTTTACATTTGGGCACACATTTAAAAAGATCACTTTCTGTCTTAGGCATAGTAAATAAAATAAATGACTAAACTATTTTGGACAGTTAAAATGTTTTCTGAGTCCTGCTGGTGTGGTTCAGTGGATTGAGTGTCCATTGTCCCATGGATTGAGAGGTCCAGGTTCGATTCCTGATCAGGGCACATGCTCGGGTTTTGGGCTAGATCCCCAGGAGGGGGCATGCAGGAGGCAGCCGATTGTTGTTTCTCTCTCACATCGATGTGATGTTTCTCTCTCTTCCTTCTTTTCTCTCTAAAAAAAAAAATCAATAAAAACATATATTTAAAAACTCTTGGGAATTAAAATCTGATGGAAGAGGGGAAGAGTAACTGCCTTGAAATTGTATATTCAAAATTAATTTTTCGAATTATATTTTATAGTTCTAGAATTTATAAGTCAACTTTGAAGTCAGTAATTTTGGAATACTGGGAATTTTAAAAAATATATTGCTTTATTGTAAAATATGCAGAGTCACACAGTATTCTGAAAATGTGTTTAAGAAGGGACAGGTTCCTCCTGGTCGGTTTGGCTCAGCGGTTAGAGCGTCAGTCCACCGTCCAGAGAGACAGGTTCAGTTCCTGCTAAGGGCACATACCTTGGCTGCAGTTTGTCCCCGGCCCCGGATTGTGCGGGAGGCAGCCACTCAATATGTTCTTTTCACGTTGATGTTTCTCTCTCTGTCTCTCTTTACCGCCCCCCCCCCCCCCCCCCCCCCCCGTGTCTGAGCAAAAATGGAAAAATGTCCTCAGGTGAGGATAAAAACAAAAAAAAACAAAGAAGGGACAGGTTCTTATTGATCAGTTCTTCATTTTTCTTTTATTTATTTATTTGTTTATTTGTTTATTTAAATCCTCACCTGAGGATATTTATACATTTATCTTCAGACAGAGTGGCAGGGAGGGATGGAGGGGGGGAGGGAGGGAGGCGGAGAGAGAGAGAGAGAGAGAGAGAGAGAGAGAAACAGTGATGTAAGAGAGACACATAGACTGGTTGCCACCCGCAAGACCCCAAGTGGGGCCAGGGATGAACTACAAACGAGGTCCGTGCCCTTGGCTGGGCTCTTTGGTCCGCAGGCCAACGCTCTAACTGCTGAGCCAAACTGGCCAGGGCTGATCAGTTCTTCATTTTCCAACTTGGTTTAAAGTTATTTTATTTTGGGATGAGAGCAGTGAATCTGGAAGAGTAGTAATCACTCTTATTTCTACTCTGCTTATTTTTTAAAAGTAGATCATATTACATATGCTGGGTTTTGTAATCTGTTATGTTTTTTAAAATCTAGTTAACATCTGTCACCATACTCTTTAACTTCAAATATCATGTATATTTTTCTACAACTACATTTTAATGACCGTAATATTTTATTATATATAGTCAAGTTTAAGTAGTGATCAATATTATACATTTAATTTGTTATTCTTAACATTGCTTTATGATTTTTTACATACATACATGGTTATTTACTTAGAGGAGAGTCCTAGAAAGGTGAATTGCTGGGTCAAGGAAAACTTATATTTTTAAGGCAAATTCCTGTCCATGAAGCTTTATCAATTTATATTCCCACCAGTAGTGTATGTAATTACTTTGGGAAATATTCACAATTGCCTTTTTAAAAGATAATTGCCAGTTTAGTAAGTGAAAATAAGTGTGTGTCATGCTAATTTTAATGTATATGTGATTATTAGTAAATGGAACATTTTTTATCGTCTATTTGTGTTTTTTTTAGAATGTTTTCTTTTTGTTGAAAAATATGTAAATCATATATTTGTTGTATCTTTCTACTTGCTTAAAAGGTAATTTTTCATGATTAGTTTTTCCGTGGTTTGCTATTTAACATTTGAGATATGAGGAGATGGTGTCTCCAAGTTAAAGGGTTTTCCCAACATCAGCCTGTAGGGGTCTCTCTAAACCAAATTTTTATGAATCAAATTGATTCTAAGAAACTTAAAATTGTCTGTGATACAGGGGCAGTCCCGGCGAGTGCAGGTGGAAGTGAAGACTGTTCAGGAGTCCGGGACATTACCACTGATGGAAGAATGCATATTGTCTGTTGGCATTGGGTGTATAAAAGTTAGAGCACTCAGATCCCCCAAGATGCAAGAGACCTTCCATGTAAGTTTCTGTGCCTGTTACGTTCCTGTTGAAAGACCCAACCAGGGCAAGAGAGTCTCGGGAACCTGTCAGAAAACTGCCTTCCATGAATAATTCTTTCAGTACTTCTTTTGTTTTCCTTTGTTGTCTTTACTAAAAATTGCATGGTGTTTCACTGCACCAGACTGTTGGTTTTGCCCTGGTACATGGCAAACTGAAGGTTAATAAAAAATCTCTGCCTCCAGAAACTCCTCAGAGCCTACTTGATTAACCTCCACCATTGCCACCCCTCTGCAGAAACCCCCTACTGGCTTGTAAAGACTGTCTGCCGCAGGTGTTTGATTTCCCCTGGGGAGTGGGACTATAAACCCAGCAGGGAAGGTATTGTACTGGTTCTCAAAAAGGTCAAATGTGCTTTCTTCACTTTCCTATGAGAAGCTCAGGGTTTTTTTACTCCAATTTCCTGAAAACTATAAAACAAAGAGTGAGGGTAAGCGTAGATGGGAGATGAAGCAGTATATTCATTAAATTAGAAAATACGAAGTATAGGGATTCAGATTGTTTAGCATAGCCTGATTGTTGAATAGTTTTTTGGTTTTACATAAAGTATTTTTTTTTCTTTCAGGAGGAAGAGGAGGACATGGACAGCTACCAGGTAATGAAGCACCTGTTGTCTTCATTAAATAAGCTTGATTATAGTGCTAAATTACCCATTCCTGAGTTTTGCTATACTCTTACTTAAAAATTAAACAGTTACTTTTGATTCAGATGTTCCTTTTTCTCAAAACAGAGTAGGGGACAAAGAGTGTTTCATAGACTGGAAAGTCTGTTTAGGTTAGGAAATCATTTGTGACCATTATCCTTTTCCAAACCTGGAGCTCCCCATCCAGGTTTCCTACAGACCTGTTTCTGCAGATTCTTCCTTGCTCTTTCTGTCCTGGAGTGGAGTCACCCACCCCTTTCCCTGAAAGAGCTGTGTCATTCTGCTCTCCAGTCAGGCCACGCCCCTAGATGCTTCCCTCATTTTAAGCCAGGTCTTTCTTCCCCACTACATGGAGTCATACAGGTTTGGTTTTGTCTCTCTTCCTGTCCCTCCCCCTTTCCTAATCTTTTGCATGATTTTGTTTATGTCTGTTAAGTTTTATCTTGTTAGTTTTGTTTGGACTCTCAGAGCTCTTTGGATCCTGATTATGTCATCCATTGTAGTCATTGTCCTGGTTTTGCATCATTCTAATTTGATAAAAATGTCTGCCTTCCCATCTAAGTCACTGATAAAAATACTGATCAGAGAGGGTTAAATTCAAAGTCGTGTGCCACAACAATAGAGGCTTCTTTTAAGCTGACAGTCTTTCATTAATCACTGTTCTTTGGATGTGATATTTCAGTCATTTCTGACTTCATTCAAGTAGACTCATTGTACAATTCTCCATCTTGTCCACAAGAATGTCATGAGCTGTTTGGTTAAGTGCCTTAGTGAAATCCAGATACACATCATATCCACAGCATTCCACTGATCTACCCAGTCTTGTAACTTTATTACAAAAGAAAATGAGGTAAGATTGGTGTGCAGTCAGGTGCTGACTGGTAGAGTTGTTTGGCTGTTGATAATGCCCTCTGTTTTCCCTCCTTTCCCTCCACCAAAACAAGGGAAAGAAGCATTGACGTGTTGTTTGTAGGGACTAGCCAAACATGTTGAGGGCTACTTTGAAGAATTCTTATGATGGTCATAAGGGATATAAATATGAAGGTTATTGAGTAGTAGTTGTGATTTTTATCCACCGTAAAGACCTTGTATACGATCTTAGTTGCGAGTGCTTGGAGTTCTACACTGTGGGCCAATAGAAAAAAATTGGTTCTGGACATCGGAGAATGGCCTTTCAGAAAATCTTACTTTAGAACAATGATGCTTTAATTTCTAAAAGTTTCTGTTCTGAATAATGTTGCAGTCAACTAGTGGTGGTAATAAAGATATTAGCATATAATACTTAACACTTTCGAAGCACATTAAAGTAAGGTAAGCATCGGTTTCAGATATATTGCCTACATTATATATTTACTATCTTTCCCTTTGTTTTCTTCAAGGATCGGGATTTGGAGAGACTACGTAGAAAATGGCTAAATGCATTAACAAAACGTCAGGAGTACTTAGATCAACAACTGCAAAAGCTTGTCAGTAAACATGGTAGGAAAAGCAAGTTGAATATTTCCCTCCCCCCACATCAGGGCATAATTAATCCCTACTTGCAGCCACATAAATTAAAAGTAGATGAACATATCAGTTACAGGGATGGCAAGAGCATAGGAATGTTATTTGTGTCATGTCCTTTCAAAAGAACATTTATCTAATTGGAATGATGTCTGTGCATAGGTTGGCCCCAGCCTCCAAAAGAGAAAGAGAAAATACGGTGCACAAAGTAAACATTGTCCCTCAAAAATAACTTCAGGAAGATGTTAACATTTCTTGATTTCTTGTCCGAAAGCATTTGAGTCCTCTGACTCTGGAGGAAATCATTTGTGTGTTCTTCCACTGTCGGCCTCCGTGAACTGAGGATGGCCTCTGTGAGAGCACACCAACCTCTGTAGCTTATAGCTTTTATCAGACCTTTTCTATCATGGATTCGGAAAGTCGTAAGTTCCCAGTGAACCCTCATCAACCAATAACTGAAATATAGACAATTCCTGTCGATACACAGGACAAAAGTGTAAGCAGCAAGTGAGATAACCTTGTTTGATCCTCATTCCTGATGTCCTAGATAAAACAGAGGATGATGCTGACCGTGAGGCTCAACTTCTAGAGATGAGGTTGACTCTAACTGAGGAAAGGAACGCGGTCATGGTCCCCTCCGCCGGCAGTGGGATTCCAGGGGCCCCAGCAGAATGGTATGAGTGCCACCACGTGTCTCTTAAAGTTCTAAGTACTCACTAAGCCCACTGCTTTCGGTATGCATTTATCTGTTCTTTAATTAATGGAAGGCTCATTATAGCATATGGGAAAAAGTTGTTTGAATTAGAGGAAGTGTTAAATTATTTTCATGATTTGGAATAACTATGGCCTAAAACTGTTTTATTAAATAATATTGTTATTGGCTCCAATAATTAAGATTTCTCAGAATCTAAATCAATATTTAGTACCAGTGCACTTAGCATCTAAAAAAATAGTTAATATGTTAATTACTTGGGTCATTCCCTTAAAAGACCATTCGGTCATCATAAAATTGCATCTCTAGGAGTTTTTGGTTTTGGAGCCCAGGAAAACTGTACTATCAGCAAATTTCTGTGCCACTTTATAGAAATTAAAAATAGCAAATGAAGCCATATGGGGCCCTTAGGTATATAATTTTATAAGACAGTAACTTTAAACAAGGGAGCTTCATTTATAAACAGGTGTATGTGTCTTAGAAGACAGAGTTCTAGTTTCAGAGCACATGATAATTATCCTCAAGAGTATTATTCCTAAAGAGAAGCAGCACTTACAGTCAAGACTGGTGGCATCTCTGATCTGAAATTACAGCCAACCCAACAGCAGAGTTATTATTGGCTTGACTGTGTTTTAAGGCTGTGGCTCAAAGTACTTGCTGCTGAGACAGTCTGCTTTATTTGAGATGCTATTTGTTCATTATGTTTTAGGACCCCGGTTCCTGGGATGGAAACACACATTCCTGTTATATTCCTTGACTTGAATGGTAAGTTAGGAGGTGCTTTCGGAAGGCTTACCTCTGACGAACTAGTGTCCACGTAAGACTTGGGTTCTAACAAAGTATGCAGTTAGGCAATCCTGTAAGCCTAAGGTCAGGGTTCATTTTATATGTGCCAAAGGACTCTGTTACTTGATCAAGAATGCATTTTCCGTAAGAAGAATGTTTTGTGACAGTAATAGGCATGTTTCCTCTTGATACGATCTCACATTTCATCTACAGCCTGTACTGCGGTGTGCATGCTTTGCTCTTTCCTCAGTTTGGGAAGATAGTCATGTTTTCCTGCACTTAAAATATTTTCTTCTTTAATTCTTGGAAAAGACTTCTCTCTGGAAGGGACTAATAACTAGTAATTGCTTATGTAGCTTGTTTTCTTTTGTCTGGTGTTTCCTTGGCATTACTTAATAAATCTCTCACTTTTTCTGTGAGTTCTTATGACATCCATCCCTACATTGCCTATTTTTTAACATGTCATTTTTTTCTGACACTTTTCTATTATGTAAAATATTTTGGATGTGGCTATATTTTATATATACTCTGTCTGAGGAGGGAAAATAAAAGTGAAAAGATACATTAAAGAGCTAAGTTAGAAGTCAGCAGTTGAATTCCTAAAACTTGTGCAGAAGAACTGTGTATTAAAATTACTATCTTAAATGGGCAAGATTGGATGTCCTCAGGGGTTTTCTTTCACTGAGCCAGAAGTGGTTATAATATCTGAGGTTTTTAGCATCTTGTGCCACGTAGTTTATCTAGACATGTAAGAGAGTTTCATCGATACACAGAGTTAGGGAAGAGTACTTAGCCACTTCCACTGTCTGTCCGCCTGAAGGGGTTTTAATGTGCTGCTGCAGCACTACTCTCTCCTGCCTTGTTCTCTAGAGCCTTGAAGCCTAAGGGTGACCCTGGCCTAGTCTTATGTTGGGTTCCTGGATAGGTGAGGCTTGTGTGTGAATGAGAGAGAGAGAGAGAGAGAGAGAGAGAGAATAAAAAAGTGGAAAAGACTAAACCTAAAGAAGACTGTTAGTATGGCTATTCCCAGACATGCTCAGGACCTTGTTCAGCCTTATGCCCATTCTTGGGCCACCTAAGACCACATACTACAAAGATACCTTTGATGCCTACTCCCAAGCTTATGGATAGGAGTCGGGAGGGCCAGGCTTGGAACTGAGTAACCGAAGGGCCACAGGGCAGCCCTCTAGTTTCTAGTTCATGTAGCCAATTGATTCTTTTGTTAAGCTTAACTGTCGGATAATTGGAATCACTCTTGCTTCTGTTTTTTTCAGTGCACTAAAAGACAGGGAATTTGGGATATAATCTTACTCATCATTAATATTTATGGGCTGACCTTGAGTAACCTCTTGGGTATTTTGGCTTCAGTTGCCTTTCATGCAAAATAAGGCATAAAGATAGGAGATTGGATAAGGTAATTTCTTGAGGCACTTTCCATCTCTAAGATCTGTGAACGGTTTAATGGTCATCATCTCTGTCATGTAAGATTTTAGAGCCAAAAGAAATGAAATTTGAGGCAGAATAATTTTAATACCTAAACTCATTGAAATTTAACTGGTAGGGGGCTCCCCAGGGGCTAAAAATGACTTCTTTAAAATGATCTTCGTATTTAATGGAACTTCTTTGCTTTTAGCTGATGATTTCAGCTCTCAGGATAATCTTGATGACCCAGAAGCTGGTGGATGGGATGCTACCCTCACTGGGGAAGAAGAGGATGAGTTCTTTGAACTGCAGATTGTTAAACAGCATGATGGAGAGGTAAGCAGAACATAACTGGGGAGGATTAGATGAAAAGTTGTTTCTTTAACCTTTCCATGAGCCTTTTGCTCACCTGAGGACACTTTTTATATTTATCTTCAGACAGAGCTGGAGGGAGAGAGGGAGGAAAAGGAAGAGAGAGAGAAACATCGATGTGAGAAAGACACATCAAGTGGTTGCCACCGACATGACCCCAACCAGGGCCGGGGACAAACCACAACCAAGGTGCATGCTCTTAGCGAGAACCAAACCTGAAACTCTCTGGTCCACAGACCAACACTCTAACCGCTGAGCCAAACCAGCCAGGCCTCCATGAGCCTTTTGAAACAGTCAGCAAGGTCATTATTTCAATGCTTACATTTCTCAAGACATGTAAATGAAAACTTTTCATTATGGCTTCCAGAAAGAATGGAACCTCTTCCAGAAGGAATGGACTTCAGATTACTTCCCCTCCTGGGAAAGGCTCTGTTAGTAGTCATAGTCAGACCAGCAGGGCTCCGCTTTCTGGGGAAATGCTACAGAAGTGAAAGGTAAAATGACACCGGGCCTGGAATTTCCTTTGAAATTCTTCAGTCAAGACTTCGTAAAAAGGGAAAAAAAGAATCAATGAAGCCACCGTGGCAAGATCTTAATAGTGTTTGAATCAGAGTGATGGGTATCCAATGAGGGCTTATTTTTAAAATTTGAGTATATTGGAAAAATTATAAAATATTTTAAGGAAGGAAAGCTGATATGATGCTTTGAAGGACCCGTCATCTCTTAGGGGTACGCCTGAGATGCAAAACCTGGGGCTCACAGTGGGGAGACAGCACAGCAGTGGTGCCCTCTGAAGAACAGTGCCCACGCCCTTCTTAGTGAGTCAGTTCTCGGGTGATGAAGAGAGTCTGGGGAGCCACTTCACTTTAAGGTGGACCAAAGGAACAGTGACAACTAAATGTAGTTTGTGATCCTGGATTGGAATGATTGAAGATTCGAGTGGGAACTCTCTACTATATAGTAGTATTGCATTGATGTTAAATTTCCTGAATATGATCATTGTCCTATGGTTAAGTCTGAGGATGCCTTTGCTCTTAGACAATGGTTGCTGAAGTATTTAGGGATGTAGAGTTACATGTCTGTAACTTACTTTAAAGAAATGCAGTAAAAAAAAAAAAAATAACAACACTGTATGTGTATGTGTTGTGAGAGAGAGAGAGGAAAAGTGGCAAATGTTAACAGCTGATGAATCTAGATGAAAGATATACAGGAGTTCATTGTACTGAATTTGCACAAAAAAGTTTTTATGTTGGAGTATTTTTCAAAATAAAAATTTCAACATTCTCTGTACTTCCCAGACTATGGTGATTGAGGCCACACCCTCATATTCCACAGTCCTTCAGGGCAGGTCTCTTTGTAGACTCCCTCGTGACTGGCATGTACCACCCTGAGACCAAGCCAAGGTGTTTCTTTGGGAGGTTTTCTGTTTTTAGGAGCAGATGGAAAAGTATGGTCTTTCTGTCTTCTCCGCAGGTGAGAGCAGAAGCCTCTTGGGACTCTGCAGTGCACAATTGTCCTCTGCTCAGTAAAGGCACACCTGCCGATGAGCGAGTGTTTCTGATTGTGCGGGTGACAGTCCAGCTCAGCCATCCAGCTGACATGCAGCTGGTGTTACGCAAACGAATCTGTGTCAATGTTCATGGCCGGCAGGTGAGTCACTAATCCTAGTGGAAGAAAGGACTTTAAGCACAGGTCCCACGTGAGAGCAGGGCTGTGGAACGATTGCTCTGCCTCTTGTCGCAACAGGCTGGGAAGCCTTGAGCTCTTCTTTCCAAGGGGACTGTCCTGTCCTGTAACTGGGACTGCTTCAGTGCCAGAATGTGTCATTCTGATTTCTTCCTAGACAGTATTAAATGGTTACACTGGATCCTTCTTACTGCGTATTCACAGATTACAGCCATTTTTTTGGTGGGAGAGTGGGGGGCGGTTTGCCACTGAGCCCTGTGAAGGTGAAGTTTGCCCTTTTTGTTTTGTACTTTTCATCTGGGTCCTACAAGGTGAGAAGGATCACTGCAGTTAGCCTTTGTTTGTGCGCCTTGCCCCTTGCTTTCCATTCCTTTCTTTCCTTTCAGTCATCTCTACGAATTTGCTGATTTGTAAATTGGGGAAGTGTGCTCTGTCGAGCTTTGGGGTGAAAGATGAGTAAGAAATAGTCTCAGCCCTTAAAGAGCCAGTGTTTGTTGGCATATGTCAAGGTATAAACAGGCGACTCTGCTGTCTGTGACAGTGCCCTAACACAGGTGCTCACCACTTGCTGGAAGATGGCAGGTGTGGAGGGCGCGTTCAGACTGAGATGAGAGGGAAGTCTTCAGAGAGCAGAGTGGCGTGTGCTGCTTTTTTACAGACAAGGAGGGAGTTGTTGGCTGTTCCATGGAGGGGAGGAAATACATGTGCAGAGGTAGTGAGGATGGAAAGGGCGTGGCAGGCTTGGGGACCTTGAGAAGCATCGTGCCGGGTGTGCTGCAGAGCCCAAGGCTGTGGCTCTCAGAGTTGCAGCTAGATTATGAAGAGCCTTGTGTTATATGAACATTTCTAGGTGGATATAAACTATTTCTCTTACTGGTTTTGCAAATATAGGATTTGGGAGGTTGATTCTGGAGATTCTTTTTAACTCTGCTGACTTTTGGAGGCCTTCTCAATACACTGACTGAAACCAGGACAGATGAAAATAAATCTTTTCATTTAAAAGAGCGCAGTCATGGTTGACAGAGTCCTAGATGTAATCGCCACCCCTAAAAATTAATCTTTAGTTCTAAATGTCACACTGATATCAATCTTTGAAATGAAGACTGGCGGTAATGCTATTAAAATTGCAGCTCTTTAGCTGGGCAATCTAACATCAATAAAACCCAGGTCATCGGGTTAGCCATAGATGTATATGGTGTGTTTCCCATTCACTCTTCTCTCCGTCTCCCTCTTCTCGGAAGGCTTTAAGGGATTGAAAACGACAAGCTGTTCCTGGGGAGCATTTTGAAGAGTTACTTGCTATTTCAGAACTAGAGATGCTGGTTGCCAGGCACCGAGACTGACCTGGTACTGCCAAGGCTGATCTGGCACCACTGAGATGGACCCGGTACCACTGAGACTGACCTGGTATCAGCCCCAGAGAATTTTTAACAGAAAAGGTGCATCCTGGCATCTCCGAGTTTTTTCGGTATTTGTTTTTATTTTTTGTTGTAGGGACAAAGACTTGCCACATTTTCCCCCAGTTGAAATGACATCATAGTATCAAGTTGATACTGAATGAAATGGTAGTATTTTAGAGCATAGCAGTTTTCCTCCTAATTTCGGGTATTTCATTTCTAAAAATAACTTCTTTTTATTTTTTGTTGTTATTTTTTAAATCCTCACCCAAAGATATTTTTCCATTTATCTTCAGATAGAGTGGGAAGTGGGGGGGGGAGAGAGAGAGAGAGAGAGAGAGAGAGAGAGAGAGAGAGAGAAAGAGAGAGAGAGAGAGAGAAAGAGAGAGAGAGAGAGAGGGAGAATCAGTGTGAGAGAGACACATCAGCTGGTTGCCTCCCACACAAACCCAACCAGAGCCGGGGACTGAACTGCAACCGAGGTACATGCCCTTGACCAGAACTGAACCAGTGACTCGTCCCTGGGCCATTGCTCAAACCTCTGAGCCAAACTGGCCAGGGCTAAAAATGACTTCTTTATAGCAAGAACAGGGACTTCCTTAGGACCCTAAAACATGCAAGTCAGCTTCAGTAATTCCATAGAAATAGAAAAAAGAAAGATAACAGCAGCACCCACACGTCCCCGCCACCCATCAGAACGGAGCTGCAGCTGCTGTCTGACCAGTGGGCTGGCACTGGCTCAGCACTGCGGGGCTGAAGTCCAGAGAAGAAGGGATGAAGGAAATGGCATCTGCATTCTAAGAGGCTAACATCTTTCAGAAAATTAACTAAAGATTACTAAATAGGAAAGGAATTATTCAGTAGGTTTGTGACAATATGTATTTATAAGACCAAGCAGCTGGATCTTTCTGTTTTCTTTGGGGGTTTTCACATATTTCCTGCTTCCCTTTTGCATAGGAAAAAGGTTCAATGTTAGTTTAATATTCTCTCTTCTTCTTATCTTTATTCACCAATTGTATTCTGCCCTCATCCCTGCTCTCTTCAACCTCTACAGGATGTTCAGTCTTAGCAGCATCTTCAAATGAGTCATCTCTGCATTAATTCAACAGTTCAATTCTTAACTGTGCAAAGAGCACAGTCAGCATAAACAATGACCATGCACTCTTAAATCATTCTTCATAACGATCCTGCTTTGGTCAAGAATTTAATGCTTGAACTTGTCAATATTCATGGTACAAGATGCCCATCGTGCTGCAGGGAAAAAAAGTGTAAGAGTCACCAGTCCTTGCTTACATCTTAGTTAGAAGGTCATTTTATTGTGTGGAAGTCAACAGCCTTATTTCTGTTGCCTTTAAGCAGAGTTGTACCGGATGCCTAGTCAGTTTCCAGAGGTCTCGGTCTGTTCTTTCCATGTGTTGGGTATGGGACATGCCACCCATTGCACACATGTAGGTATACAGGTTTCTAAAATTGGTTTTGTGCAAAGACAAAGTTGAGGAACCTATATTTAGTAATTTGGATTTCAACTTGCATATATTGGAAATATGTTCTGTTTCTTTTTGGTAGGAGTGAATGCAGTATCCTTTATGCTGTTTTTATGTTAATGTAAACTCAGTTTTTGAGGTGGGAAACTGTATCGTCTATTTTGTTTTTCTAGGGTTTTGCTCAGAGTCTCCTAAAAAAGATGTCTCATCGAAGTTCTATTCCTGGCTGCGGAGTGACTTTTGAGATTGTCTCCAATATTCCCGAGGTAATTTGAATTTACTAAAAATAAACATGTAAAAAGAGCGAACTCCCTGGCCTGGCCAGTGTGGCTCAGTTGGTTGGGTTTCATCCTGTGCACCGAAAGGTTGCTGGTTCGATTCCTGGTCAGGGTACATGCCTGGGTTGTGGATTCGATCCCTGGTTGGGGGCTTTGCAGGAGGCAGCCAATTGATTGATGTTTTACACTCACATCGATGTTTTGCTCTCTCTCCCTCTCCCTCTCTCTTCCTTTCTCTCTAAAAATCAATTAAAAATATACATATGTATTTAAAAAGCTAACTCCCTGAAAAGTCACTTACCCAAGAAATATTTACTAAATGGATATGTATATTTAGGGAAATGCTATAGATTTTTTAGAGGAATTTCCTAATTTTACCTTGACTCAGTAAAACGTACTTGTGGCTTTAAAGGTTCTGGTTTTAGTACTTATTAAAAGAAGAACATCGTTTTGAAAAGCAAATGAACACCTTTTCACTGATAACTGATAAAGAGGAATAAGAGATACAAACTTCTAGTTATAAAATAAAATCTCAGGGATGTAATGTACAGCATAGAGAAAATAGTCAATAACATCATAATAACTTTGTATGTTGGCAAATCGTTACTAGGCTTATTGTAGTGATCACTGTAAGGTATATAGATGTCAAATCACTATGTTGAACCACTAAAACTAATATAATGTTGTATGTCAACTATACTTTAATAAATAATACATTTAAAAAAAGACATAGATAATATTGTAACCTTCAAAGGGAGGCTGCACAGCATAGAGATTTAGTGTTTCATTGTGGAGTCAAATAGAAATCTTGTTTCTTTTACCCATTAGCGAAGTGAACTTGGGTAGTTACTCTGAGCCTGTTTTTTCATTTATCAGATGAGGTTAGTGATACCTTCTGAACAGGGTTGTTTTAAGGATTAAATGAGAGTGTATACAAGTTGTTGTGTATACATGCTAAACTGTAAATTGTAATTTCTGTTATTATTTGAGTTACTACTTTGTTGTTATTTCTTTTTATGAACAAAGTGAGATATTCACAGGACTTAAACCAATAGAGCTAAAAATATCCCTGACAAAAGCTTATTGGAGGATGCAGTTTATGTTTCCTAATGTTTATCCCTGATTTAGACCTACTTACTCTCCTGGGCACTGGCACCGCTGGTCCTGGAGGCCTTCCCTACAGGGTAGGAGAAATGCGGGGCCTAAGGAAAGGGCTCTGTGACAACGGGAAAGAGGAGCAGTCGCTCTGCCACACTTTCCAAAAGCGGGAGTGAGTGAGGAGGTGAGACTACTTTCTCAGGAGGGAGCATGGACCGTGAGCCCTGGGGGTGGACACTCCCTCCTCATCAAGCCATCCACATTGGCCCCATTCTCTCTCTCTCTCTCTCTTTTTTTTTTTTCTTTATTAATTTTAGGGAGGGAGAGGGAGAGAGAGATAGAAACATCAATGAGAGAGAACATAGATTGGCCGCTTCCTGCATGCCCTCCACTGAGGATCGGGCCCACAACCTGGGCATGTGCCCTGATCAGAAATCGAACCAGCGACCTTTTGGTGCATGGGTCGATGCTCAACCAGTGAGCCACACCGGCCGGGTGGCCCCATTCTTTTTATTTGAGGGTTCAGAATGTGTTTATTGATTCTATTGAGTATTTGAACAATAGATAGAACAATACATATTTTAATACAGAGAGCAGTTTTTGGAAGAGTAAAATATTCCACAGTATTTGGGTTTTGGTTTAGATTTATTGTATTGCAAAACATTTTTTCCTTCAAATAATGTCAAATAGTAACTTGTTTTTTTCTGGATCTTCAAAGTGTTAGACTTTAATAGTAAATATTAATGGCTAACTTATTTAATTTGGAGCCTGCTGAACAAATGTTAAGTCTGTTTTCAGAGTTAGACTACCTGCAAAATCTTGGGTCTATAGTAGATTACTCTTTGCATACTTACATGTTTAACTAAAGACTTGCTGTTTATTTTCTGCATCTGAGTGTTTTGTAGTTTTTCCCAGTTGTTTCGGATCTTAAGTCTGTCAGTGGTTTGAATGCAATTCAGAAGCAGAGACAGCTAGTGAACCATCTTCACCTCTCCCTTTTCTCTCTCCATCTTTCTGTCCCCACTCACCTCTCCCCTCCTATTTGTAGTTTTCTTTCCCTCTTTAAAAATGTTTTTATTCTACAGGTAGTATTGGTTTTCAAAGGGAAGAAATGTGGGGGAATCAGCTGAGATACAAGCATGACCTTGTGTGATTGGGCTACCTGTTAAAAATTTGCTAAACATCTCAGTTGGCAAGTGTGATTCTCGCACTGCCAAATCCTGATGGTAAAGAAAAAGGAAAAGTGAGACTTAAAGCCTACAGTGTAAGGACTACACTTAGTTTATTTTTTATGTAAAAACACAAAGATCCCTTAAGAAGCTAGGTTTCATCGTGAAACGGCCCTGAAAAGTCCTTTTGTGTTCCATATTACGGAAGCTATGAGGGCCTGGTGGCCAGAAGTGGTCGTAGGCCAGAGGGCAACACGAAACATCTTCACTTTATTTTTTTTAAGCGACTAGAATACTTCCATTGCTGGTGGGAATATAAAATGATGCACCACTTTAGAAAATAAACACCTACCTCATGACCCAGTAATTTCACTTCTAAGTCCTTACCCAAGAGAAGTGAAAGCCCATGTCCATAAAGACTCGCACAGGAATATTCATAGCAGCTTCATTCAGAATAACCTGAAACTGGAAACAGCCCAAGCTTCCCTCAACAGATGAATGGATAAGTAAATTGTGGTATCTCCATACTGCGGAATCTTGCTCAGCTATACAAAGAAATGAACTATATGAATGAATCTCAAAATTATGCCGAGTGAAAGAAGCTATGTACAAAAGGGTATGATTTCCTTTATTTGAAATTCTAAAAGAGTGAATTCTTAACATCTATGGTCAAAGAAATTATCCTGCCTTGAGGAAGGCTAGGAATTGACTGTGAAGCCCATAAATGAACATCCCGAGGTAATGGAAGTGTTTATGTCTTTTTTATTTTTTGGTGGTACATGCCCCTAGTGGGAACCGAACCTGGGACTCTCTGGTCCGCAGGCCGACGCTCAACCGCTGAGCCAAACTGGCCAGGGCTGTTTTATATCTTGATAGGTGTGTGGGTAACATGGAGATATATGCATTTTTCTTAAAACGTAAGTTTCCCCTTTCTTAGAAAATGAGGATAATGTTTGTTCCCTTCAGATACCAGAAAGTATTCTGTGTTGAGTGGTAGAAAGAATATGTATGTACTCTATCAGGAGGCAGGAGACCTAAGTTCTAGGCTTGCCTCTTGCTAATTATGTGACTTCCTCTCTCCTCTTCTATAAAATGAGGATGATTTCTTCTTTTCAGGGTTATTAAAAGGCTCAGATGCATCTATAGGAGTCAAAAGTTTTGCCGTCTTCCAAATTTGTCCTTTCTTTATCCATTCTAATGTTCATTTAAATTTTTAAAAATATTCTTGAAGTTAGAATGTCTTTTAATTAATGACATCTTAAGATTAATTGGCAGAATTTTTTTCTCCTTAGAGGTATATAAAATGAAGGGCTTTTTTCCTTAAAGTTGATGGCATGTTAAGATGCGGTGGCACATGGATATATATTTTGTAGTTTTTGACATTATTATGACAAATTCACAAGTAAATCAAGTATCTGATTTTCCCTGAGCAGAATAATTTGTTATGAACTAAGTTTGCTTGAAATAATTAGATACATCAAAAAAATCCCTCCGTGACTTGTGCATGTCCCTTTTATATTCATGGCCCACCCATGGCAGACAGGGGAGCAGGGTGGGCTGTACTGAAAGCACAGTGAGAATTTGCCTGGATACCTCTCCCTCTGCCCCTCCAGAGTTGAGGGTCAAGACGGTTGTGGAAGCACATCCTGACTCTAGAGTCCATGGTCGGCTGCTTAGTGAAAGTGTCGAAACCCACCCTTCTTTCCACTCTCATTCTCCACACCTGTGTCTGCCCCCTGCTAGGCTTTTTTGGGTCCCAACCTTATCTGGCTGTCCCCCAGCTCCTCATTCATCTTCTTGCTCCTCAAGATATGTTGTGGTGGTTATAATTCCAGCTGGCCCATCAAATCTTTTCTAACCAGTAGTGTTTTTGTTTGTAGTGGAAATCAAATAGAGAAGAGTGCTGTTGAGAATGTGCCATTTCAGCTATGCTGTTTAACTGGCCTTTCGAGGCAACCTAACCACCATTTATACCATGATTTCTGTGGGAAAATGCATTTTGAGTCCCAGAAGCTGACTTTAAAATGGAACTTTGGACTGCATCCCTTTTGTTGGTTCAGAACTGTGTGTGTGTGTGTGTGTGTGCGTGTGTGTGTGTGTGTGTATGTGTGTATTTGTATAGCTCAAGAAGCTTTTACAGTGTTTTCTTCTGCAGTGTACTTAATTTTAATACACAACTTTCCATTCTCCAGGATGCCCAGGGAGTAGAGGAACGAGAAACATTAGCAAGAATGGCAGCTAATGTTGAAAACACGGCATCTGCTGACTCAGAGGCTTATATTGAAAAGTACCTCAGAAGCGTGCTGGCCGTGGAGAACCTCCTCACTCTGGATCGTCTTCGCCAGGTCAGCCAGCGGAGCTGGTCACTGTGGTGCTGACCCAGCCCGATTCTGTGTTCGACTTCCTGCAAGCCACAGTATTGTTACGTGTAAACTTTTGAAGTGTCCTCTTAAATGGAGCATGTTAATCTAGTTTAACCTTGCTGGTTCAGACTTGGAAGGTACAAAAGCCACACTTGGAGAGGTATTATTTTTTAAGACAGTAAATGGTATCTAGTTGCCTTGAAGTAATGGGAGAGAATACTTTTGCAGGCGAAAGAATTATTTTCAAAGTTCTTCATACTGGGCAATAATGTTGCTGAAAAAATATGCAGTAATGAGGCACAGTGGGCCCTTCTTTGCTTGGCTGGACATGCCTGCCACAGCCTTAGAACCATCTCTAGAAGGGAGAATAGAAATGCCAGCAATAAACATGGTCCTTAGAGAAACCCTAAACCTCATGTTACCTAGCAAACCAAACATACTAATGAAAAATAAAAGTGAATGATCTGATTTTTATGATCTTTCTCCTGGGGCTGACTTCTGCCAGCTTCAGGGGGCCATCAGTAAGAGAAGAGAAGGATCCAGGTAACCTGTCAAATATTTAACTGACTTTGAATATTTCACAGTGATTGTAATTGGATCATATGTCATGTGAAGTTATAGCCACATTACAGAACCAGGAATGTGTATGTGTAGGTGGTAGCTCAAGACTTGCTTTAGATAGCATTGATTTGAAGGTGTGTCTCTAATACATAGTTTTCCTCTGTTTCTGGCTGACAGGAAGTTGCAGTGAAGGAGCAGTTGACAGGCAAAGGGAAGCTGAGTAGGAGGAGTATCAGCTCTCCCAACGTGAACAGAGTGAGTACTTGGGGTTCCCAGTGTGCGCCCTGCTTAGATCTTCTTTCTCTTCTCCTCTTTCCTTGAAAGCTCTTCTCCATCCCTTACATCTCATCTTGGTTATCATTTCCTTGTCCGAACTTACTGAAGGTGCCTTTCTCTTCCCTGGAGTATCTATGCATAGCTCTGTCTCTGTCCTTACTGATGTCAGGGGGGTACCCATTAAAGCACTTCTCTAATGTTTTTCATTTATCTTTATCACCGGTGCCTAGCACAGTGACTGGGTGTTCAGTGAGTGTTTGTTGAACTAACACAAAACGCCCAGGGCAAGCCATTTACATTTTCTGGGCTTAACTTAATTATTTTTAGAGTGAGGAGAAGTCTGGCCTAGGTTTACAAACTCAGTTTCTTATAGGCCATCCAGGATAGTACAAAAGAGTAAAATGAGTTAGGTTTGTTTTGTAACAGTGTCTTAAGTTTGTTGTTGTTTTTTTAAGATATGAATGTATAACTTACGTGCATATGAAGCATGCAGATGATTCTTCACAAAGAATTATGCTTGTGGCCCTGTGATTTATCTCTCCTTTTCTTCTTATTTATTTATTTATTTTTTTATCCTCACCCGAGGACATTTTTCTATTTTTTGTTCCGGTAGAGTGGGAGGGAGAGAGAGGAACAGAGAGAGAGAGAGAAGCATCGACGTGAGAGGAACACATCGAGTGGCTGCCACCCGCACAACTGACCAGAGCCGGGGACAAACTGCAACCGAGGTACGTGCCCTTAGCGGGAACCGAACCCGGGTCTCTCAGGACCGCAGGCCGATGCTCTAACCGCTGAGCCAAACCGGCCAGGGCTCTTATTTATTTTTTTAATCTTCTCCTGAGGACACTTTTCCACCCTTTGTTCAGATAGAGTGGGAGGGAGAGAGAGGAAGAGAGAGAGAGAGAAACATTGACGTGAAAGGGACACATCGAGTGGCTGCCACCCGCACGACCAACCAGGGCCGGGGACAAACTGCAACCGAAGTACGTGCCCTTAGCGGGAACCGAACCTGGGTCTCTCGGGACTGCAGGCCGACGCTCTAACCGCTGAGCCAAACCGGCCAGGGCTCCTTTTCTTATTTTTGATAAAGATATAGATATGAGAAACATTACACCTTTGTCTGAACTTTCACGAAGAAAAACCACAGTACAAGCATGGTGACAAAGAGCAGCTGACCCTCAGCCTTCACGTTTGAGAGACAATTGTGATAGGTGGCCCCCGAGTGACTGGAGGACAGCATTCATGCTCCCAGACTGAAAGATTAAAAAATATCACTTTAATTCAACATTAAAATCTTCTCATTCCTTCAGAAAATGAAATATTAAAATGTACTGATATAGGCAGAGAATTGGTATGTAGAATTCTATGGTTTAAAATAAATAGTTGTGTGTATATATTTGCTATGAAAATCCAGAAAAAGGAGTTGTAGGATCAGGATATGGTAAGATAGCCAGTAACCTGGTATCTTTTGAATGGCAGGGGATAAATAAATGAAGTCTGTCTTATTTAGGCCCAGTGGTTGTTACCTCAGTGTAAACTGGATATCTGCTCTTATGCAAACCTCCCATCTTGCCCTGGCTGGTTTGGCTCAGTTGGCCTACGGACCAGAGAGACCCCGGTTCTGTTCCCACTAAGGGCACGTACCTCAGTTGCAGTTTGTCCCCGGCCCTGGTTGGGGTCATGTGAGTGGCAGCCACTCAATATCTCTCTCTCACATCGATGTTTCTCTCTCTCTCTTCCTCCTTTTCTCCCTCCCACTCTATCTGAAGGTAAATGCAAAAAAAAAAGTGTCCTTGGGTGAGGATAAAAAATAACCTCCCATCTTAAAATGCCCCAAAGGCCACTAGTCTAGGTTTGCAACTGTGGTCTTGACAGCCTCTCTGCCACCCTCCAACTTGAACATTCTGTGGATTCGGTTTCCAAAGTCTTGTATTTCCAGGACCGTAGATTGATGTGCTTTTACACGTAAAGGATTAATGCCCCTTTTTATTTCTTCTTCAGTTGTCTGGCAGCCGACAAGATCTCATTCCATCCTACAGCCTAGGCAGCAACAAGGTGAGTGTTTGTGCCTAGTTCTGCCGTCTCACACCGTCCCCAGACAGCACACATAGTTCTGCGGGCCAGCATTTCTCCTCCTTCTGTACATACAGGATTTATTGGAATGTGTTTAGAGTTCATTTCTTTTTATCTGATGCTTAGAATATGACTTAATAGGCCTTCTTGTTACTCTAATTTTCAGGGGTTAAAAACAAATTTGTTACTTAAGTTCATATTTCTGTTGAAAATGCTCTTCCTATTTATGTCAGAAAAGGAACTTCAAACCAGATGTACAATAATAAAATATTGATGCGATGATTGAAAGTGTATGAGGAATAAGAAGATTGTACTTAAAAGTCAGTATCATGTGTTAAAAGAAGGAAAAATAAGGGAACAGAAATTTTGTGAGCTGGAATTGATTGACTTGTTAATATAGCTTTCCCCAATTTAACAGAGTTTCAAGTATAGATAAATTTTTATTATTTACTTAAAGGGATCTCTTGAAATTGTCATAACTAGATGTCACATATTACAGTTTTGTGTCTGATATTTTTTGAGGACCCTGGTTAGATGTTGGTGCTCTCAAATGTGGGTAGAGTGCTCTGTCTTAATAGCTGAGTTCTTGAGCAGGGTAAAAGTGAAGCAGCAACAGGGCAGAAACGGCTTGCTTACATTGGAACTAGGAAGGTTTTTTTTAACACTTCACCTAAACCCCCACTTGTGTTCCTGCTTGTGATCCTTAAAATTACATTAGAATAACATATATAGTACAAATGTATGTAGTTATCAAGGCAAAAGTATGAAAACACTTAAATTGGAGGGTAGAGCGATGAGTCCAGGAGAAGTTTCAGCAGTGGGGAGGGGAAGGAGGAAAGATGGAAGATGTATCAAGGAGGTAGAATCTCCAGAACTCTGTGGGCATGAAGAATGAGGTTGGGCAATGGAGGAGACTGGGATGACATCTGGGTTTCTGGGTGACAGTATTCAGAGATGAACTGTAGGAGAGACAGGCTTGGGGAAGAAAATTACTTAGTTCCGTTTTTGACATGAAGGTTTCTAGGCTAGTTGGAGCATCTGGAAGCCTGGGTGAAGACAGCTTTGGGAAGTCAGGGCACAGTTGAACGAGTGGGAGGGAAGCGATGAGGGCATGATGATGGTACTTGGGCCAGTGCAGGAGCAGACGCTGGCCAGAGCGACAGAAAGGAGTCCTCAGAGGGGACAGAACACCTAGGAGGGAGAGTGGCTTGGAAATGGGGGGGCGGGGGGGTGTAAGAGGGTCTCCTTCTAGATTCTTTAGAGATTGTAAACTGAGTACTAAAAAAAACTGTTTGGATGTGACAATTAAGAGTTTATTTGGAGACCTTTCCCAGGGCAATTTCTGTGAAGGACTGGGGCGAAGTTAGCTGGATGTGTCATTTCAATGAGTAAATATAACGTTACACAGTTTTGTTACACAGTTTTGTTTGAGTCATCTTGATTTCTTGGGGTGCCTGGGTAGCTTAGTGACTCTGAGGAGAGTCTGATTTCCATCCTCTCAGACGCTCCTGATGTTACCGTGCTGTCCAGCAACAGGAACGTGGATGTCTCCACTTTACTGCAACACATAGTTTAAGTTGGCGTACACTTCAAAAAGGTTAAATACCGTTTCCTCCCCAGTTTGAGTCTTTCTCAACCATGCAGTTCCCACCCTCTGGCAAACATGGAAATGTTGTCAGGGAAAGCAGAAGGGGCCAGCTTGCCATTCCTGACTTTGTTCCCCGTTCAGCCATGGAACTATCATTGTGCCTTCTTTTGAACTCTGGCACCCACGATCCCCGAAAGGTTGCCAGATATAACTGGACTTCAGTCTGCATCTTGTCACCATCCCGTGAACTTCTCGCTTGTGTGCAGATCTGCAGGTTAAATAAATGCTTACATGTCAAAATTAGAGACCTTTGCTTTTCTCTAGGGGAGAGGTAGAGGAGAACTATTCTAAGACAGATGTTTATGGATGGACCTGTCTAATGAATAGGGAAATTCATGTGACAGAGGATTATAACTGCGATGCTAGGAAACAACAGTAAGCAATGAAGTTTTGATTTCAGGCTCACTTCAGTAGGGAAAGCAGGGTAGTTCCCCTGTTTTCTGATGAGGGGCCCCTCAGTAGTTTTATCATCAAATCAGAGCATCTTAACAGATTTTTAGAGAAAATAAATATTGTTAAAATTATAATTTTTTACTAGTGAGATAAGAACTCTCCTTGTTCCCCACCCTCCCCACATTAGCAGCAAGGAAAAGAGTTCTCCCTGTGGCCTTTTAAATGAAACAATAAAAAATATCTCTTAAGTATGGTATTGCCTTGAATTCAAAGTTTGTTATGAACGCTACACATAATACAGTTCCTCAAGATTGGGTAGTGTTTAATCTAATTAATACAAATGATCCATACCCTATTAAATCCCTTTAAGCGGCAGCAGTGCTTATATACATGTGAAATGACCTATATACAACACTGTCCACTATGACATTGTTTCTAATGGCAGAAAATTAGAAACAAACTAAATGTCCATTGGTTTAGTCTGGTTAAATACATTTTATCTGCACCTGGGTGTGCACACACATGCACAAATAAATAAATGGGATGCTATGCAGCTGTAAAAACAATTAAGAACCCCTTCAGGTACTAATACGGAAGTTCAGAATGTAAACTTGGTCTGTCACCAGGATATACTAAGTAATTAAAAATGAAATACAGGATATAGCCCGGCCGGTGTGGCTCAGTGGTTGAGTGTTGTCCCAAGCAGTTGCTGGTTCAATTCCCGGTCAGGGCCGATGCCCAGGTTGTGGACCCGATCCCCAGTGGGGGGCATGCAGGAGACGGTCAGTCGATGTTCTCGCTCATTGATGTTTCTGTCTCTCTCTCCCTCTCCCTTCCTCTCTCTCTAAAATTTAATAATAAAAAAAAAATGTAGGATATAGTGCTGCCATTTGTATTATTTCAGGAAGGGACAAGAGGGAAGTGTGTGGCTGTATATAGATTTGCTTATATATACATAAGAAACCAGCTGAGAATGTATGAAAGACTAATACCACTTCTTACCTGCCTGGGGAAAGGGTGGAAATACATGGGGAACTGAGCAGGCAAGGGGAGAAGTAGGTGATTTCCCACAGTACGTATGCCTTTTTATATTGTTTGGTTTTGAATCCTGTGAACATATTACCTCTTTAAAAATTAAATAAATTAAAATGTAACAATTTTATCCTTTACCTTTGAAGTTGCTAGAAGTTTTTATTCTCTTATATGTAGTGGTTTGAGAGGGCCTCCAATTGGTTTATCTGTAATAATTTGTGCACAAAATCCTAAAGGAAAGATGACTGAAGATATTGTTTTGGAAAATCTCAAGGACTCATGTTGTTGTTTTTTTCTTTTCTTTTGGGGACTTCCTGTATTCTTCAGTTCTCAGAGATCCAGGGAGAGGTAATTAATTCATTAGGTTTTCCTAATGAGTGGGATACAAGTACTATCCCACTATCTACAATTTACCACTCTTCCTTTTGCCTTGAGGTTAAGAATGCATTTTTAAATGTAGTTTTTATAAGATGACTACATTTGACACTGTACTAATTTTTTGGCTCTTCACCTTTTGTAAAAATAACTTTGGTTGTCAGTATGCATGATTCCTTTCAAATGTTCCCTGTTAACTGGGTCTGAGGCTGTAAAAGTATCTGTCAAAAGAGACCAGGAGCTACAGCATCTTATTGAATTTAGAAGGCTCTGGAATGGGAGGAGTTGGAGTTAATTCATGTCAAGCAAGTAGTACAAATAAATATTTGAGAAGATGTTCCTTTGCTAAGCATAGGGCTGGGGAGAGGAGTGAAAACATGGCAGAAGTGCTTTGAGCATTCTTCCGGCACCACAGAACTTTGCTCAGCTGGGCCATCTTGGTTTCTTTGTACAAGAGTATTGAATGTTCAAGAGAGATATGTCAGTAATATAATTTTAAACTGGACTTGATGCTTAAAATTCTAGAAAATTTGTTTTGAGATATTGAAAATTATAATTACATTGGTTAATCTACCTTGCAAACTTGCATGCCCTTTTTCTGGGTTGTTTACATTAACCTGTATGTCTGTCCCTCTGATCTTGATTATGAAATCAGAATTATACAGTAAGATTTTTTTTAAAAATATGTTTTTATTGTTGTTTTTTTAGAGAGAGAGGAATGGAGAGAGAGATACAAACATGCCTGTGAGAGAGAAACATCGATCGGCTGCATCCTGCACGCCCCCAATCAGGGATCAAGCCCGCAACCCAGGCATGTGCCCTGCCTGACCGGGAATCAAACTGGGACCTCTCAGTCCCTGGGCCGACACTCAGTCCGCTGACCCACACTGGCATGCTGTGTTCTCCCGGGTGACCTGGGAACGTTCAGGTTAGCCGAAATAATGTGTGGAGTCGAGGAATGGCCACAGAGTAGGTTCAGGTCTCTCTTTCTCTCCTAATTTTCATTTAATATCATGACAAAGATTAATCATTTGGAGCAAAGTGACACTAAAAGGTGTGGCAGGGAGGCAGGAAAAGAGAGTCTGATGGGATAAGGGCCCTTGGGAGGTGAGAGCAAGTAGGGATACTGAAAACAATCTCAGTTTGTAACACTTTGAATCCAGCCAGTCCTGTTTCTTACCCGTACTTACTGATGCTTGCTACATATTAAAATTGCGGTTGTTTCACGGGGCTCCATCAAAACTGAATTTTATTAACTATTCCCAATTTTAAAATTCACATTAGAGCCTAACATAAATCACTCTTTGTAAGCTTTTCAATGAAAAAATGTAAAATATCCCTAATTGCAGTGATATTGCTATTTACTGTTACTGGATATTTCATCATGATTGTTAAGGCAATTTTTTTATAAATCAAATGAAAACTTAGCAAACTTTTTATGACCAGTCTATCAAGATGGGCTCATAGTTAGGTGCAGAATTAATTTCAGCAGATTTTTTTTCTCATCTAAAAATGGCCTGTGCAGCCCTGGCCAGTATGCATCCGTTCTTTGGAGTGATGTCCCATCACTGGTTCGATTCCTGGTCAGGGCACATATCCAGGATTCAGGTTCAATCTCCCAGTCAGGGTACATATGAGAGGCAACCAAACAATGTTTTGTTTTTTCACTCCCTCCTTCTCTCTGTAAAGATTGGTAGAAGCGTGTCCTCAGGTGAGGATTAAAAAATAAATTAAAAATCCAAGATTGGCTATGCATTGAAATCTTTTGCAATGCAATGAACACTGTCAACATAAAAATATTTGTATTTCTAAAGCCATTTTAGATGGAATTATATTTTTAATAAATTTGCAAGATAGTGTTTGTCATCTTCTGATTGGAGTTTTTGATGCAATTAAAAGCAGCTAGCCCTGGCTGATTTGGCTCAGCGGTTAGAGCGTCGGCCTGCGGTCCAGAGAGACCCGGGTTCGGTTCCCGCTAAGGGCATGTACCTCGGTTGCAATTTGTCCCTGACCCTGGTTGGGTTGTGTGGGTGGCAGCCACTTGATGTGTCCCTTTCATGTCGATGTTTCTCTCTCTCTCTCTCTCTCCCCCACTCTATCTGAACAAAAAAATGAAAAGATGTTCTCGGATGAGGACCAAAAAAGCAGCTAGAAGCTTCAGTGAGTATCTGATTAACAAAGCTGGCTTGTGTGTTTTGGCCACATTACCTTCCTGAAACCCACCGTTAGTTAGTTAGTTAGTTAGTTAGTTAGTTAGTTAGTTAATAAGTAAAGGCTGATGCCAAAGGTGAGGCACTCCTTTAGTTGCACTGGGAGCTACCTTTGAATCTGGAATGTCATTTCTCTTTATTGACCTCTTTGTCACTTTCCTGATAAGACAGACCTCTTCACAGAAAACCCAAGGTTCTCTGTCTGTTAGAGTATAATGAGAAAACTGAGGGTGTGCAGGGGACCAAACCACATTCTCAAATCAGCTGAGAGTCTCCTGTGCTTTCCCCTGTTCAGTCTGCCTTTAAGCATGGTGCTAGCTATGCGTGATGGCTGTCTCCAGTAGGGTTCTATTTCCCGAATTCAGCCCGGGAGCACTAGTACATATGAAGCCCACGTATGGATCCAAAAGGAAGCAAGAGTTTTTTCTCTCATCTCTTCGTCTAGGCTGCTTCTGAAGTTTGATAGCCAGACCGGCAGAATGTTAGAAACAGATACCAGACTTATCTTTTTAGATTCAATGTGCTGGGTGTAGATTACTGTGGTAGAAGTTAAAACAAAACAAAACAACCACCATACTATTACTTTGAGAACTGAGCTCATAAGAGAACAGAACAGTCAGTCCATTGTCTGGCCAAGTGCTTTTTACCCACTTGGGTCCTGAGTTCATCTCCCTCTAAAGTACCGTTAACTGGGATGCTTTCCCTCCACCCCTCACCCAACATTTCAGTAAAGGGAGAACAACATCCAGGCATATACAATTTATTGGAAAGACACAGAATGCCTGTCCCCACGGGGTAGTGTGTGTAGCTAGACCCTGAACCACAGGTTTCCCTTCTGGCAGGAGAATGGGACGTGTACTGCAGGAGAAAGAGTGTAGTGAACGATGTCAGCGGAGTTCCCGAGGTCTGCGGGTGTCGGAGGGGACGGAGGGGTGTTGTACCCAGTTCATCATCCACATTTGTTGTTCCCTGTGAAGCAGGTTCTTCTGGCCCAGAGTGATCTGAGACACTCTGTGTCCTTGTGTCTGGTCGGTGAGACCTGGGAACAGTTAGCATTCGAGATTCCTCAAGGTTAAGATGACGGTTAAGGTAGATGGATGAAGGGAAATGTGTCTCCGTTTTTCATTACCCGATAGGGCTAGCAATATGGCTAAGGCGGTATTAATTAGGGTCCTGTGTGCATCCTTTCCAATGTTCTCACTTGAGCTATTTGAATATACGAGACAGTAAGAGTTATTGCTTTCATTCTGATTTGGTAGTAACATTGTGTGTGGGAGTGCCAACTGGGAAAAATTACTCGGGAAGCTGGAGAGCCCCGAGAGCGCCTTGGGGAGGAGGTGACACCTACATTATTTGTCACCGGACCATTATGCACCAAGCAGCCGAGGTGCTGACTCCAAATCAGTTCTGTAGTTTTCCTGAGGGACACAGTGCCACTCTGTCAGTTGCCAAACAAGGCAGAAAAATTCAAATTCTGAAAATTTATTCTCAAATTAAGTAAGTTGTCTTCAAAACACCCTTGCGCGAGCCGAACACTGTAAACAGAGCACAAGGCTTCTTTCCTCTGCGAAGCTCTGAAGGGTGTTGACCCTAGAGTTCAGCCACTTCATTATGATGCCCCAGAGTACACAGGGCTGCAGCTTCGAGGCAGATAATGCCATGTAAATGCAAAGACATTAATGAAACATTAAAGTATGTAAATCAGTGTGTGATTCATAGTAACACAAATGCTCCTCCGTGAAGTATTTCAGAATTTCTGGTTTCCTGAATCATCTCTTCCTGTCTGTTTTGTTTCCTTGCTTCCTAATGCTAAATATCATGCCATTTTTAAAAATATCAAGTGCTGAGAAAGTTCCTAGGGAAAAGTGTTCTCTAAGGTAAACAGGCTCCAGATCACTTAGGGCTTATTGATTTTATGATCAGTACTTAGGTTGCTGCTAAAAGCAGATAGGTTTCCAATACATATCTGAAACCTAAGAGGTCTTTCCACCTCAATCCATCTTCAGGAGCAGTGATGAACTTGCTTTGCAGGTGATTACTAATGAAAACGCAAGTGAATCGCTAGGGTCACTCATCTGTGAAATACTAGCCTGCCTGACTATAAAATACCATTACTTAATTCTAGTAAAGGAAAAGTTGGAGTGATTATAAAAGGATAAAAAGGGAACTTAAAGCATTTAAAAGATTAGCATCTTGTCTCTATTACTGGTTTTTGTACCTGTAATATTTGGTTGGGGTCCATTCTTTCCTAGATGGGACCGATGTTAAAAATATCACCATTTTTGCCCTGGTGGGTTTGGCTCAGCGGTTAGAGTGTCGGCCTGCAGTCCAGAGAGACCCAGGTTCGTTTTCCGCTAAGGGCACGTACCTCGGTTGCAGTTTGTCCCCGGCCCTGGTTGGTCATGTGTGTGGCAGCCACTCGATGTGTCCCTTTCACGTCAATGTTTCTCTCTCTCTCTCTCTCTCTCTCTCTCTCTCTCTCTCTCTCCCTCCCTCCCTCCCTCCCACTCTGTCTGAACAAAAAGTGGAAAAGTGTCCTTGGGTGAGGATAAAAAAAAAATCACCATCCATTTTTGTGGCTCACCACGAGCTTTAGAGTGGTAAATTAGTCCATCACCTGCTAGCACTGTTCTGGTATTATGCAATGACATCTCTTTAATGGGAATTTATAAAATAAGTTGAGAGTACGATAAAACTTCTTAATTCAGAGACTTCCTTTATTGGAAACTTGCGATTACTTGATTTGGGCTTAACTGAAATTAATCTCTTTTTAAAATGAGAAGTGTGGTGATACCCTGTTGTAGGACTTTTACTTTCACGAGGATATGAACAGATGGAAAGATGCACTCCTGGAGAGGAGAGGAGGGACGCCTGCCACCACTACAGTTGTTCCTGGGGTTCAGTCGGGAATCTCAGAGAAAAGGGGTACTGTGAGGCCGAAGAGCAGGAAGCAGAACACAAGGGAGGGTTTCAGAGGAATAGGTTAATATATCCATATTTTGTGGGAAGTAGCATGATGTAGTAGGAAGAATGTTAGGATGGAACTGTGGAGACTGTACATGGTCAGTTGGAGGGAGATCCAGTGTGAGGTTTCACTACTATTAGGGAAATTAGTGCTGTGCAGAAGGTGAAAAGTTCCGAGAGGGAAAGTGCTTATGTAATCAAACCGATCATGTCCTGTCAGGGGAATAATGCTTTAGTAATATATAACAGATTTTTGTTTCTTAAATATCTTTAGACTTTTGTTGTTGTTCTATGATTGATTTTAATCAAAATTACCAATTTTGTCCTTAATAGGGCCGGTGGGAAAGTCAACAGGATGTATCGCAAATCACGGTTTCCAGAGGAGCAGCTCCAGGTGCCCCATCCCTCCCTAGTTGTCCCCAAAATAACCATTCTCCTGATGCAGGTAAGTTATATTTTCATTTGTCAATCACTGTCATGAAATTTGAGCAGCTTTCAGAAATAGTTTAAGTCAGGATTTCCTACTAGGTGACCGCTGTCCCACTAGTTCATGCCCATCTGGGGTTTTCCCTTTGTCTTAACGTGTTGAATTACATTGATTTTTGAATGTTGACTTTGTCTTGCATCCCTGTGATAAATGTCTCTTGATCATGACGTGTTATCCTTTATATCCGCTTGATTCCTTTTGCTAACATTTTAAGGGTTTTTGTGTATATGTTTGTTCTATAGTGAATATCTGTCTGTACTTTTCCCATAATAATGTCTTTGTTTGCTTTTGGTATCATGATTATGTTGGCCTTATAAAATGACTTGGGAAGTATTTTCTTATTAGTCTTCTCACAGAACCAGCATTTGGTTTTGATTTCTGTTATTTCTTCATTTCACAAATTTTGGCATAATTTTGGTATGCTGTGCTTTTATTATTATACTCAGAATATTTTCTCATTTCCCTCTGACTTATTTTTGAGTCATGGATTATTGAGCATGTTAATTCATTTTCATATATCTGGGGGGGGGGGTCCTTCTTAATGATTTCTTATTTAATTTCATTATAATTAGAGAATAGATTCTTTAATATTTCAGTCTTTTGAAATTTTTTGAGACTGTTCTGTCATGGTGAACATTCTATTTGTACTTGAAAAGAATGTCTGTTCTGTTTTGGGCATCGTGTTCTGGGTATATCAGTTAGGTCAGAGTGGTTGATAATCTCAACTCTCTATCCTTATTGCCTTTTTTCTGTTCTATCAGTCACTGAGAGGAGGCATTGAATCTCCAAATATGATTGTGAAAATTGTCTGTTTTCCCCTTTAATTGTATCAGTTTTTTCATCATTCACTTAGAAACTGCTATTAGGTATATACCTATAAGGATTGTTATTTTTTCCTGAAGAAGTGATTTTTCTCATTACGAAATGTCCCTTTATATTTCTGGTAATAGTTACTTGGAAATATGTCTTGCTTGATATTAATATAGCCATATCAACGTTCTTTTGCTTGTTGTTTGCACAGTGTATCTTTTTCTCAGTCTTTTAAATTTTAGCCTCTATTGGTCTTTAAATTAAAAGTGACTGTCTTGCTCTGGCTGGTTTGGCTCAGCAATTAGAGCTGGCTCATGGACCAAGGAGTCGAGGGTTTGATTCCAGTCAATGTCACGTACCTTGGTTTCAGGTTTGGTCCCTGGCCCTGGTCTGGGTCATGTGGGAGGCAACCAATTGATGTTTTGTGCTCTCTCTCCCTCCCACTCTGTCTGAAACAATAAAAATGAAAAAATATCTTTGGGTGAGGATTAAAAAAAAAATTAAATAAATAAATGTGATTGTCTTGTAGACAGCTATAGTTAGGGCTAGCTTTTGTTTTACATCTAGTCTGACAATTTCTGCCTTTTAATTGGTATGTTTAGTTGTTTTACATCTAATATTATTATTATGTTTGCCACGTTGCTATTGGTTTTGTTTTTTTTTAATTGATTTTCAGAGAGAGAGAGAGAGAAAGATCGACTTGTTGTTCTACTTCTTGATTTATTGATCCATTCATTGGTTGATTCTTTTATGTGGCCTGATCAGAGAGCAAACTATCAGCTCTAATCAACTGATGTACCTGGTCAGGGCTGGTTTTTATTTGGCCTTTCTATCTTTTTTTTCACTGTGATCTCCTTTTTGCCTTCTTTTGGTTTAACTGAAAAATATATTTTAGATAGTCATATACTCTAGCCACTATGCTGTATACCTGAAACTAATACAAAATAATATTGAATGTAAACTGTAATTGAAAAGAAAGAAAGAAAGAAAGAAAACCCAATGGGGAAGTATGGAGAGTTGTATAGGATCTCATAGCTATAAATAAAATGGTTATTTCCCTCTTCCCCCCAAAAAGAAAAGAAAAATATTTTTTAGTGTTTGATTTATTTTCTCTCTTAGCTTTCAGGTATGCCTGCATTTGTTTGTTTACTTAGTAAAGTTTTTGCTCAAGGACCCTAGTGTGTATTCTTAACCTATTATAACCTATGAATTAATATCACTTCCCATTGCACAAATATAAGAGCTTTGCAACAGTGTAATTCCATCTAACTGTTCCCCTCCCTCCCTTATTTTGTATTATCGTTGTATCTTTTACTTTCCAGATGTTATGAACCCATTTTACACTGTTATTTCTTTTGCTTTAAAATAGCCGCTTTTAAGGAAATTAAGAGACTATAGAAAATATTTTATATTTTCCTTCACATGTATTATTTTTGGCATTATCCAGCCCTTCCTAAAGACCTTATATTCATTTGATAGCATTTCTCTTTAGCCTAAGGAGTATCCTCTTATCTATTTCTTACTGTGTAGTTCTCCCCTTTTGAGAATCTTTATTTCACCTTCTTTTGTTGAAGGATATTTTCTCTAGATAATTTTGAGTTGATAGTTTATTTCTTTCGGCACTTCAGAGATTTACATTATATTTTAGACTCCTTTTCTGATGAAAATCCAGTCATATTTCTGTCACTTTCCCCCTACATATAATGTCTTTATTTATGTTATTTGTTTTCAAAATTTTCTCTCTCTCTCTTTCTCTCTCTCTTTCTCTCTCAAACAGTTGGACAATTGGACAATGATGGGCTTAGGTATAGTTTTCTTAGTGTTTATCTTGCTTGGGTTTCACTGATGTACTTAGATCTATAAGTTGAGTTTTTCAAGAAATTAGGGCAACATTCAGCTATTCATTAAACTTTTTCTGCTGTTCTTTCCTCTCTTTATAATCCTTCTGAGAATCCAATTACACATATGTTGGATTGTTTAACATTGCCCAGGTTATGGAAGCTCTATTTTTTTTAATTCCTATTTTTAATCTTTTTATCTTATTCTTGTTTCTTCTGGTTGGATCATTTCTTTTGCCATTTCCAGTCTTCTGCTAAACACATTCAGGGAAATTTTTGTTTCAGTTATTATTATTTTCAGTTCTAGAATTTCCAATTGCTTCTTTTTTGTAATAGTTTTACTTTCTTTGCTAGTGTTCCCTATCTGTATATTTGTTGAGACTATATTCTTCTTTACATCCTTAGACCTGTGTATAAAAGTTTATTTTTTCCCCTTTTTTTTTGGTCCTCACTCAAGGACTTTTTTTTTTTTGCGCATTCCTCTTCAGATAGAGCCGGGGGGGGTGGGGTGGGGGACACATCGAGTGGCTGCCACCCACACAACCCCAACTGGGGCTGGGGACAAACTGCAACTGAGGTACATGCCCTTAGCAGGAACCGAACCCAGGACTCCCCGGTCCATGGGTCGACGCTCTAACTACTGAGCCAAACCAGCCAGGGTTATAAAAGTTTCTTTAAAGTCTCTTTTTTTTAATCCTCACCTGAGGATATTTTTCCATTTATCTTTAGGTAAAGTGGGATGGAAGAGAGAAAGAGAGAGAGAGAAACACCAGTGTGAGAGGGACACATCAACTGGTTGCCTCCTGCACGACCCCAACCAGGGCCAGAGACGAACCGCAACCGAGGTATGTGTCCTTGACTGGAATCAAACCCACGACTCATTGGTCCACAGGCCAACACACTAACTGCTGAGCCAAACTGGCCAGGGCTTCTTTAAAGTTTTTATATGTTAAATCCAACATCTGGACCATCTCATGTTCTATTCTGTTGACTGTTTTTAACTTGATGATGGGTCATATTTAATGAGTTTTGATGCATGTATTTACCCATTTAGCTTACACCCCTGTCATGATATAGAAAGAAGATTTATGTGACTCCAGTTACTCTCTCCTGGTCAGCCAGTGTTCTGATTTCAAAGTAGTTTTGCTTGTTCTACAAGTTCATATAAAAGGAATCATACAGTTCATTTCTAGTGTGGCTCAGTTGGTTGCTGGTTCAATTCTGGTCAGGGCACATGCTTAGGTTGTGGGCTCGATTCCTGGTAGGGGGCATGCAGGAGGCAGCCAATCAGTGTTATACTCTCACATCAATGTTTCTCTCTTCTCCCTTCCCTTCTCTCTAAAAACCAGGAAACTATTCTTTTAAAAAAAAAGGAATTATACAATATATATTCATTTTGTGTTTGGTTTCTTTTGTTCAACATTTCTGTTCAAGTTATCCATACTGCTGCATGTATCACTAATTTATTCTTTTTCATTGCTGTGACATATTTCATTATCACAATTGAATTTATTATCATTTTTAATCAGTTCTATTTCTGGGCATTTGGTTTCTTTCCAGTTTTTGGCTACTTTGACAAAGCTTGGTCTTATATAAGCCTTTTTGTGAACTGTTCTCTCAAGTAAATACCTAGGAATGAAAATACTGGGTTATAGAATACCAGCTTGTTTTAAAATTCTGTAAATGAATTGTGTATGTATAATCTATATATATAATCTATAGTACTTGATTTACATATTTACCACTTTGCCTTGATCATTATTGCATCTTGTACTCCACTCTGTTCTTTTGAGTTTAGTTGCTTTTTTAGTGAATTATATCCATCATTAGTGCTTTTAGCAATTGTTTTTAGTGACAAACTCTTTATTTTATACATTAAAGTTTTTATCTTGCCCTCACTTTGAAGACTCCTTTTACTATGAAAAATACCAAACATACAAAGTAGAAAGAGTACCATGATGTGCCCCGTCAAGTACCTCCCTCCTGATTTCAAAATAATTGCTTCCTGCCCGGCCGGTGTGGCTCAGTGGATTGAGTGTCTTCCCATGGACTGAGAGGTCCCAGTTCGAGTCCCAGTCAGGGCACATGCTTGGGTTGAGGGCTCGATCCCCAGGAGGTGGCCCGCAGGAGGCAGCCGATCGATGTATCTCTCTCACATCGATGTTTTTATCTCTCTCTCCCTTCTCTCTCTAAAAAATCAATAAAAATATATTATTAAAAATAAAGTGTTATGAGGATACAATGTTTTATCATTTATGACTTGGATTAGATTTTTCTAAAATTTTAGTTTTATTCACTAAGGGGAAAGAAAGCGTATATCGTAGGCATTATCTGCACATTTGATCCCAGCCTTTGGTAATTAAGAGCAGTTAGGAACATGGATGGTTCAGGGCCTATGTTCCTTTCTTGTAAAAACAACTAAAACACTATTCTCTTCCTGAAAGGTCAGTTGCTTTTAACACAGTAAAGAGCACGGTTGAATAAGACCTAGTCCCTGACTTCAAAGAGTTTAGTCTAAATGGAGTGCCACGCATGTGTATCATCAGCTATGTGACTTAACAGTGACAAACTCTACCATATTCCGGAGCAGAAGTTAGTGCTAGAACCAGTTAGTGACAGGACTTAACCTGCTAACAGGAACACTGGAGATTAGAACATTTTAGAAGTACCCCAATTGCTGCTCTTTAGTTGGAAAAGGAAACCCCATTGTGTTTGAGGACAACTATAATAATACTGGTTCTTTTTGATATTAATGTTTAAAGGATACCTTTTTTAAAATTTATATTTGTTAGATTTGTTTACAGATTATATTTGTCAAATTTACAGTAAAGAAATGTCTGTGTAATTGTTTTTGCCTGATTTCTTTTCCTTTTAATATTTTGACAGGACTGGGTAGCTTAGCGGCCTCCTACCTGAATCCAGTCAAATCCTTCGTGCCACAGATGCCCAAGCTCCTGAAGTCTCTCTTCCCTGTGCGCGATGAGAAAAGGGGCAAACAGCCTCCTGCCCTTGCACACCAGGTAAGAGCATCAGGAAGGCAGCGGTGAAGGTTTCTCTAACAGATGGCCGGCAGAGCGGTGCTCTGTGTTGCACTGGAGCTGGAAGGAGAGTGATGGCAACCATGCGGGGTGCAGGGAGTGTTAGGACTGGGCTTTTAGACCTGGTAAAAGCTTGTGATAATTTCTCTTCCCCTCTCTTCAGAGATAACAGAGCTGTTTAAACTTATTGACACTCTCAATCCTTTTTGCTTTTAAAAAATGCCAAGTATGCTCCTAATGTGATTTATGGTAATATCACTTAGAGCAACAATAGTAAAATTTATGAAGTGCACTTAGTGTTGCTTGTGTATTGCCAAACAGAAAATGTAATTCTATTTTTAATTCTTGATTTCATTTCTCATTTCAAACAATTTTATATTATCACTGTCCTTCCCTCGCAACCTCTTTTTCCTCTACTGTGGTTTACCTGGTCTTTCACTTAAAATATTAAAAATGATCATTTGTCTTATTTCCCTTTTTTTCTCTAAAACTCAACCCAGATTTAGAATAAGTTTTAGAGAAAATGTTAAAGGGCTTTCCAAATAATCAAGAAACTGTTCTTATGAGATGGTGAATGGGAAGCCTGTGGGAAATGCAATTTCTAGATATATAGGTGTGAATTCAGCAGAAATTGATAAATGAGGATTTATTTATACTCATTCAAAAACACATACAGTGCAAGTTTAGTTGTTGAAATAGGTCTTTTGACATTAGCTTCCCCACATTCACTTAAATATTCAGGTTACAGAAAAGCAGGTGAGTTCTTGTCTGAGACCTTAACTATTTAAAGAATTTTCTGAGTTCGTGAATGCATATGCAAGGGTGATGGTGTTACTTTTGTAAGGCTGCTGTGCAGATACAGATTTTTTTCAGCCTACCATTATATAAGCATAAGCATACATTTACACATATTAGATGAAAAAAATTAAACATTGAACGTTTGAAAATGTTTAAATTTAACTAGGCATATAATGGGTGCTTGACAGTTATCAAAATGAAACTATGACTGTGAGAGCTAAAAGAAATAGCAGGTTTAATACCTGGTGGAGTTGGGGTAGGCAAAGATGATTTTCCCAGGGGTTTGTCATTGCATTCAGTATTCTGTTCTAAACTCCCACATTGTTATTTTGCAAAGTATGATTCATGGACTGCGTCAGAATTTCCATGGTAACTTTTTAAAAGGGTAACTAAAAAAAATATACAGCCTGATCTCAAGCCATACCTCACCTTATAATCTGCCCTATAATCTGCCTTTTTAAGCAGCCAAGGTGATTCTTGTTTATGTTAAAGTTTGATAACCACCGTTTTTCCATTGCTGTTTGGTGAAGACAGAGTTATATGTATTAAAGGAAACTGGAATGGCATTAGAAGTCATTGAATCAGTCCACTATAGTTACAATTATTTTTTAAAGCTACTCTGAGTTTTTGATGTAGCAAGTCAAATCACCTGCTACAATCAGAAATTGTTTTTACTGTTTGACAGTGAGTGATTGTTTCTTTTGCAAGAACAATAATATGTTAGAAACAAATCTAGTGATTAGAGGATAACTGATTTGTAATGTCCAATTTAAGAGAGTTAATCTTGCAATATTTTAAAGATATCTTAGAGCAATAGTTGCTCATTCAGTTTACTTCTTTTGAGCATATATGAGCAAAGGTGTTGGGGAAGGTGTTCCCAACTATTTTATAATTCATAAATAAATGAAAAATTAAATAAAATAACAAAGATGTGCAAAGTAGAGCTCAAATGTTCCAACTGGTTTGCAACACACACTCCACTGAAGGACCTTTTCTCAAGGTCACTAGGGAGCTACATCTTCCCTGCACCATCTCTGTCTCCATCTGACTTGATCTTCCAGCTACAACACTTTCATCCCTAGGCTTCATTCAGTGCTATGGCGTTTGCCAACTTTCCTTCTGCTGACTATTGAGTCCTTTTTTTTTTTTTTAATAAAATATTGATTTTTAGAGAAAGAGGAAGGGAGAGGATGAGAGAGATAGAATCATCAATGAGTGAGAAACATCATTTGGCTGCCTCTTGCATGCCCCCTACTGGGGATCGAGTCTGCAACCCAGGCATGTGCCCTGAATGGGGATCAAACCAGAACCTCTTGGTACATGGGTCCAAGCTCAACCACTGAGCCACACCAGGGAGGCTGCTCAGCCATTCTTGATGCCTTTCCTGGCTTCGTTTATTCCTTCAAGCTGCTAATATTCAGGTGCCCCAGAGCTCTGTCCTGGGACCTCTTTTTCCTCTTCTTTGAACTTAATTCTTTGCTTGGGTAATGTCATTCAGTTCTAAGGCTTAAACTATTTATACACTGACAATGCTCACATTTTCACCTGCTGCCCAGACTCTGCCCCTGAGCTCTGGCTTTGCCTGTTCAACTTCTCTACTTACATATCAGCGAGGCATTCACATTTTATAAGTCCAAAACATTACTGTTTGTTTCAGTTCATAAGTCTGCTTCCTCCCAATACACAAAATAGTTACTAAAAGACATGCCCATCTCAGTATGTAGCACAAACATCTACCTGGTTGCTTACATCTTACAAATAGTGCATCAGTGAAATTGTGTAGGTACTACTTCCAATCCTGTTACTTCTGCCCTTCTGCATTGCCCATCGTTCATCCATGCCACTGCTGGCTCTCGGCTGTCGCAGCAGCCTACCAGTTGGTCTGTCAGATGCGGTTTTTGCCTCACAATAGTCTATCATTTACCAAGCAGCCGGAGTGTTATTGTAAATGCTTACATTAGTCCATGGCTTGAAACCTTCCACTGTTTCTCACCGAGACTGAATAAAATCTAAATTCCTTCCTGTGGCTGACAGCACCCTGTGTGATGTGGTCCCCTGATCTTTGCGCTTATTCCCTTTGTTCTCCTCTTTGTTCACCATACTAAGCCATATGGGCCATGTTTTGTTTGTTTTAAATCTCAGTAACTCATGAAGCTTCTTTCCGTCTTAATAGTTGTTCTCCTTCCACTTGTACTGCTCTTTCCTAAGTCTTCCCATGGCTTCTAGGTCTCTGTAGAGAGGTGCACTATGAGAGTGGCCAAGAAAGGCCACTGTGAGGAAGCACATTTGAGTTTAGAGTGGCCTTGACCAACCCTGAGTGGGGATTTGAGATATCAAGACATATTAATGAACTTTCTTTCTTGGATTGATGTAAGTTCCACTAAAGAACCATTCCTAAAGGAGGGAAAATCTTTGCTTATCATTGTGGATTTAGTTGATCAAAGATGCTTGTGTTCATCTCAGTTTATGACTATCTCTGCTAAAGCACTAAGAGAAGTCAATTATCATTTTAAATGACAACATCAATATAGAGGTTCCATTACTTGGGCCACTTTCAATTTGCTTTAAGTTGTTATACCTGAATGGTGTTTTATCCTTTGAAATGCAACACTTTAGTGCTCAAAATAACAGCAACAAAAACAATGTGGCATTGGCTACTTTAGTATTCCCCAGTTTTTTTTACTCTAATGGCATCCCATGCACGTGGAAATCATATTTGAAACCTAAAAGTTGAGATGCTTACTTCTTTTGATAATCTAGCCTTACCCTCCCTGTGGAACTTCCAGGTCTTCTAGAGAAAAGGTTGGCTTATTTCCATCCAGTCTTGGACTCTGAGTTTTCTCTGCTACTACTCAGGAGTTAAAGGGAGGGAAGAGGGAGGTTCTGTCTTCCCTTAGGCTTACTCCAGACTTTACAGCTATAGATTAATCAGTTACATCCCATAATAAATGCTTCATCATTCTTCAGTTGTCTCAAGATCTTGCTTAAAGTGAGGAGCCCAGAAGCGATACAGTAATCCCTACGCTTGAACATAGTGCAACTCTTGTCTCCCTCTTCTAAATAATGTACTCGTCTACCAAGGTAGCATATGATTGCACTCTCTCTCTCTTTTTAAAGGCAAGTATTATGAGCTCATTATGCTTCTGGTCAAGTAACGTTACCTTTTTTTCTGTTTGTTTACACTCTTGTCAATGAGTTCTCTTTTATTACTATTGTTTAATTGATGTGTAAAAATGCTTAAATAAGTAACTTTAGATTCATTTCTAAGGTTTTGCATCTTGATTTTGTTTTAACATTTCTAGGTTATCAGGATATTTTTTGAGTGCTTATGTACACGTTCTAGCTATCATATACAAACTTTTAAAGGGCGTAGTCTGTCTGCATTTGAGTCATAAAATACTAAACAATATAGGGTGGAAGAGAGACCCCTGTCATATGCAACTAGAGACCATTCCTCAAGTCACAGAATGACCGATTAGCACACTTCAGCTGTACATATTCAGTAACTTCCATCTCCAATCCACATTTCTCTCTCTGCCAATGAGATTATGGGAAACTTTGTTCAATACATTATGGAAATAAAGGCATACCATGGCTGTGGCCTCCCTCTGCATCACCAGTCTAGCTAGCCTAAAACAAAAGGTCATGCTGATGGATGTTCTGGGTCCCCTGTCCAGTGCTGGGCTCTGCCGTAGGTCTGGGGGAGTGACTTACCGGTAGCATGAGGACTGCACAGACACTGTGGACCCTGCTCTCTCTTTTGATTCTGTTTTTTATTTGCCGTTTGTGCCTTGTTAGTTCATTAACTTTGGCGGCCTATATAAATAATAATTAAATAATCAATTACAGACTAAAAATCCTTAAATTTACGTGTGGGTCAGAGTTAAGTTTAAGACTATCTCACCTGGGCTTTGTTGAAAAGACAGATCCCGGAATACTTTAGACTTGGAATGGGATTTTTTCACTTACTGCGGAAATAGCTACTACTCTAAAATTTTCCATAGCCAGAACCATTAGGGGTTCTCTAGTGGCTCATACTTCTCCCATCCCTACCCAACCTTCAAAACAGAGTGAGGTTCCAATGGACAGAGTAAGGATTCCAACTTGTAGGTTTTAGAATGATATCAAAGATAGGACCCAGAAAAATAGAAATCAGTGCATATAGTACCTAAAAATAGAAATCA